CTGTAGTGTTATTTCTCGTTTCATTATCATAAAAGCATTATTAATTTTTTCTATTAATTGATCTCTTGTATTAATAGTTCGGAATACACTATTGCTTTAGCACGGCTCCACGCGTAAAAATCAAGAGGAGTCGAGTCCGGCGATCTTGCAGGTCATAGTTTCGGACCATCTCTGCAAATCCAAGCATTGGGAGATGCATTGTCTAGGTGCTCCCGGACTGCTAATATCCAGTGCGCTGGGCAGCCATCGTGTTGGAATGTCACTTCATTGTCAAAATTTGGAACTCCATTCATGAGTTCGGGCAGATCACTTGTTAAAAAAATTAGATAATTTTGCCCATTCAACTTGTCCGGTAAATAATGTGGACCAATAAGTGTATTACCAATTACACCTGCCCAACCGTTTAGCGAAAATTTCCGTGAAAGGACACTGCTCTCCTCATGTTTGGGTTTTCGACTAAATACCACATCAGGTACAGGTAATGAAGCGGGGTACGAGGCAGAGGAACGACGCAATAGGTTTAGCTGTGTTAGACGGAAATGATTTGGCTGCATCCACACTATCACGAATCGTTGAAAATAAATTTATTTTTTGTTGGTTTATATAATTATTTATGTTGCATGTGGCATACAGTTAGAAAGATTGTCAACTAGAAAAGTTTTTAATTACATTTGAAAACCCCGGACTCTTGTGTGTTATTTTTTTGCTTATTGTAAAGTTGACGTAACATTTTTTCAATTGATTTGAGGCAGTTTGTTGCTCCACTGTTACTTGTTCTTCAACTGTTTGTATCAAATGTCGGTTGTATCTGAATGAAGTAACAGTAGACTTAAGAATAAAATCAATTTTTCGCCAAATATTGAAACTTAAATTTAAAAACTGGAGATTTACTCAAAATTATTTCTCCTTAAAACTGAAGCAAAATGTAAATTAATCAGGCGTTGTAAATAGCCAATAGCCTCAGCCAAACGGAAATGGCCGATGGCTATATATATATATTGGTAGAGGTGTATTTCATCGACATCGGAGAAATACCTTATAAGTTATACGATATTGTTGTGATACTTGCCACATATAAACGAAATAAGTATATTTTGACTGCAATAATTTTCGATTTTTTGTTAAGAACATCACGAAAATTCATTGCTACACACTTATTTTTGTCTGTCGCTCTGTTAGAGCTTTTCTGACATGTAATCTCAAAAACGGATGCGCCCAGTTTGATGTGTATAATATGGATATTACAACATGGATGTGTGTAATCTAAAAATTGGCATACGCTTTTGAAGAGAAACGCTAAGGAAGTTAACATGTGGCGAATAATGGTATGTAGCTTCTTAAGATTATGCTCCTAGCCGTACCTTCTGCATTATTTCTATGGCTGCCCTACACCAAGCAGGCTTTGAATTGGTAGATTACCCACCGCATTGGCTAGTCCTGGCCCCGGGCATTTTCATCATATTTACAAAATTAAAACAACATTTACGACTAAACGAATTGTCAAGTAAGCAACAGGTGATATCTACTGTAAAGGAATGTTTTTTAGCAGTCGAGCAATATTTTCACCATCAGGAGGTTATTGAAATGGTAAGAGTACAGTCTAGACAAAAGCAGGGATGTCGAGAGAGATTGATTAGAAGTAACACTGAAATTAAATGTAGCTTTATTGCAAGAGGACCAGGAGTGGATCATCGGAATCAACCCTCGTATGCTTTTAATTCTCGTGTGAATAGGTGCTATAATAATACGCTAATAACACTGGCGTGTATTGAAGTGTTTGAATTCGTGGAAAGTATTGAGTCAATTTACTTGACAGAATTTTTTACACAATAAATGAACGAAATCTTATGTCGGTATAATGATACGGCCCTGGCAAATAGTTTTGAGACGGGTAGTAGAATGGATGTAAGAGGGCACTGCCGAACACGGTGGGTATCGGCGAGAACCGTATGAGACTGAGAGAGAATAAACATCTAAGACTAGAAAAAGATCGATAGATTTTCCGGTGTTGGGCGTTCTGCCTGCCTGAGCTGCCGGCCGTCATCGGTCTGTGGCATGCTCTGAAAGTTTCGAGAGCGAGGTGAAGGGGGGCGAGAAGGGAAGGGAAGAAGGGACTAACAACCCGAGGGTAACAAACGCCTGCCTGCTGCCTCTACGACATAGTAGTATACCACGCTATATGAATCTAGTATTCGCTTCGCTTCAGTTTACGTTTCGTGGTCGTTTCTACTTTTAGTCTCATTTGTTTTTTCACGTTTATTTAGTGGAGAATCTTTTCGTTTTCACTTTGAAGAATATTTGGTTTTTGAGAACAGCCGTTACTTAGCTGCAGTGAATCGTCGTATTTAGTAAATACACATAAACAAAACAACGTGTTTTGGGTTTACCTTTAACGGATTTACATATACCAGGGTAAGTCATTATGTATTTCTTACTATTTCATTGATTATGGTCTGTTCTATCGAGCTTTACAGGTTTAAATAGAGTGGATGGCTGAATAACAGTAGCGTAGCCATCATTATTTGCAAGGGTATATTAGTTTCATGTCTCATGTCCATACTATTTTGTGTGTATGTAACTTTTTACGTTTAGTCTGAACAGTACCTTTTTGCGCTTATTTACAGCAGCTGCTTTTTCTTTTGCGCTATTGTCAGTGTGAGGGAAGTATAATATATTTGAATAATCGTTGCACAGTTTTCATCGTCGATTTCAGTAGAAACCTTACAGCAAAACATCGTTTCTATTTACCTTAAGTAATAGACGTATACCGGGGTATGTCATTATATAGTCTTTATTGTTTACCAAATTATGGTCTGATTAAGTAGGGTGAACGAATGGCAGTGGGGTAGCCAGTCGATGCGAATAACATCACATGCCATGCCTCTCGCATTTTGTGATTGTAGGAATTCTTTAGTAGTAGTTCACAAGTATTGGGTATCTAGCGTTTTTCTGTTGCATTGAATTATCGTTTCAACTAGGTACAATTTAACAAAATAACGTCTTATAACTGTTACGCCCGTCGTTGGTAGATACATATATACAGGGTGTTAATTAAGTATGTACCATAAATTTAACAGACGATTCTTTGGATAATTTTAAGACAAAAAGTTCATATAAACATAGTCCGCAAATTCTTCGTTTTCAAGTTACACGGTCCAGTGGCGTCTCTAGCGGGATCGAAACGAATATTTGTGACTAAAAATGTACGTCATTGACTTTTGTGCAATTTTCATTATGTTCTTTGGATTAAGCAAATAGAAATACAGCTGTTTTGTATATTGATTTTTTTCGTATCTTGCTTAGTTTTCGAGAAAAAAAGTCCACTCAATTGCATATGACTGGACCACACAAGGAATATGAGGAAAAGTTTCTATTGGAAATTATTTTTTTTTATAATTTTGAGTACTAATTATGTACAAACAACAAATACTAAATAAGATTAGCATCTAGACTAACAAACTTAACTAAATGAAGTGTTGCAAATGGCTCCCTTTGGCTTCAATACAACCATCCAATAGCTGCCTCATCAAAGAATTGTTGCTTAGACTAAGTCATTTCCATTTATTGTTGTACCACCACCTTACTGCAAAAAGAAGATCAACTCCATTTTTTTACTTTTCGAGTTGCGTACATTTTCACACTTACATGTACTTAGGATGTTCTGTGAAATAACGATAAATGTAGTACAGTATTATGTTAACCATGCGCACCATATGCGCACGCATTCGTTCGCGTGCGTGGAGAGTGTTTATACTGAAATTCATTTCTCAATGCAAGGGGTGATCCAGTCGTTTGCGTACGAGGTTAACATGGAGAATAGACATATATAGGGTGGCCCATCCATGTGTGGACGGAATATTACTAATAAACAAATACATTTTGGGAACGGATGATGTGATTTTTATCCTTAATTTTGGTGTGTTGTTCTATTAAAAGCTCAATAACTCAAAATCTAATGATTTTATCTGAATCAAACCTTAAAAAAAAGCTTATAAAAGGTTGAATCCAAACTTGCACAAATATACAGGGTGATGCATTTGAAATTTTTGGGAAAAAGTACAATTCGCGTTTTTGACCACCCTGTATGAGCAAAAATGAAAATTCCAAAAAGTAACAAATAAGATGAAAGCTGAGGTATGTAAGTTTTTTTTGATACAACATTCAGCACTAAAAATTTCAAAATGTCGGATTGAGGGGTTGCCGAAGTGGTCGGTTTTTCTGGACAAAACATCTTACATCTCAGTAGCTAATTACCAAAACCCCATAGTATGTTATATCAATCTTCTTCTTTTGAATTGGTTTATCCAAATATGCAATACAATTTGAGACATTCCATTTAAAAATTCACAACTTTGATATGTAGGTCAAAATTGGAACACCCTGTATAATGGACAATATTTTAGGAATGTATAACATTCCATAAATAGATTTTCCCAAGATGTATTTGTTTATGAGTAATATTCCGTCCACACATGGATGGGCCACCCTGTATAAGCCGCGGCAACATTTATTATACTGTATAATTTAATTGAAATAAAAGAAAATCGGAAACGAAAGGAATTAGTATTAAACAGTCTGTATGATCAATTCTGAAATTTTACAAGAATGACCAAGGCTGACTTTGAATACCTGCTTACGTTAGTAATACTAACGATAATAAAAATTGATACACAGTTTGGAAAATCTATATCACCAAGAAAACGTTTAGCCATAACTTTTCGTTTTTTGGGCAACTGGAGGCTCCTACAGCAGCTTGCAGTATCTTTTCAGAATGTCAAAATCTTCATTTTCCTTTCTTTTTTTTCGAGAAGAAATTATCCCATCATACTTTTAATTTTTTTCTGTGCTTCGGAACAGTATGAATTTTCAGTGCTACAATTGATTACTAGTTGTTTCCATGCACCATTTTTTTTCGATGTTGAATAATACTCTTCGTGCCTAACGTCCCACAGTACCGATAAAATTTCTCAAACTCTTGCAAGAGTTTTAGAACTTTAGTATTATTCCATTTCATCATTTACTGGACTAAATACAATCAACCCTTTAATCCTATGCGCCGCGTTGTCGTTTCCGTCCATACTGAGCATTCGTGAACCCATTAATTCCTCTGAGCAACGTCTTGAGACCGACAACAGGCGGATCGCGTTCGCTGTTGCTCGCGCACATGAAGATATAGGGGGGTGAGCTTGCACGCATAGCCGTTTACACTTGAGCATTTGCGGTGGATCAGTGCGTGCGTGCCCAGATCTAAACGCACCTTTAGGCATTCATACTTTCCTTTAAAAAGTAGAATAAGACAAGTCTAGCTGAAAAATACTAAACGTTAAATCCAACGATGACCATTTTTGAAATAATGCTTCGCTTCGGATATACAAGACCCTAAAGGACGTGAGTGGATATCATTATACTTTTCCTTAAATAACTTCTGAACAACACCATATAATCCAACAAAATTTGGAACAGTAACTAGTTGGGGTTTCACCTGATTATATCAATGAAGAAACAATTTACTCATTTAGTTCGCCAGGGATTGACTAGACATGATGCAATATGACTAATTTTTTGCACACTACGAGCCCTGACACAAAAATGTTCGGACATTATCTAATTTTATCTTAAAGTTTGTTTATTTTTGTAAGGTTACAAATTAATTATTTTTCTTTCATAAGACAATGAATTATGTTGTTTGTACATCATAATAACAAAACTGTTTTCAAATAATATGATATTGAAGTATAAAATCAAACTAATATTGGTAACAACGCACATTTTGCTGACACATAAATGTTCGGTGACGATATTGAAAAGAAAATAATAGCAGGTCATGGAAACAACAAAGTGTTTACAATTTGACGTTTTTATTTAATAATCAATTCTGTAAATCAATTTGCTTTAAAATATCACGTGGTAGTGCAACAAGGTGCAATCAGTTTTAATCATAAAATTTTATCATCAAGGAAATAGTTTTCGGGATATTGCTAAACAAATAAATGTCGCAAAGTCTACGGTGGCAGATATTGTAAAAAGTATGGATACCAAGGTTGAACTCAAGTTCCAAAACACGGTGTTGGTAGACATTGTAAGATCACTCCTAGAATTGTTTGTATTTGTAAAGCTGGCCGTCAAGGTACTGTAAGGGACAAAGCAGCAAAATGGAATGATAAGTCTGGTTTACATTTTTACGTAGGCATCTCAGTAAAATCTTTGCTTTAGGCAAAGGAAAAGCCATTGCTTACGGAAAAACAATAGAAAAGGCGATTCGCGTGGGCTGATCGGGCAATCTGGATTTAAGAAGACTGTAAAAAGATCATTTTTAGTGATGACTCGAAATTTGATTGTGTGGGTGACCACCGATCCCGGGTTATAAGAAACAAAAATGAAGCGTTTCATAAAGACTGCCTAAAGAGAAAAGCAAAGTCTCCATCAGTTTTAAAATGGTATGAGGAAGTATATTTGATTTTGGCGTTGGAAAACTTCACTTCATAAATGGAACTGTAAACGCAGCTGATTATCAAAATATCCTTGAAACCATTTTGCTAGTGTCAATTCCATATTTATCTCCTGAAAGAGACTTTATTTTTCAACAAGATGGGATGTCATATGGCCAAAACCACGAACAAATGTTTGTAGGATAATAATATTTCCGTCCTTGATTGGCCTTGCTGTTATTAAGGCAAAGGAAGACGTAACGAGCTATTGAAAAGGTTCGTCCGAACATATATGTGTCAGAAAAATTTTTTTGTATACTCCTACCACAAAGGCCTGGCACATGTACCGTGAGGTACAGGGGTAGGGGGGGGGGGAGACGTCACACGGACTCTAGCGAGGGAACACGTGTGCATGCAGCACATTCTGGCCCCGGCTATGAGATCCACCGGGTGGTACCTCCGCGTACGACAGTCAGGTACCGTCTACCACCTATCCGACAATCACAACATCCATAGCCAAGAGAAATTGGGACGGGATTCGAACCCGTGCAGCGCACGGCGACTGATTAGGAGACCGAAGCGTCTACCACTGCAGCCACCGCTGCTGCCTAATATTGTTGTCATTATCAATATTAGTTTAGTTTTATAGTTTAATATCATATTACTTGAAAATAATTTTGTCAATATGATGTCCAAACAATATATTTCAATGTCTTATAAAAGCAAAAATTATTTTGTAATCTTAAAAAATAAGCAAACTTTGAAGCCGCGTACAGACCGAGATTCCAACACAAGCCAATGCACATGTAGCTACAGATTTGGAGGTGTTCGAATCGGTGGTGTACGGCGCGAGCCAACATAAGCCAACGATTTCCAAAGTCGGCGTTGGCGTTCGTTTGCGTTCGCTCCTTGATCGGTACATCAAATGGAGGACAGGATTTGTTGCGCTTCTAGTATTTAGTCGTTTGTCTGCATTCGATGAGAGCATACTCGTCGCACCGAACTTAACCCCACGCGGTCCAACCCGAAACTAAATTTAGGTGTAGTCGACGTGTAGACGAGCGCATTCCAATACCTTCCAACAACAAACACCAACGTCACATGTGCTTGCTATCGTTTGCTCGGCGTTGGATTTTCGGTCTGTACGCGGCTTAAGATTAATGTCCGAACTATTTTGTATTAGGGCTCGTATAATAAGAATGGCTCAAAAGTAATATGTATTTTTAAGATCAATATTGCCTAGGGCTGGTCCATTTCTAGCGATGCAAATGTTTGTTTTCTATAGACACCATCTTGTGGGACCTCAACTAGTTAGTAGTTATAGTGGTGGGGAGGCCAATCCTGGCAATTTGGCCACCTTTGACCCTTTTTGCCGACCCCGTAGTACCAACACTGTACTACTCCACGAGCATCAGCGATGAGATATACCTTTCGTTAATATTGCGCGTGATATAGACAACACACAACACAACATCCATGGCTCGGAATCAAAAATCCGAGGCGGAGATAGGGAGGGTTGCTAGCTCGACGCGCTAACCATCGAGCTACCGAGACTCCCTGGCCTCAACTAGTTACTATGCTGCCACAATTTCATTGGATTGTGCATCTTCAAAAGTTATCAAAGATTAACTGGTTTTCAGTGACATTCTCTATGGACTTGTATCTCTGGAACAGGGCAGTTTTTCGAGTATCGTCAAAGAATAAAGTAATTCTAATATAGTGCAAAGAATCACGCGTTCAATTTATACTCCATGTAATGTTTAGACTTTTTCAAGCAGAATCTCTCTTCCACCCCCGCCAATTTTTAGCGTTACGTACAAGTTACGTAACATTTAAAATTTACATGTTTCATATTATTCAAAGGCACCTGATGAGTTTTCAACATGTGGTGTTTTACTGGAGGTGGGAAATATTTCAACCATTGGAGCTGAGTCTTTTACCCCTTTTATAAAAGATTTTGTTCATTTCTTTATGGCCTATAGCGTTACAACTACCGTTGTGGTTACAACCACCGACGATAACAACCAATTTTTACATATATATTTTTTTATATACAGGGTGATCCAAAGTCCTGAAACGAAATTTGGGATTATTCGCGGTATATGGTGAAAGTAAAATATAGATGCTCAGGACTTTCCCCTGCTATTCACTGGTCAAGACGATTTTCCCAATAGAACCCTATACTTTTGACATCTGAAAATGGTACGTTTTGATATGTCATTGGGTGAATATTATCTTGATCTTGAACGTCCCTGGTTAAAGGCATGTCTAAAAGTACAATTTCTTACTCTATCCATCTCCGGGATTAAACGTAGAGGATACCATGCAAAAAATTGTCTGGACCTTGATTGACCAAGCTCGTGGTCAAGGTCAGTTTCAAGTGCACCAGTGAATAGCCAGGCGAATTGAAGCCCCTAATATATTCAAGTCCTTATTTTTGCTTCAACTTTAGAAACATCCTTGAATTTTTATCAAAAAACATTTTTATGGTTACCTTGACAAGGACGCTTAAGCTTAATAATTTTCACCCGAGGTCATATCTGAATGTGAAATTTTCCGCAATATCCTTGTCCGGGGTCAAAAGTAAACGGTCCAGTTTATAAAATCCTGATGACCTTTATTTGATCTTTAAGCTCATGCTCAAGGTCAAATTGAAATTAATAAGTAAATAGCCAGGAAACATGTTCAGCGATTACTATTTTACTTTTATTATACCCTTTAAATATTCTCTAATATTTGCCATTGCGGGACGTTTGTATCACCCTATATAATAATAGTAAATATATTCTATACCCCGTAATGATTACAGTATCAAGATGCCAAAGTGGTCACGAATGGAGTACCGCGCAATACTACGCTACAATTTCGAAAGAAGATTGACTGTTGAGCAGTGCATGGACGAAATGGAGCCAATTTTTGGTGACGATTGTCCCTCAAGAGCCACCGTGTTTAGATGGTGAGTTTCATTCCATTCAACCATTAAACAACAAAATAATGGTTCAATTAGTCGACGTTAAATAAGATGAAATCAAGTATATTGACTCGGTACTTCCCACGCATTGATATAATCGTATTTAAGATTTTGTCAACCTGAATTTTTGAAACTCTACATTTTTTTGATACGTATTAAAGTGATCAGAAAGTAGAAAAATTGAAAAATTAAGTTTTTATTTCCTAACAGAGGACCACGTACCATTCTTATGGGAAAAGTGATTCTGGTGGAGTTGCTAGAACTTCCAAGGTTGTGTTCTCCAGGCTATGCTGATCAAGTGTGTTCATTGCACCAACTCACAATAAAGCGATCCAAAGAATTCAGCAGGCTTAGACATTGGGTAGTTATGCCTTATACGGCGAGACCTAAGATTCCGTCCTTTTTTAGCTAAGCAAATATGAATGAGTTGATTACTTCTCAAACGGCGCAAAATAATTATTATTTATTGGGAGTCTGCAACATTTACTTTCATTTTCCCATTACTACCCTTCAAAGTGATACAGGTGATACTTATTTTGCCTGAAGATAGCTAGCGTAATGCTACATTCTCGCGTCCAAAAAATTATCCGAAATTAAATGAGATACCATAGTGTCATCTATGAGGATATGTCAAAGCCGTTTTCCAATTTACTATAGACAGGATGTTCGGAAAATAGACGGAGATATTTTAGAGGGCGATTTCTTGTTAACAAATACGAAAAAAAGTTTCTAAAAACATGGATCCGAGTTTTCAAGATACAGGGTGATAAATTAATTTTTTTATTATATCTTAAAAAATGTTTACTCGATTCTGTTGAAATTTGGCTATATTATTTGTTGTATTAAGAGGCCCAAAATAGATTAAAAATATTAGATCCAGTGCGGTGACGGGGACACCTTATCGAATATTATTGGCAAAAAGTGTACGCCACTGCCTTTTTTGTTGTTTGATCAATCATTTAAAAATACAACCTCTTCGCCTCTTGTATTTTTTTCGTATTTCACTTCGTATTTAAGAAAAAAAATAAAAACCGTTGTATTGCATGTCGCTGGACAAAATTGGTTTATTAATTTTTGAGAAAAAATCACAAGTACCTTGGAAAAAATAATCAAACTATGAATACTTCCAGCAGCCGACGAGACAGACGCATTCAAAAAGCTAGCTAATAAATGAATTTTTGTTCTGAATGCTTGCCGCATCAACGAAAGGAAAGGGATATGATTTTATACGTCTGTCATAAGCGAAGAAAGCATTGCCATTGCGCAACATTTATAGTTTGTGTTGTATGTATTTTGGATGCTTCAATGTTTTATGATCACAAAACACATTACGAAACATTCAACATTATTGTTTTTGTCAACGTCTAATCTCAGCAACCACTAGTTGTCACTGACGAAATTTAGGTATTGATACTATGATTATGATTATTTCTCTCTCGGTTTTCATTTAGTCCAAGTGGTAATTCTACCTGGAAAGTCCTGCAGCTTGATACCTTATACGAGGGTCACGCTATATATTTTGAGATACACGAAAACTAAAAACTATTTTTCGAAAACTAGTTTATTCATGTTCAAAGTATTCTCCTCCAGCATAAATGTACTTCTGTAGCCTGACCTTCCACAAATGAAATGCTTCTAACCAGTCAGTTTTTGGAATTCCTTCAACAAACTGATTAATTGCTTGATGGATTTCCTCTTCGGACGAACATTTTCAACCACGCAGATTTTTTTTCAAATTGTTGGAGAGCCAAATCTGGCGAATAAGGCAGATGTTCTAGCATTTTGATGTGGCGCTGGCCCCATCTCGCAACGTCTTTTTTTAAATGAAGATGAACATGCAAAATGGTGTGCACTGATGCGAATCCTACCCCAAGAGTTGCATCTATAGTCGCATATTTGCATCGAGAATCTTCTTCAATTAGCCGCTGAACTTCAGCAATGTTTTCTGGAGTCACTCTAGAACATGGCCTATCACGACGTTCTTCATCAGCCACTGAAACACGCCCTATTTTAAATTCGGCATACCAGCGAAACACACTTGCCCGGGACGGAGCTTCATTACCAAATGCCTGTTGTAATCGTTTGATGCATTGATGTTCAGTTAAACAGACTTTAAAGTCATAGTAAATCATATCGCGATAACTCTCTCGAGACAACTCTATGTTTCGTCTTAAATTTGTTTACACCACGTACACTGTAAGATCCTTGCAAATGAACTGAATGAGGCCACTTACTAATAAAGGACTGCTCTTTCTAACACTGCACTGTTGCCGGTTTTAACTAGTATAGTTAATGCGCATCTCAAAATATACAGCGTGCCCCTCGTATTGGGCAAATGACGTCCAAAAAAATTCCTTCGAATATACTCCGTTCCAACTCTCTCTATAGTAAAAGTGCTACTTAAGAAATCAAGTTAATATTTCCTTTAAGATGAAGAGTACCGATACCGAAAATAAAAATCAATGTGGGAAACCTGTGAAAGATATTCTCACGTTAAAGAGCGTTAACGAAATTGTGGGGTGCAAACGTGCATTGTTATGTTATATTTAAATTAAATTATAAATATACCATGGCGTTTTGGTGAACTTTTTGTTCGGTGAAAAAGCCCATCCAAAAGGAGAGGACTGTTTTAAAATCCAATAGCATTTTGATGATCAATTGCCGAGTTATAAGCAATTCATTGTACAAAAAATTTCACTATAGTGCTCAAACCCATCTTGATATTTTCAACTACCACTTTCACGTTAAAATGCAGTATTAATGTATCAATGTCAACACCTCGAACTTTAGCTTGCTAATTTGACCCATCTAACAAGTAGGGGAGGGACCTTTTTGAAAAGCAAAATTGTATTAAAACTTTATTCTTGTCGATGTCTAATCGGTCCAAATCGGAAAAATTCTTGCTAGAAAATACGGTCAATCCACTTTACTCCCTTTTTTCAATTCGGTAGCTCAAACGGTGTAGAAAACTGGAGAGCACGAAGGAATCACTGAAATGGCAATTATTAAAACTTTTCCAAAACACTATTCAAACATTTCGTTGAGCACTTGTAATATATATATATATATTATTTGATAACTAGTTATATTTGCACCATTTCTATCCAAGGTACAAGCAGTTCCAACGAGGGGTGTTCGACCTGGAAGACGAGCCACGATCAGGCCGACCAGCGGACGTCGTAAACAAGGATATGGCCAACGCTTTGGAGGAGTTGATCAAGAATGACCGTCGGATCACCTACAGGCAGATTGAGGTTCTCTTGAAGATTGGTTCACAGTCGGTCAACACTATTTTACATGATCACATTTTTTTCAGAAAGGTATAAATATATAAAGATACTGATGATTCCGTCAGTGGATTTCTATAGTAAGCTTATACATGAATAACTACTGACGTCCAGGCTACACGGCTACATTCTATAATAAACACAGTGAATATTGATCATGTGATATTCTTCTTATGATGAGTGCAACGGCAATAGACCCTAAAATAAAAAATACGTAGTATGTATTTTAAAATCAGAATAGTTCCTATTTTAGTATGCCCAAAAGACCCTGCAGTAACCTTATGAAAAATGGCATACGGCTGTTTTTCCAAATTTAGTGCATGGGTTATACGAGTAGATCTCTACACGTAGAACAAAAGTTTTCATGGACCCAAAGCTTTTCTACGTATTGTAGATTCGGTACACGATGTATAATAGTTTTTTATCTACTAAAGTTGCTGCCATCATCCGTACTAGCCCGTTTCCCAACATTGCAAATCTATCCCTTGCACATTTGGATGGACCTGAATACTTTTGCGTGATGTCGAGTTTTTTTTAGATAGTATCTTTATTTGGGTTCTAAAAAGAACTGTCCCACAATCATTCTGATCATACAGGTTTCCATGAGTTCTTGAGATTTGGATTTCAGATCCTCCTACGTCTCTTGAACACACTTAACTAGGCAATTGAAAACAACTTGGATATAATGAGATTTGAAAACGTGAAAATACACAGGGTGTCCTATTTCAGGTAACGGGTAAACTAGGCAGTAACTGAAGATTATAAGATATCTTCTTATTGCAAGTTCTATACTCTGATTATTGAAGAGGTCGGAGTTCTGGTTGCCATACTTTCTTTTTTTCACACAAAATACGTAATTATTATTTCATTAACTATTCAACAAAACTCAGAAGATTTACCTAAATATGAAATAAAACTGGATATCTATAACAAATGCTACGTTATTATAGGCCATTAGTCAAATACCCTGTAGAATCCTAAATATTCTTGAAATGTATTCCCACAGGGACGGTTCAGGAAAGTCTTGAACAGTTTTGGACAAAGTTTGTATCTCGGAGACACGCTCTATCGATGCAAATAAATAGCAAAGCAGGTAGATATACGAGGGCGGTCCGAAAAGTACTTAGCCTCACGCGCAACTATCACAAGATAAATTCACTATCGTGAAGTACATTCTCGTAAACGGCTACTGTCAAAATTTCCGCCGAATCGGATTCGCAATTTTAATTTGACCTAGTGTGGAAACGGGCGTGTCCGCGGATTTTAGAAAAATGGAAAAACAACAATTTCGGTCGGTGATTCGGTTCTTGTTTTGGAAGAGAAATCACGCTGCAAAATCAAAGAGCGCTTGGATTCTGTTTATTCTCCTGCGATGACGACCGTCAAAAATTGGTTTAATGATTTTCCGCGTTTTGCTCATTCCCGACAACAAGCGCAACCGTGAAACCACTTCAGAGCAGTATTTGACGCTGTTTAAGCGCAAACCGAACCGTCGACGAAACATGGATCCCCTGGTATGCACCAGAGACCGAAAAACAGTGGACTTCAGCTGGCGAAAGTGCACCGAAGAAGGCGAAGTCTGTCCTAACGACCGGAAAGGTGATGGCTACCGTATTCTGGGATTCACAAGGTGTGCTCTACATCGACTACCTAGAGAAGGGCCAAACGGTCACAGGGCTCTACTATGCCGAATTGTTGGCCGGATTCGATGCCGAATTGTAGGAGAAACGGCACCATTTTGAAGAGAAAAAAATTGCTCTTCCACCATGACAACGCACTGGCTCACACGTCCGCCGTCGCCACGGACAAATTGTTCGAATAGGCTACGAACTGCTGCTCCATCCACCGTATTCTCCAGATTTGGCCCCGTGTGGCTTCTTTTTGTTTCCAAACTTGAAAAAGTCACTCGCCGGGCAGAACTTTGAGTAGCCTCGGAGGCCTACTGTGGGTAAAATAAGTTGGAGCATCGCTGGGTATTCAAGTGTATCGAGCTAAAAGGAAACTATGTTGAGAAATAAATCGCTACTTTTCCAAAATTTTCGTTTTGTAGGCTAAGTACTTATCGGACCGCCCTCGTAGTGTATCGAACCTACAATAAGCTGTAATACTATATGGACTGCCCAACTTGGAAACAGTATCTAAGGCCAGGCGCACATGCGATTTTCGGTCGCACGACTGAAAAATCGTGATCGCGGAAAAATGTATTTACAATTTTTTGGGCCCGCACTTGCGATGAATTAGTCGTAACTACATTCAGTACCATTATGGATTTCACTCAAACTGCTTGTGTGGTTGCGTTGATATTACGAAATAAGGCCAAAACACGACGTAAAAAGCAATACTACGAAGCTGACCACATTATCAAAGCATGTTGTGTTTTGCATAATTTCATGCGAAAAAAGGATGGTATAGGAGTCGAGGATGAGTTATACGAGTCTCCTATGCAAAGCTGTAATCCGACTGGAACACGGGCTAAGGGCTCCGACACACCAGGCTGCTGTTCCATTAACAACTAGCCACTCCTCACACCATGAGGTAAACAACTAGATGGTCCGCAAATCGTGTGCCCTAAGTAGACAGAGAGAACCGAGGATGACGGCTTTCAGCATTATTCCTGCATGTCTCAAAATCAAATTACTTTACATCTCCAGAAGGCTCAAGACCCTGGTAATAAGATGAAATGATAATAATAAAGAAAATAAACAGCATGAAAATATATTTCTTTCATTTTCCCGTTGCAGATAATTCCATCCAATTGCGTACTACATTCATACAAACTTGGCCCCACAGTTTTTCCTTCAAATTCTGGTCACTATACTCTTTCAGTTGCTTGTTGTAAAGAGCAGGTCTTTTTTCACCTCGGTAATTATTCTTTCTGTGTCCAAGACACTATCTGGACGCGGTCATTCCTGGTGGACAATTCGTCGTCGGACATCTCAAAAAATCAGCAGCCTAGAGCAGCGCGGCACAGTCGTTGAACACTGAATTACTATTAAACAGTCGCAGGTGCGTGCACGTTCATTCGTGTCCATGTGACTTATTTTGATTTGCGATAATCGTGTCGCGAACTGGTCGCATCTTTTGAGCCGCGGCGATTATTTAGTCGCAAATGCGTGCATTTGTATTAAAAAACTTGTTTCATTTTGGCGACTAAACAATCGTGCGACCGAAAATCGCCTAAGAAACTATTCATGGAGAAACTTTAGGCCAATGGACACGTCCCATGTTTCTACGGAGCCATTTATGAATTATAAATACGTAACACAAAAGTTTGTTCTTTCACGAGTAATTTTCTAAGTTGACCCTTGACGAGGCGTTATATCATTGCAGCCGATGGGTTCTAATAACTAATTTGTACTTATCTACTTTAATAGCTCTCGCGCATGATAGTGAACAAATCGGAATTGTGGTGGGTGAAAATACACAGAGCACTTTTCGAAAATACTGTATTGTTTTGAACATACAAAAAGCTAATCGAAACTTTGGTATGTTTTTCATTTGATTCTTTATTTACCCGGGTCTATTATTCGGTCCAGTCTTTGATTTATTGTTATAGGAGTCCACTTTAGGTAGATTTTATTTCTATTTCTTGGGTAAATTGAACATGCTGTTTACTATCCTTAGGGCGTAGCTTGAGAAATGTTTTGATATTCTCTTTCAACTATTCCGCCATTTTGATTAAGAAATACTGGTTACGACTTTCGACCAAAATTATACGTTCATAAATTACTAGAACGTTGTAGAAAATCCAAGATTAAGTTTGAAGACTATCTGGACGTTTTTTGTTTTTTTTGCACCTGACTACGCCGCATCTGGACCAATTTAAAACAGCATTAAATACCAAAACCCTAACTCTAGAGCATATCCCTCTCCAAACATCAAAATTGGTGCAGCCTTTTCTGACATTGCGCGTCAAAAAACTTGTTACCTCAGTTCAACAAAAATTCGTTATCGCAAAGCTTCTTCCGTTGTTCTTGCATGGGCATACAATTGTACATACCACAAAACTTCACTTGTAATGCTATGGAATTAGTGGAAACGAGATGGTGATACAAGATTGCATCACATATTCCAAGATGGCGAATACATCCAAAGGTTGAAAATGTTATGAACTTGGATTTAAGTCTACAATATGGTACATCAACAAGAATAGACAGACATTTTATATATCAAATCAACTGCAATTATACTAACTAGTATACGATAAGTTAGGACAAATGTTAGGAAGTTTAACGTACATTTAAATTTTAGGTATGCGGCTTATGGGTGCCCCAAAAACTGACAGACGAACAGAAAGAAGAGAGAGTGAAATGGTGCAAGAGCATGTTGAAGAAATTCGAAAACGGCACCTCGAATGACGTATATTCTATTGTGACGGGCGACGAGCTGAGTTTATACTCTTACGACGTCCCTATGAGGGGACAACACCAAAAAGTTTGGTCCTTCGAAGAGGACATCCCTACAACTGTTAAGTTGCAGGCAAGAACGTTGAAGAACAACACGATAGTAGTGTTTTTTGGAAAGAGGGGCATTATAGAAAGGGTTATTATGTATGAGAAAGAGAAAAAAGACAAAGGTACGAAACATTCACTTTTGATTTGGAAAATATAGTTCATATATTTGTAGAAAATCATAACTTAATCAGCCCCAGCAACACTTCGTCGTTAACAAGAGGGGACTCAAACTTCATTAGAAAAGTAGATTCTGAGCATTGTTTTCAAACAAGTTTTTCCATAGAAAAGTAGCCCAATGCATAATAGCGTAAGGGATATAAAAATAGTACCGGGTAGATTGACTCAGTAGCAAGGATTCATCCCACGCATTCACATAATAATACTATGTTCCAAATAGGTCAGAAAAACGATGAAAACATTTTTTAAAAAAGACCTTTCGGCAGTGCTGAAAGATTATCAGAAGTTAAAACATACAAAAGCGAAGTTTGGGAACAATTGTGGTTTGTTTTTTTACTCATAACTCTGCCGTCACTAAAAACTAATTTTCAATAATGCAATAACGATACTTGTCATTGCCCATATGCTACAAATTCTTTTCCAAATTACATCAATATCATTATTGGAAGAAAGCCAACAGAATAAAACGCATTTAATTGAAATTGAATATTTGTTTTTTCAGATACTTGGTATTTGGAGAAGTGCCTGCCCCAAGTGGTTAACTCGTTGAAAAATATGCGACCAAAATCTACTTTAGATTTCTGGCAGTTCCATCACAATAATCCTCCAGCATTTCTATCAGAAAAAGTAAGTAATGATTAGATAATGTTTAATAAATCAATGTGAAAAGACAATCAAGTGACACGTGACAAGTTCGGAAGTTAGTAAAAAATGCAGTCTTTTTATTTGCTCAATACTAAAAAGGATTTTCTTTGTTTGTTTGTTTCAGATTTATTTAGCATTAATGCTACAATATCCATATTACACAGTATATCACGAAATATATTATGTCTTCAAGACTACATATTTTATACAAAATTTCACTACTATGAATTCTAGTTTTCCATGAGATATTTTTTCAATTTCCCTTTGAACATTTTCAAACTGACACATATCTTGATATCATTACTTAATTTATTAAATTCGTACAATCCCTTGTGAAATACTGACTTGCTCGTTATATTGCTACTGCAGTCTTGTAAATGAAAGTCTATACTTCCTCTAGTAGAATAATTGTGGCACTCATTGTTCAATACAATAAAATTTTCTAAGTGATTTGGTAGAATATGAAAATGAAAACCAAGTAGGCTATGAATTTTTTTATATTTAACCATTGTAGTTAGTATAAAATTTATTCTAGTACATTTATTTTTATTTAAGGTGATTCTCATAGCTTTATTTTGTAATATTTGTAATTTTGAAAATACAGTTTCATTTGCAGTGAACAAAATAGTCGAACAATATAACAAATGAGGAAGTATGATAGTGTTGTACACCATTTTTTTAGAATAAACGCCTAGGTTATGCGAAATTCTATAAAAGTAATTTATTTTCTTGGATATTTTTGAAATAATATATTCATAGTGCCCTTCAAATTTTAATTTACTGTCTACTTATATGCCCAAATATTTAAATGATTCGATTGCCACAATTTTTTCATGATTAATTGTAAGATTTATCGTATTTTGATCTAAATATATAATATAATATATATATATATATATATATATATATATATATATATATATATATATGTATATTAATGGATCATCAGCAAATAGTTGAATTTTGTAGTGTTGTAAAATATCAGGAATATCGTTAATATATAAAATAAATAGTAATGGACCTAATTTGCTACCCGGTGGCACACCTACTGAAATGTTTTTAATGTTTGATAATGTATTGCCAATTTTAGTTCTTTGACTTCTATTGATTAAATAATTTTGTAATAAGTTGAATACTGAACCTTGAAATCCATAGCAATTCAATTTCGTCTTCATTCTGCTACTACCATTTGAATTGCTGTTTCAGTAGAATACTTTTTTCTGAATCCTGCTTGAAATTTTGTCAATATCTTATTTTCTTCAATATATTCAATGACTTGTTCATATATGATTCCTTCTAAGAGCTTCTCGACATCTGGCAGTACATTAATTGGCCGCATGTTTGTATATAACTCAGAATTTTGCACTTTTGGAACAGGAGTAATTGTAGATCATTTTAATTTTGAACGAAATTCGCCATACACAGTGATTCACTAACAATAATAACTTCTCTCCAATAATGTTGAAACATTCCTTCATAACCAATTTTGAAAGATGTTCACTAGGATTTCTATTCAATTTCAATCTTGTAATTGCTTTTGAAAGATGGCTGGTATTTATTGTTTGGAATTGTCTCATAGAAGAATTATAAGTAACTTGCATGTGACATAGATTTGTATCCCCATCATCGATTGATTCCAGTATCTCATTTATACTTTCTATAAAATAAGCGTTCATTCGTTCTGCAATCAATATTTTTTGTGTTACTATACCATCTTCGAAGCACATTCTTGATGATTCATTTTTCCTACTGGGAGATACAATATTTTTTAGTGTCTTCCACATCATTTTACTGTTATTTTTATTGCTATCGATTTTGTTTTCATAATATTTTTTCTTTTCGTTCCTAAGGTTTGTTAAACACTTGTTTCTTGATTTCTTATATTGTATCCAATCTTCCTCAGTTTGAGTGATCATAAACTTTTTATAGTCTAGAAATATTTGTGAAAACCAGAGTGTTGGCTTTTTCCTTTGATATACACTGAAAGCTCTCCTTGCGGACAGCTCCTATAAGGGGACATCTCTTTTAACCGGACAAAGTTCCTGGAACCGAATTTCAGCCATCAATTTTCAATGTTAAATGCATTCCGATAAACGGACGCTCTTATAAACGGACACGGACACTAGATTTTCCTGTATGTGATCAAAAAATCTCCCATAAGCGGACGCGAAACTCTAATACCCGGACGATTTTTTAGTTCCGCTTATTGCAATGCACATATCTACATACATAAAATTCGGTAATTCCCCGATTTATATTAGGTGATTCCCCATTTATGCATTTCGTTGGGTAGCCTGTATGTAATCTTGTGGCTTGTCTTCAGTTCAGGCAAATTCGTAGTTGATTGAGTTACGTATTTTATTATTGTAACTGTAAAATGGCACCAAAAAAAAGGATGCTCTCGTTAAAGGAAAAGATGGAAGTTGTTAATGTATTAGACAGAGAAAGTGTTTCAGTTCGTCATTTGGCAAAGAGGTTTAATATTGGGAAAACGCAAGCAGCTGAAATTGCCAAAAATAAGGAAGATATCAGGAGTAAATGGCAATCAGGAACTAATATAAATCAAAAGAAGGATTTTTTAAAAAAGGAAGGTTTTGCTATAGACAAAACATGTTTTGAGTGGTTTGTGAAAGCTAGAAGTCAGAACATTCCAATCTCAGGGCCGTTAGTGAAAATGAAAGCTAAAGAAATCGCCACTACTTTGGGCTATAATAATTTCAGTGCGTCCGACGGATGGCTGCAAAAGTGGCGCAAGAGACATAGTGTGAGTTTCAAATGCATATCTGGCGAAGCTGCTGCAGTAGATCAAGTTGATGTGTCACAATTTTTGGAGAAACTTCCGTCCATGTTGCTTGGCTACAAACCAGAAGATGTGTACAACGCAGATGAGAGTGGACTTTTTTTTCGAGCATTGCCCGACAAAACTCTGTCCTTTAAAGGAGAAACATGTATGGGTGGAAAGTTGTCTAAAGATAGACTAACCATTTTATTCTGTGCAAATATGGCCGGTGAAAAATGCGATTTGATTGTGATCGGGAAAGCGGCTCGTCCCCGTGCTTTAAAAAACGTTGCTATTAAGGATCTACCAGCGACTTGGAAATCCAACAAAAAGGCATGGATGACTCGAGAAATCATGTCTGAGTGGTTAGTCGAATTCGACCGGAAAATGAGAATCCAAAAAAGGCAAGTTCTCTTATTTTTAGACAATGCATGCTCTCATCCTCGTGATATGAAAATGAAAAATGTGAAAATTATATTTTTACCGCCAAACACAACTTCTGTTTGTCAGCCCATGGATCAAGGTGTCATACAGAACTTTAAATTTTATTATCGGCACTTGATTTTAAAACATATTTTAACAAAAATTGACGATGGTCAAAGCTTATCTGAGCTTACAAAGTCTATCAATGTGTTAGAAGCTTTGTATTTTATAAAAACAGCATGGAATAAAGTAAATTCCTCTACAATTAAAAACTGTTTTGGCAAAGCTAAATTCAGAAAAAGTGAATGTAGCTCAGAATTTGCTGAGCAAAATTATTGCGATGCTGAAGACGATCTGCCCTTAGCGACACTTGCTCAGTTACTGCGACATGCCAAACATTTAGGAGTAGCAGATCCCCAGAAAGTAGATGATTTCCTGGCCATAGACAATAACATAACAACAGAAGAAAATGCCATTGGCAACTTTTCGAATTTGGATGTAGAAAGCCCAGGCCAACTTGAATATGGTAGTCCAAACGACTGAGAAGAAGAAGTGGAACTGGTGGACTCACTAAGCGGTTCAAAAACGATAAATTCATATGGGGAAGCTCTAAATCATATTTCTATATTGAAAAAATTTGCTAAAGATGATTTCACTGCATTTCAACATTTGAAAAATTTAGAAAGTTATTACGAAAATTGTCTCCTTCAGCAAAAGATGGTGAAATTTCGTCAGACAAACATTTTAAACTTTTTTCAACAAGCTAAAGAATAATGTTTTTTTTAAATTCTCGTACCATGTATTGAAGCATTTATGTTTTTGTATGCGTATATGTACTTATATTATATAGATATATAGCATAAATACATACTTTAAAAATGTGGTGAGTTTCTGTTTCATTTTTCTCATGATTATAATACCTCATTTCCTCATGATTATATACCCCGTTATTTATACTCTATACTTACATACTCTCTTTTAAACGGACACCTCCCATAAGCGGACAAAAGTTACGGAACCGTGAGTGTCCGCTTATGGGAGCTTTCACTGTACCATTTTCCTAATTTGTGCATCCCTTATGCAGTTCTCCATACAATCCATAATTTTTGAGAAGTAAGTGTCAGCATCATTAAAAATTTCAGTGATATTGGCTTGTAAGAGTGACTCTCGTAATGTTTCAAAGTCAATAATTGTGATTTCTCTTTATTCTCTCTCATTAAACATATTTTCCACCTCGGAACATATCCACGAATGGTCGTTTATTTTTGGAGTATGTAAAACCTTAATACTCAAATTCTGTTCATTGGTTATTATTAAATCGATCTAGTTCGTGAAAAGTTTGTAATCCTTGTGTAGTCATTAACTTTTTGCCATAGACCATGAAAGTTCAGTACCTGTTTAAATTTTTTTACATAAAAGTATTGATTATCAAAATTTATATTGAAGTCTCCCAAGTGCACAGTGGAGCAATTTCAATAATACTGTTTTTCACAAACGCTCTCAAAAAAGTCAAAAAATCGACTAATTATTACAGCTTGGAGATCTGTAGTAAACGTGTACATTGTAATTTTGTTTCATCTTGATTTCAAAAAATATATAAAATCTACAATAGATATTCTTTTTAATTCTATACGCTATCAATTTCAGCAAGTACAACAATGTCTAAAAGTGAGTGTGCGTTGATGATTCCTAATCGCTACTTTTAGGATTTTTGATTTCTCATTGCCAACTATACCTGGCAGTTCAGGATTTTGGAATCAGTGAAAATATATGGAATGCTTTGAGAGAATGTAAATTTTCGGTTCCCAAGTACCTTTTACCGTGCATGAAGGACCCAAAAAATCAAGAATTGTATACACTAAGTTTACGATTTTTTTAAATAAGTTCGATATTTTGGTAGTGGATTTATGGCTTGTTAGACTTAATAACAAAACTAAATTATTCAAAATTACCAATGTTCATATGACTATAGAAATTAATGCTTTAGACTTCAGAACCCTCGGGATTTTTTTAAGAAGAATGTTATGGAGATAGCTCGTACGTGCATACTACGGAATAGGATGTAGGTCCGGATTGTTTACGTTCCATTGTTACCTAGAATGTGCGCAACCTTTGGGGGACTGGTAGACACAAAAAAATCGATACGGTCACACAACGATGAATTTGCGTAGCTTCAAACTGCTTCAGGTGTTTTTTAACCACAAAAACTAAGTGTTTGCTTTTTTGCAGCTAAACTGGTAGATGGTATTTCACAAAGAAGGATTACTGTCTATAAAAAGGGTGTTCCTGAAAGTAACTCAAATTTCAAGTGAATCGCGCCTATGAAATTTTTGCATTAGATATTTTAGAATATACTTGATTGTTTTCCAAAATTCATCCATTAGCATTAAGATGCTAAGCATATATAAAACTAGCTTTCTGCCCCGCGGTTTTACCCGCGGAACGTGTAGGATCTCGCTGAATATGTTATCAGTGGCTTTGAGCAAGGTAAAACAACAAATGCAGTTTTCAATTGTGATATAAGAGATTATTGTTATTTTGATACAAATTGCATTAAATTCATAAAGAGCTACTTCAGAGATAGGTACATCAGAATGTTTCATGTAATGGGAATATTTCAGATATACAGTTGGTAAGATATAGAGTGCCTCAACCTCATGTTTGCCATACATCAATGATTTACAGAATTGTGATTCTAACTCAGAAGTTTTTAGTATTTGCTGAACATACGACAGAACTAAATCAATTTGGAGCAACTTCTGAGTTAACTCGCCGTGTGAACGAGCAAGGTTACAGAGTGAAAACCTGGTGTAGAGCCAGTTCTTTATGTATCAATCAGTTGAAAATTGAGCAACTAATTTTGATATCCGTATATTATCGCCATTTCCAATCTCATGTTGGCTAATCAATTATTAACTGGGGTTACTTCTGCTATTTCCAGACAATTTTTGCACTATAGAGGCGTTGCATTAGAATATTAGCTTGTCTCCCTTATTACGCTTGTTGTAGAATGTAGAAATGCACATGATCTCAGTATCCTTACACTTCTTTGCATCTATAGTTTACAGCCTATTCAGCAAACATTCAGACGAACACACATACAATACAAGATTCAGGAACCATTTCTATCCTAATCACTTAAGGAGCAATAAATACAAAAATCTACACTATCATTGTATAAAGTTTTACAATACGTTATCCGAAAAGCTAAAGATGTTAAATGATTTACAGTTCAAAAGTAATATTACCTTTCAAAGAATATTTGTAGATTGCCAGTCGTTTATATTAAAGATATGCTTATTATTTGGCGTGTGTAGACATTTATATATATATATATATACAGCTGGCCGATATGTAACTGACTGGTTTGTATCTTAAATATTTGAGAAATGAAATAAAATACGTCAATTTTCTTCATCTTTATCTTTTATTGAAACTTAGAGTTTATGTATGAAAAATAATACCAGATAAATATCCGCCTCTAGAAGCCGCGCAAACCTGAGCCCTCTTGATTACATTTTCCATCACTTTTTGGTAGGTTTCGGGAGGAATATTTTCTTTCGCATCCGTAATATTGTTCTTCAGCTGCTAAACAGTATTTGGTTTGTTGGCATAAACTCTATTTTTCAAAAATCCCCATAAAAGTCAGGAGCCTTTAAATTCGGTGACCTTGGTGGCCAATTGATATCACCAAATAAAAAATTAATCATCCCGGAAATATTGTTCGCAAAAGATCCATTCTTTCCCTAGCTGTGTGACAAGTTGCTCCGTCCTGCTGGAACCACATGTTTTGCAGGTCAAATTGTTGGATTTGAGGAGCCAGAAAGTTTTGCGCCATATCACGGTAGCGCTCGCCAGTGACACTAAGAGAATGGCAGCGTCTTCAAAGAAGTAAGGTCCAATGATACCTCCATACCAAACACCGCCCCAGACTGTGTCTCGACGAGGATGTAGTGGTAGTTGATGGTTGACACGAGGGTTCTCTGATGCCCAGATATGACAATTCTGCTTATTAACAAATCCGTTCATATCAAAGTGGGCTTCATCGCTCAGTATCAGTTGTCGGTAAAAATCGTTATTTTGGGTATTAAGTAAGCTACAATATTGCATGACTGTATTGTCGGCGACTGTCATGATCACTAGGCTGTAGTTCTTGGATTAACTGAATTTTGTATGGCCGCAAATGCAAGTCTTTTTTAAAATAGTGCATAATGATGTGCGACGAATACCCAGTTCTTGAGAACGATGTCTGGTAGACGTCTTAGGGCGCTCCACTATACTTTCACGAACGCTCTCCAGAGTATGAACACTTCGAACACGGCCCGATCTTGGAAAGTCTTTAACTTCGCCTGTTTGTTCAAATTTCGGCACCAACTGACGAATGGTGTTGATACTGGGCACATTATTTCGACCGAAATCTTTTCCTAGCTTCCGAATCGTTGCAACAATCGGCTCGTTGTTTAAATAAAACGTTTTAACAATACAGACGAGTTGTGGGATCGTGTAACGCTCCATGATGAATTGTACACATGTGCTTTAAACAACTACTACGGCACCACCTTCTGAAATGCTTGTATCAAAAATGGCGCGTAATTTAAATCAGGTAGTTATATATTGGCCACCCTGTATAACAAAGTAAAGTACTACTACTACCATTACTTGAACTACTGCTACTACTAGAAATTTATTGTTCCAGGTGCAAGAGTATCTGAAAAGCACCGGCCTCTCCTTGCTAGAACATCCCCCTAACAGCCCCGATCTATCCCCCTGTGACTGCGGGCTGTTTCCCCTCATCAACCGAACCCTCAAGGGGCACCAGTTCGAAGACGATGAGGAACTGATTAATGCTTGGGACCAGGCTTGCGCAGAAATCACCATGGATCAGTGGAATCAAATCTTCGATAATTGGTTTCAGAGAATGACCAAGTGCATAGAAATGGAAGGGGAGTATATCGAGAAGATATAGATGGAGCTGTTTGTAAATGCGTGTACCTTGTTTAGTTTAGTGAAAAACATTCCTAAGAAATAGCATGTAATATTTGTAGGAGAAAGAATGTTTCAATTTTCAGTATTAAATCTTTATTCAACTTATTTTATGTGTGTTTATTATTACAGTTTGTGGAAAGAGTCATGTGGAGACTGCTAGTCTATGATCATGTGCACTATGAAATGTCCAACATCCTATGTTAATGGATGTTGTACATTTCATAGTGTATATTCAATAAACGATTGTCTATCAATTGTTTGAGGAAGCGGGTTCGATATTTTCCTTGTTGAATCAATTTTCTTTTCTTTCACTAAATCCTAACTCTAATAAAGTCAGGGAAAAATAAAAACGATTTTGGGAAAATTCGGTTTCTTTCGCCTATCTCCTGGAACACTCTGAATTGCGTAACTTTCTAAGGGCCACTTTCCCAACATTTCACGAATTTCGCATCTCTTACTGTTTCTTAGATTCCAATTGTGAGTGGAATTTGAAACACCCGGTATATATTGAATTTATTATACTGGGTGACTCCGAGTAAATTTCCCTTTTCGAACGCGCCCTGTACAACCGCTTTAACAGTGGAGAGAGAAGCAGAGCTTGTAATTTTCGTCGACTACGTACGGATTGTCAGTAAACATGCAGCAGTAGTTGAACGAGCAACGTGCTTTTATGGTTAACGATTCCCATGTCGCGACACGGCGTTTTTACAACCGTTATTATTCTGCGTGTAGGTGATGCTCCGTCAAAAAATTTAGTGAAATCCTGGGTTAAAAGATCTCGACAAACTGGTACAGTGGCAAATCAGAAGCGTCCAGGATACCAGAAGTTCATCGGAACATTCAGATTGACCGCCGTGCTGCGAACGACAATCCCAGGCGCTCAATCCGAAAACATGCTCAAGTTTTGCATATTCATCGCTCAAGTGTTCAACGGATTAAAACTTGAAACTTACAGTTTCATCCGTACGAAATTCAATTGGTACAGTTTTAAAACCTACGGACCACGAAATCTGAAAAAAATTTAGACAGTGATGAATATGTTTTGGGATGATGGAGGGTTGGACCACATTCTATTCAGCGATGAGGCTCACTTCCATCTGGAGGGATACATAAACAAACAGATCTGTCGGTACTGGTGTGACAGCACCCCAAAAAAAGTATCAAAAACAAATATATTCCAGGAAGGTTACAGTTTAGTGTGCCATGTCGGCCACTGGAATAATTGGGCCCTTCTTTTTGGAAGATACTCGGAGCCGCTCTGTCACTGTGACAAGCCAACGGTATATTGCAATGCTTCAGCAATTTTTGAGTCCGGCCTCTTCAAACATTTCCTGGCTATGACCCAAATGGGACCTGGTTTCAACAGGATGGGGCGACAGCACACACAGCAGCAACATCAATGAACATTTTACGTGAATCGTTTCCAGGATCTCTTATTTCAAAATTTGAAGACATCACTTTCCCGACAAGATCGCCAGATCTTACGCCCATCGATTTTTTTGTGGGGACATTTAAACAGTATCGTCTACACCGATCCTCCAGCCACTACGGAGCAGTTAAAACACAACATTCGACACGCAATTAATAAAATTCCTATTGAAATGTGTCAGCAGATATTCCAACATTGAATAGCATCATTGGAGGAGTGCTATGAGCAGGATGGACGACATTTGGACAACATTGTGTTTAAGAAGTGAAATCCGCATCCCTGTACTTTCAAAATTTATGATTGAAATTATCGCAACACCTTCAATTTTGTTTTTATTCCATGTTTGAAAGGGAAATTTACTCTGAGTCACCCTGTGTATTTATCATTGTTTTCTCAAGTCTACTACCGGTTGCTCCAAAATATTGCTCAGTATTTACTAGAGTATCGCGCGGGATACTTAGCTCGGGCCACTTTGTCTCAAGTTTCCATTCGCATCAAAATTTCACTTTTAAAAACCCGTCATGCAACATTCCAGCCAGGTTGTTTTCAGACAACCCTACATTATCGTTTTCGCATTGAAAATATGCTTATTTTGATATGAGATCTATCTATAAAAGAAATGGGTGAAAATAACTAGTATCAACATAGCTGTTTATACCTGGTAACCCAGTAGTTATGTCAGGAAGAAAATAGACAACCCAACGTTTGCAGATTCTATAGGCTTTATACTTTTAGTTGGTATCAAATTTATTCGTTAAACTATATAAAAACTAATATTCCAGTCTCCCCATGATTTTTTTAGCCAACCCACTTGCGATATATTTTTTAATATACTAAATTTGACATAAAATACTTTCCATCCATTAAACAGATAGGTGCAGGTCGTTTTTAATTCAGATCTTCTACTATAAGTGTTTCCCTTCACTGCTGCTTGAGTATATAGTAAAGCATGGATAATAACATAATAAATCAACACTTTCTTTCAATTGAGTTTATCAATAACATACATTACACATTTACTATAATAGTACATATTACATATTTTGAAAAAGGGACACCTAAATGCTTTTGTGTACGTCAACAAGAATAATTTATATATAAAGATAAGTTTTATAACAAATGAATAAAAAAGATAAATCCACATAAATATATCACAAACATAATAAGTTACTGCTTGTTTGAGCGGCTTATAACATACAAATAATGTAAAGCCTAAGTAAAAACTGCCTGAATACCGTATAAGAGATTTATACTATCAAGAAATCAATAAGCTGGAAGTTCTAATCATTGCTGGCTGTCAAAGCGGTGCGTACGACCTTCATTCTTGATTGCAGGTCTGTTGTTCCGGTCTGGTTGCTCAGATGCCAAACAAGTCAGGGAAAGGACGAAGAAAGAATTAAAGAGGGGCGGGGGGAGAGCAAAGGGACGAAGTGCTTTGGTTGTAGTAATAGCTTGGCATTATCAAATTATCAAACTTGCTCGACTGTGTAGTATACCATCTTATGCAATATGGAATTGTGTGATAGAACTTGACTATAACATTGCTGCGCCTGTAGAATGGTAAGTTGGGGTTGCCCTGAGATTATTTTCAATTACTAATCAAGCCTTGATAGTAACCTGCCAGAATATGCCATGCCTTTTCTGCCATAAAACCATGTGGAGGTTGTTCTCCTTGTCTAGCTAGAGATCTCATTTTCGTTCCAGAAATAAACTCGAAATCTTCAACCCTGCTAGAGTCAAAAAAAGCCATTTTTCTGTTTTTCTTATCATAAGCAGCCACTCTGAATGGTATGATTTCCAATGCGTCCAAACCTGGAGCCATTTTTAGAACTCTGGCGCCATGAGTTGAGTCGTATAGATTGCCGTCTGGAGTTGCTTCTTTACCATCAGGATGTGGAATACCTGCAACAAAGAAAGCAATATTGAATGCACTCCCATAGGTCTTTTATGCTTCCTAAAGATTCACGACAAGGGCAGATTCAGGGGAGGGGCGAATCGAGATTGATTACCAATTCTTTTTTGTCCCAAGGGCATTCTGTCTCAGAAGCACTGATGCAACAGCCGCCAGACAGTGGGGCCGAAGCCAGAAATACCTGGCCAAAACTCAAAAAAAAAACATTTTCAACGGGTAATTGATTCACACCCATTATTAGTGATATATCGTATCGAAAAATGCATTTGGTTTTTGCTTATATCTTTTACTTTCAGTTGTACAACCTCTGGAAAACAGATACTGCAAGATCTATCACACCACTAAACCTATGAGGCTAGTACAGCCAATCTGAAACTAAACTGATACTTATGAAATGGGCTTTCCATTATTGAAAAGAAACCGACCAGTTTTGATGTCAGTTTTCTCCGTTCTCTCGGCCCCATTTTGAGTGACGTAAAAATTACGTATAAGTTTGACAGCAATGTGTGACCGTACTGTCTGTAATTATGTTTCGATCTAGAATAACCCTAACTTTGCACGAAGCATTAAATTCTATCATAAAGGAACCAATCAAAGAAACCCGAGCCTGAGTTTGGGATGGCCAGAAACTATTTCAATTTCTCGCATTTTGGTGATTCTTGAGGCTTCTTCGTTAGAAAGTGAATGATTCATAAAACGAGGGAAAAAGAAACAAGTTTGAATAATATTTGCGTATTTTTTTGCAGGTTCACATATCCATAAGTAATTTGATAAATAAACACTTCTATTTTGAAAGATTTGAAACAAACGTTGTCTTTCCTTTTTATATAATCCGAGCTCAATTCAGCGATGTCAAAACTTTAGGAATCAAAATAACTCACCTGCAGGGTCTCTACCGACTATATAAAAATTCGCACCGGCATTCATCCTAGCTTTAGCATGCCATTGCACTTCAGTGGGTCCTGCGTATTGCATCGGACTTGGAAAGATACTTACAATGGTGGAATTTCTATCTAATAATCCTTCTTCTATAACCGCTTCGTGCTGCTGGATGCGCACTGGTAGAGGAACGTCATCCTCTTTTATCCAACCACCTGTGGTGAATTAAAAGAACAAACAATAACATTTTTTATTTTTTGCACGTGTAAGGTGGACCGTGAAAATATTCTAATTCGGTATAGTGCGCACATTATACACAAAATTTAATTTTATAATTGCATGAAATATTCTGCATTTTTTATAATAATCATAGAAATACTCAAAACATTTACCAAGTTAACCTCAAACTGTATGTATTTATTGAATCATTACTGTGGAAACTGCACTAATTTTTATCGAGGCTTTCTGCATATCTGTATGTTTGCAATATAACAAGTTGCAGGTGCTTGTGCCTGACGCATGTCGCGCAATACGTGGCTGAAACTTGTTTAAACGGAAACGTTCCTGGATGGACATATACGCCGCAACATATTGCAGAATGTCTGGCACAAGTCGTGCAGCATTACCCCGGCACATTAACTTCGATATCTGCAACATTTTGTCAGTACAAAAGTGTCGTGCACAATTTGCAAAATGCAATCTTCCCGTCACTTGTGGTGCAACATCTTGCAGATACATGTTGCGCCATATGTTGAGGCGCAAAGTTATAGACAAATGAGAATCCTATCCATGGAGATCTCAATACCTGTGGGAGATTCAGCTTAGGTTAAATTAGGAAAAAGTTGCATTCCCTACTGAGATATTTGGGAAAAACTAAAAGTTGGCCAAATCATTTTTTCTGGCCTTATTTTAAGAAATATCAAAAATCTAATGAATCTTTTCCATTTGCACTTTTAGGCACTACCTGATGTTTTTTAAATTCTGTGTCCGAAAAGAGTATCTGATAGCATTTTTTTATAGGAATTCAACGATGTACATGTTACATTACTTTCCTTAGTTATAACGAGAGATAAGTTTCTCTGGTTTTTTTATTTTTTTAAGTAGGCGTTGCAAACAAATGCTTGACTGTCACTGTCACCGAGTTTTGTTATTATTGTATACTCGTATTGTTAATAATTCTTTATTATCGTCGAAGATGCCAGACGGTCATTTCAGCAATGAAAAAAGGTTCGACATGCTGACGTGCAACATTTTGTGCTACAAAAATACTAAAAATACTGCAGAGATGTATCTTGATGCATTTCCAAGGACCAGATAATAGTGAAGGGCGCCAGCAGTTTTGTGAGTGGTATACACGAACGCGTGAAGATTTTAATTATTTTCCTTCAAAAATAATATGATCCGACGAGAGTATGGTCGCTAGTATGGTATCTTCAATCGCCACAACACTAATTCTTGTATTCAAAAAAATCTGAGGGTCTAAAAAAGTATCCATTTTGAGGGTCTAAACAAGTATCCATACATCCAGAACATTTTGGGTTGAATATGTGGTGTGGAATTCTAGGAACCCAAATTTTAGGTGCATTTATTCACCACAACCATTAACTGCAGAACGGTACCTTCAATTGTTGCAACATGATCTAGAACACTGCCTGGATAGTGTATCTTTGGCACAGGTTTGATTTCAACAAGACGGAGCTCCTGCACATAAATCTAGGCAAGTTCGACAGTATCTTTCTCAGGGATTTCCCGAAGGTGGATTGGAACGTCCAGTCAGGCGTCCTGGCCAGTGCGTTCCCCGGATTCAACTCCTGGACTTTTTTGTTTGAAGTTTTATTGAGAATCTGGTTTATGAGCGTGCTTTTGAAACTGAGAAGTATCAACGGGAATAAAAATCTCGCGATAACTTTTGCCTTATATCTTAAGAATAGGCAGTATTAACTGTATTCTTTTGAACTTTTCAATCTGTTAGGAACGATTCATCATTTTTGGCTGGAGTAACTAATCGATAGAGGTTTGGCTGGTCGTGAGTAGTCACTTACTTTCGATTAAAACCCTTTCTGAATCCAGCTAAAAGTTGCATAGCCTCATTCAAAATCAGTATCTTTTGCAGGATATGACCCTTTCATCACTATCATTAGTTCGATCAGTTGGTCATCTCAAAATAATGCAGCTGTTATTAAAATGATTTCAAGGAGACTGTAGGTATCTTCCTAGAGTCTTTAAAGGAGTTGGTTACCTAAATGTACGGCTTTGAGAACTAGATTCAAAATATTCGATATATGAATTTTTGGAAACGTGTATAAGTCACCTAGTGGATGCAACAGGAGTATCGGTTTCCTATATCCTCGATCCTGTAACTGTTTCTTAGTATCCTGCATCAGTAATGCGTGTCCGTTATGTATGGGGTTTCTCAGTTGGAAAGCGAACACAGCATCAGCTTTCATTTCTTTGAATTTAGCCCTTAACTCGTTCGGCGTTAAACGGTATGAGTCCAATCCATCGTACCACTTGATTTTTTTCATAGCCTCCAAATCACCTAGAAAATAGAAATAATTAATTATCAAGAGAAGAGTATTAAAAATGTTTTCTATCACACAAACCCAAAAGAGCTTCTCACCTCCCACAAGCCAGTCGCCGGAATCGTAGATAATTTTTATCATCGGGTGTTCTTTATTAGTCGTACCGAATTGTCTTGCTACCCGTTCTTCCTTCTTGTGTAGATAGAATTCTGGTTTCCGAAGTATTGCCACAAAATTGCCCCTATTGTGGAAATTAAGAGTAATTTTTATATTTACATAACTTAAACCTTTCAAAATGTACAAGTGAATGCGTTGAAATGACAAATGTATACAGTACGAAAAACTTCTTTATCCTATGCCAGCGTTATAACCCAATCACATACTGTAGAATATTTCTCCCCAAATTCCATCGAAATCGGTAATGTGATGATTACGCGCTTATCAAAAAGGCTAAAGACAAGGATTTCTGTGATGCGCAGAATACAAAACATCATCCAAAAGAATCTATTTTTTCAATTACTCCAATATTCGCGATTGCTATACTTCCTTACCTATGAAGATAAATATTTTTCATGAAAATATATAGGTTAATGGCGACAGTACACTCTATCGCGAGTGCTCTCCCATATCTCGTCGGAGGCAATTGCGCGAGAGGCCTAGTGACCGGTGCTTTTTGCCGGTAAAAAAGCGCAATTTATAACACTATGGACACAGGATATATTTGTGAAACCCGCAAGTTGTCGCCTAGCCGATTTCCTTTTAGGGTCCTATGCAACTTAGTTTAGTATGGAGGATTTTCCTAAATAAAATAAATACCCTGCGAAACTCGCCTTAATGAATTCCCAAGTTATCTTGCAGTGTATAGTAAAATCCATGAAGCTGTACCTACTTATGTGCCGTACTTTGATTCCACTTACCTAAAGCACAATGTTATAGCAGAACTATCTCTCAATCTTTGTTTATCTAAACTAGAAAGAGGTAAAACAATAGGAATGCTTTGGTTGATAGTGTTGCCTTCTGTCACCAAACAATCAAAGTGCAAACACTGCAAATACTGATCTTCGCGCATAAACCCTTTCAAGGGATATGCCCAACCTTCCGCAAGGACCTAAATCAAAAAAGTGTGTAAAAAAAATGTGCCTTTACCTTGAACCCCAATAAATTCCACCATATCCTTATAATATTTTGACTAAATCATGCAGCCTGCTTAAAAAGAAGGAAGGAAAAGGCTTTTGGCTATTTTTTAATCAGGATATTGTAGACATCAACATCAAAAATAGAATTACCCAAATCCCTTATATGATTTATCTAAGATGTATCTTTGCATCTGCTCCTAAAAATATTTTTATCCGTTTTTTGTATAATCTTATTCAAAAAGGACCCCTTTCAACGAATCTGCGTGTTGCTAGACCCAAAACAACGTCAAAATAGTTAAAACCATTTTTTAGGTCATTTGGGTCATTCTGAACAAAGGAACTCTCCTCTAAAGTTTTTAAATATTAAATCGATTATATTTTAAAACGTTCATAACAACCTTTTTTTCTTTAGAATGTAAGACCTAAAAAACGAAAAGACAATTTTTGAAGTTTGTCTAATAAAAGTTGTCCGAACGCTTTGGCGAAATTTTCCGGCTGACAACATGCAGCTTGGTTAAGAGGAGTCCTTCTTTAATACGATTATGCAAAAAAACGAATCGGAATATTTTTCCGAACAGGTGCGAAGATTCTTCCTGGAGTAATAGTACAGAGTGCTTCAAAATTCGATCCATGGTAACTTATTTCAGGGTCCAGATGTGTTATTTTAAACTTGAATTCGAGCACAAGAACACCGCCAGAAAATTATATGCCAATTTTTTTAATATATGAAAGGCATTTCTTGTAATGACTGCGAAATGCATTTGAGCCAAATTTAGGAAGTATGCAAGATGTATCTCGCATCTTGCCGGCTATCATATTGACTTGAATGCTTGGCTGGCAAATTAATAAAGGATTATCAATGTCTAGATTGAGTAACAACTGAATTAATCAAGAATTGTTGCATAATTAACGTGTGTTTTGATTCTAACAGCGATTGAACAGTTCATTTTTGTAATCTCAAACAGCGAGCCCACCTGAATCCATTGCAGGTCGATTTCAGTAATATTCAGGGTTGGTAAAGATGCTGCTTCTTCCATAGCTCCAGCTAGCCTGTCTTTGGGCACAAATAGCTCTGGAATAGTTTTCCTATCTTCCTGAGTAAACGGTATTATTCCGTGTTCTTGTAGCAGTTCAACAACCTTGGCAAAAAATAAATAAAATTCATTACCGAAATTCTGTTACTTTTCAAAAACAAAATGTTGGTGCTTATCATGATCATTTTGAAGTCCAAAGTCCCGAAAGCGACAATATTTGTTAGCATGCTATATTACTTCCCACGCCAATTGTCGGGGAATTATTTTAATTACGAAAAATTTCTAAAATGAGAGTCTTTTTGGATGTTACGTGAAATGTAGGATAACGAAAAAGCTTATCTTTTATTTCCGTCGGCGTGTCTCTCTGACCGCTAATTATTGTCCTCTCTATAACCTAGAAAATAAGCCTCGGATTTTGATAAAACTTTGACATAGGTTATTACTACTATGCCAAGGACGAAAAAGCTTTTTAGCTTTTGAAAATCGATCCATTGGCGGCAGAGCTATGGAAAAGTACGGAACAAATTTAAATAGCTCAGATTTTGACATAACATCACACATATTACCCACAGAAAAAAATTAACCATTTAAAGATATTCCGCCGTGAACTTGAACATTTTTAATAGGTAAATCATATTATACCATGTTTGAGTACTACAGTTCTCCATCTTAAGATCCTCATATGAAATTATGTTAGTTTTGTCATTAAGAATGGTTGTATTCTTCAGACACTAAAGCATATTTATTATTATTATATCAACACTCGACCAATTCACCACTTTACCAGCTGTTGACCCACGCGTACCACCAGTTCTGAAACAGCGACGCAACCGTAGCGTCATCGACGAGCATATTCAAAGTACTTCTGTCCAGAGTTGCGTGGAAAGTACACAGTCAATCTACTTGAAGCAATTCTTTATTTGCTAACGAAGAGTGAGTGCGGCCAATAAAAAAAATCTGCAATATAAACTGGACACAAGAGAGAAGCGAAAAACGACAGTACCTGCATGGCAGATTGTTCGACAGTACAGTCAACAGTCTTTAGCACCAACTCTGGATGTTCAGGAGTTTCATATGGTTGATCAATTCCAGTGAAACCTTTGATGATCCCTTGTCGAGCTTTCAGATACAGTCCCTTATTATCTCTCTGCTCACAGACTGCTAAAGGCGTGTCGACAAAAACTTCGAAAAAGGGCAGGTCACTTTCCTTGTGGATTCTTCGAGCAACGTCTCTGATGATTTTTTCATATTAAGTATAGAATTCTGCTATCATTAAGAATAATGGAGTAATGTAATTAAGTGTTCGAAATTGTACTGTATTTGAAAAATTATTTAGTCATGTTAAAGGGATTTTGGTTCCGAACCAACATGGATTTTTTCCAGGTGGATCTACTACAGCTACTTTTAAATGCCGATTAATAAATGTAGTTATTATTATGAGTTTATGCAGTCTACACTGAGTTTTCCAAAACAATGAATAGATTGGATCTTGGTGTTCTACTTGCTAAACTCGATAATTGCGGTCTTTGTCCGAATTTGTAACCTTTTTCAAATCTTATATAAATAACAGCTAATCTTTTGCAGACTATTTTGGTTTCCAGTCAACCAAAATTCACATTACAACGGGAATACCCCAAGAATCTATTCTGGAGCCCTTATAATTTAGTATATTTATAAACGATATAACCATCTAACTTGATTGAGAAAATTTCTGTTCGAAGATGATCTGAAATTATTTCATCATATTGTCAATGCAAAAGACTGCCAGTTATTACAGGTACAAAATATATGGATTTTGACCACCTGCCAATTTTAATGAAAACTGGTGTAATAATAGTTCATGTTATGATGATCAAATGTTCCAATACGCCATATGAAATAAGTAAACAGATCTTCAGTGAATCTGCTACTCTCTCCAGTACACATGAAGTAGGTAACAGGGGACCACAGTTTATAATTCTCTTCTTGGAAATACCTTAATAAATTTAGCACGAGCTGGCGGCCTTCTCAATTGATCGTATTTCCGGGCATTGTACAATTTTATATTGAAGAATGATAACAGGACAACTCGAATTGCACGCCGATGTCAAGTAAGTTGTCACTCTGACAAATATGATTGAAGGGCACTCATACATAACGACAAAGTTTTCGAGACGGAGACACACAACTAAAAAACGTATGTCTTTAGGCTTACCAAACAAACGTTCACACACAGGAGTAGGTTGCATGTGTATGTATGAGAACACGTACGATACCCTTCTACCGCTCTACTCCAGTAAGTACTATTTGCGATATGAGTTATTCATGATCGCGATTTCCCTCGTGTCTATACCAATTTCGAGACGTCGGGGTTGTTTTCACCCCCTTTTAAAAATGGCGTAAGGAGATAATATCATATATTGTATGTGTTCACGTGATTTTTATTATATTGTTAAGCCCCTTGGAAGAGTTAGTTTTCGTAATATGGCACAGGCAGCCATGCCCACAGGAGCTAAGGCACCAATCTTGCACATCTTGCATCTCAAGTAGAAAGCGTTTCTGGGCTTTGTGCCCACTGAAACATTTAATCAGCATAACATGAACTATCACTGTAAACAAATTTTTATTAAAACTGGCTGCTGGTCAAAGCCAACTTCAGAGTTTAGTGTTTTCTCTTTTAACTACACACAACAATAAGATTACTAATTGCTGTATGGTGAATAATGTGCATATGTTACTTTCTAAGAATTGCCGTTTTTATTTGGTATTAATTTCTTTTGCCTACTGTTTCCTGCTATGTAATTGGAGGTCTGTCTGTTGAGCAGGTGTATTTTTCATGAATAAATAAATAATTAACTATTGATTATTGAATTTTTAAAAGATGTAGAAAAATAAATTTGACTCCTAAACATTTTTTACTGCACAGAAAACTGGTATGTGCCCCAACAGAGATACAAAAAACGAAACTTGGCAATGCTTTGGTAATGATTTTGATAAATAATACTCTACAAGTTGTTCATTATTTTGCATGTTTAAATTCGTAAGAATAACAGATTCAAATCTTATCAAAAATTTTGTATGCCAACTATAATACACTCTTGGCATACAAAGGTGATCAAATTCACTTTGCTTATATATTCTTACCTGGATTTTGCATGCTAACATGTCATGACCAATTTGATATACCCACCTATCCTCTGCAAAAGGTGAAACAAAACTGCACAAACAGATTTGTCCAGAATCCGCAAACAGCCTGGCTACCTCTGCAACTCTTCTAATGTTCTCCTCTCTATCCTTCTTTGAGAAGGACAAGTCCTTATTGAGGCCACACCTTATGTTGTCTCCATCAAGACCATAAGCTGGTATACCTCTTGATACAAGGTAAGCTTCTAGTTCAAAGGCAATTGATGTTTTACCAGCACCAGAAAGACCTAAAATGACATACATATATAATAATAACCTTTATTAGAGCTGGATTTGCAAAAACCATTTACTCATGTTAAAAAAGACAGACAGTACACAAAAAAGTATACATTCACTACTAATATTAATTAAAACAAATCAGACATGTTATAGCAGATAACAATATAAATAGGTAAATGGAGGAAGTAAAATATTCTTAATAGAGTAACCATCTCTTGGACAAGGAGTGATATGATTTTTTGACTCCTCAAAATAGCCCTACACGGAAATAATTTTTTCTCCCACCACTCAGCAACCCAGCTTCAAACTAGTTGATTGGGCCTGTAAGCCAAATCTGCTGCTCTGAATTTTGCTATATCGGCGCCTATGTGCACAAAGTGATGTTAATATACCCAGAGAGTCATGTTTATAAGGAGTGTTAGCAAAATGATCCTTATGAGTTTTCCTGGGCAGCAAACACTTCTAAGAAACTGGCATAGTGTACCCACAATAATACTCCATAAGACATATGCAAGTGGAAATAGCTGTAGTATGCTTGTAGAAGTACATCAGTGGAGATAGAGTTTTGGACACTACGAAGAGCATAAATACTTTTATTAAGTTTAGAAAGCAAATGATATGTGTCCATGCCATGAATCTATTTTACCAAGAACTGATTTTAGTTGTTGATACTTTTCAATGACAAGTTGAGTGTCTGTGTTCCAAATTCGTTTAAGAAAAGGCTGTTAGCAGCAGACCAATCTTTCACTTGTACATCATTATCTACAGTATCTAGAGCCTAGATCATAGGGTGATCCTAGATATTGGATAGTGAATTAACTAGATGTAAGAATATATTATCCTTAAACTAGGATCAAGGAATATCAAAGCTCTTGAGAGTTATGTTTTGCATAAGATCATAGTTACCAGTGAACCATATGGTACAACCTCTGAATCCTCGTAAATGCCCCAATATTTGGCCACGCTTGGCTCTTGACACATGGTGTTTCTGTTCTGTGACATTAGTGGCTACTTGAAAGCACACCTTCTGTTTTTTGTAGATATCTTGACTGGATGTTGTCATCTTATGGAAGTTGTATGTAGTATTATGCCGCAATTGAAATGTTAACCCAGTAGTGGTAACACAATTCTTTATTTGAATGAAATCAGGATTGATGAACAAACAATCAACGACTTGTTCAAAATCTGAATATGTTAAATATTTGTAAAATGATTATGGAATTGGTCAGCGAATTAAAGACAGCTTTTGCCACATAAGTTTCGCTTTTTATGCCTTAATGTCGGTTTTATGTGTTCTGAATCTGACCTATAATTTTTAGTCTATAGCTGTTGTGTCTATCTATGCACAAACACTTATTATATTAATAATTATCACTCAAGACTCAACGACTCAAGTCTTGCATGCCTGCAGGTATCACGTATTGACATTGACAGATTTAGGTTATGTTGACGTCAGTGACAATCAGCTGTTTCCCCGGTTACCCGCCCGGGTAAATTTTGTTTTGTTTTGTGATGTGTCACTTTCATCTGTCGAGTGGTGTTTGTATTTTATAAATCTATATCTAAAACGAATGATTTATAACATAATCTTATTATAAAAAAGATTATTTAAATAAAAATTGAATGATAAGGAAGTGTTTAGTATAATAAAAACAAAAATGTTTCATTAAACATGTGTGATATATCAGAGTTATCAATATTCAAGAGATGCTTAAAAAAATATAACCTATTCCATAAGTGTATCTGTTCTTAGATTATAAATTATGATACGATTGAAGAGGGCTGTTGCAATTTTCGGATCGCTTACATTGGTGGTAGTTTTCCTAACAGTTTATTCGGCAAAAGATCTAGGCGGTTTCCCAAACAGAGAGTCTTCAATCAATCAGGATTATAAAGAGGTAAGGATTTCAAAATCCCTCTGTGAGCAGATATTGTGAGGTGCTTTTTCTTTTAGAACAACCTGCTGCATTTTGAAGATAGATTGAAGAAGCTTGAAGTAGAGTTAAATGAGCATCATAATGAGGTCCATGAAATTAAAGAGGCTATGAGATCCATAATACATCCATCTTCGAGTACCAGATCAATAAAAAATTTTACATTACCATCGATTGTATCAAAAGAAGTGTCTGTAGTTACAGAAAATGTATATGATATCAGCTGCCCCATACAGGTATAGCTAAAACAATAAGGTTAGGTAAAGTGTGAAAAAATGTGTTTTTTTTAAATGATAATGCTTACATTCACTAGAACTCAGTAGCTGTTGCAAAGCATTGTATGGAGAATAATCAAACTTAAGCGAATAACCACATGAAAATGGTATTTACCATTTTGGATTGGTATTTACCAATCTGTTCAAGCGAGCGTGGTTATCAGTTTGGTTATAAGATCTGTGACATCATGAATCAGCTGTTATATGTCATAGTTATCACCGCAAGATTGTGGTATTTATCCAACACAGGAGTAGTTTTTTATTGCTGGTTATTATTTGATATGTGGCAAGTTAGAATTTTGCCGGGTATTGGATATTTTTGTTGTAATTCAGCTTCATTCTTGGGAAACTTGATACAGGCTGACTTCAGTTGTAGAATAAAGTAGAGCACCTTATTAGTTATACTCATTACTGTTGTTGATGACACTTTAAATCTAGTTCCTATGCTTAACAATCCTGTGTAGCCATATACCACAGAAATATTAAAATATGGCCATATAAACTCACTGGATAATGTCCACCTGTATATGGTTTTTCATCGCTTTTTCCTATCATTACTGCTAAATCAATAAATGTTTTCTTTGAGATGCGGAAATTTATCATAGCTACAAAGCCTTGGTTCCATTAAAAATTATTTTCTGAAAAAAAAAAACATTTCTCTCATTATGAAAGGCTTCTTTCTTAAACTTTCCATACACTGTTGTAGACGAAAAAGCACCGATTATTGAGTAATAATAAAAATGATTAGAAATTATATACGCGCTTTTTTAAAATAAACAACTTGCAACAAAATCGCAGTTAAAAACAACGCGTTCGAGCGATTCGAGAAACTGACGTCATCAACCCGCTTGTCATCTTAAACCATATTATAACCGCGGTACATAACACAGAAATTTTTGTTATTCGCTTGAATTTGATTTATGAGTTCTATCAACTCCTTCATGACATTTAAATGGACTGACAGTGAACACAACTTGATAAATGATTGTTGGCACATGTTACCTCAGCTGCTGAGTACTAGTAAATGCAACCAATTTCTTTCAAATGGCTGTAAAATGACTATAATGATTCATAAATCATGTGAGAGGCAGAAGATCAAAATGACAATAGTTCTAAAACCAACTATATTGGATACATTCAGGAAATAAAAGTATTGCAGTACCTACTGAATATAGTCAGAGTGACTCCCAAAAAGTGTAAAGTGGCAATCATTGAATGTTTTCAGGTCAATTTTTTACCAAAAACAGATATACAAATGCTAAATTTGTACAAAAGTATACCATTTGACAACATTGATGGAGGAGTATGGAAGCAAGGATGGAAGATAGAGATAAATGAAAAAAATTGGAACCGACAGAACAAACTGAAGGTATAACTCCAGGAAACTTTGAATTCAGTATTTGCTACTATGTTAATTTTTGTTATCTGTTGGTAGAGCTAATAACATTCAACTGATTTCAAGTCATAAACTATTGTTACCATAAACCTATGCTAACTATGAATTTATTCTTATGTTTGATTAGGTGTTTGTAGTACCTCATTCTCACAATGACCCAGGCTGGCTGAAAACTGTAGAAGAATATTATATAAGTCAGACCAAGCATATTTTAGATAATATGCTCAAAAAATTACCAGAGGATCCTAGAAGAAAATTTATCTGGGCGGAAATTTCTTATTTTTCAATTTGGTGGGATGAGCTTGAAGTTAATGATAAAGAAACAGTACTAAAGTAAGATTTTCTATAAATTTGTCTAGACAAGAAGGTAGTTAAGTCGTAAAAAAATTGAAAATACAATGTAGCATACCTATAATGGTTTATAGATGCTTTTACAAGCATACATCATAAAAACCATGTATTCCATTTGTCATTGAGTTTGACTTTTGTCTTTTCAAAAACCCTTGAAACCCCTACAGCTCAAAATGTACGGCTCATAATTTAATTGAAGTTTTTAAGCAAAATACTTATAAAAAATAACAAATAGATGCATAGAATAAGTCAGAAAAGTGGACAAGAAAACATTGTCGCCGTGATAAACTTTTCATTGTCGACAGAAAAAGTTCATCTTTGGGAGTTTACAAAGATTACTGATCCTTCTCCAGAAAATGTGTACTTTCATATTTTGGTTGTCTGTTTTATGCTTACTCAGTCGCCCGTCGACCTGTAATACACTGTTGCCACTAATTGTATGGATCGTGCCATTTTCTTATTTTTTACTGATATAACTTATGAACGCGGTCTAATTACTTGACACTACGTTTTATATTTAAACGATCGTTAAAACATATTCCATTATTTCAGAATGATCCGATCCAACCAGCTAGAGATAGTAACAGGCGGCTGGGTGATGAACGACGAGGCCAACTCCCATTGGTTGTCAATCGCACATCAGCTGACTGTAGGTCACCAATGGCTAGCACGCAATCTCAACTATACGCCCATCACCCATTGGTCAATTGACCCGTTCGGACTCAGCCCGACGCAGGCGTTACTTTTGAAAGAGGCGGGGTTCAGAGATGGGCTAATTCAGCGGACGCATTACTCGGTGAAGAAACGGCTTGCACAGGAAAGATGGTTGGAGTTTAGGTGGAGACAGGCTTGGGGTTAGTGATTAAACAAACGAAAATATTTATTCAATCGACCATCACCGAAATATATAGAGAATTTAAAAAAAACAATAACTATGTATAGAGACAAAACATCCCGTTGTGTAAAAATTAATTTCACCAACCAATGAATGCAATAATATTTTAATATTCAGATTTTTGCACCAAGAAATAGCTTCCTGAATATTTTGATTTTAAATGATAGAATTCTGTCATATATTATTTATTATTCGTCATGAAAATCAAGATGGTTCTAGAGCAGCAATTATTTATGCACATATGACATCTTGTTTTGTCATGGTAACTCCATCAAATAGGATGGCACAAAATCAACTTTATGAATCTCCATGTTCCATGTTCTGCTGGCCACCAATTGGTACTGAAAATATGCGGTAATAATAGGAAATTAGGTATGCAAGATATCAACTCCTGAATGTTGCTTTTGTGCTTATCCATAGCGTTTTCCATAGCTTTCAGCAAGATTTCTGGCGTTATGACTTTGCTTTCATTACTACATTGTCTTTCAAATAGAATATACAACCTAGGAGCGATTAAATCCGTTGACAACTTAAATTAGCTCTCTGCCAAATAACTCGGCCCTCAAAAAACTTCCTTAACAGAGTCAAAACCACAGAGACTTTTGTCATTTGCACGCGTCAAATGCGACACGTGACTTTCCTTCGTGTTGCTCCAGTGTGCGAGCTGTCATTTGAGTATATGTGGCGCAACCTAGCACAGGGGCTTCGCTTCCCTTTCCCTGAGAGTATACCTTCTTCCAATTTTGAGCGTCAGTATTGGAGACTAGACCTTCATATAAACTAATAAACGTTCGACAGTTCCACCCCATCTACCCGTAGAATTGTATCATTTATTACTGAAAATTTGGACGAGATGGCTTATCCTTGTAACTGAATGTTGCTAAGGTACGCACACTGAGGTAAAACAGCAGCGTCCAGGCTTTGTAAATAAATTCCATAAGCTTTTCGCTACTACATCGTAAGATAATTAAAAGTGAATTTTGGGAAAACGTAGACGTTGTAAATATATCAAAACATAACGTTCATTTGCGCTACACCTCACTAGAGTCGATACTATTTATAGGGCCGGTATCTGCCAATATCTTTGTCATGCTGCTATCCATATCCAACTAATTTGGTATCATCCTTGTCACAGATGGTGCTGGGAAGACGGATCTGTTCACTCACATGATGCCCTTCTACTCGTACGACGTACCTCACACTTGCGGTCCAGATCCTAAGGTGTGCTGCCAGTTCGACTTCAAGAGACTTCCGGGACATGGTTTGACGTGCCCTTGGAGGATCGCTCCTCAGCCTATCACGGACAATAATGTCGCCCAAAGGTGACGAATATTTTTTACAAGCGAAACAGTCAAAACACCACGCGTAATGCTCCTTGGGTGTATTAAATCGCATTTCTGAAATTCGGTAACCATAGCCGTTTAGATAGGACTCGTGTGAACCACGCATCTGTTGTTTATCGGACAGATACTACCATTTGAGCTACGTACGTACATATGTACATCTCTTATTTGTTTAACATATTCTCCAAGGGACTGCGTAAATGTATGCTGTATTTTGACGTTCACTTACAGTTTCACTCATCATCACAGCCATTTTTTCCCAAGTAGAATAACAGTAATTCCCTGAAGGTAATGAAAACATACTCCATTTTCTTTTAAACGAGAGTTGTTTTTCCATAAACAGCACCAACCTTTCTTGGGAAGATCATCCCACACAGTAATTTCCTAGGATATCGTATACTCAGAATTTCTCAACGATTGAGAAGGAAATCCATAATCAAATCGTGGTTCACATGTCTTCAGAATCACACTCGATGCGTTTGCATACAAAAATTTGAAGCCGGCCATTTTTTATATTTTAGAGCCCAACTGTTATTAGACCAATATAGGAAAAAATCCATGTTGTTTAAAACGAATGTGGTTTTGGCACCTTTAGGAGACGACTTTAGGTATGATCATTCCACTGAGTGGGATGTACAGTATGAAAATTATCAGAAACTCTTTGATTATATGAACTCAAACCTCAATCTCAACGTGCAGGTATGCTATTAGATAATTAACATACTTTAACTATATTGTCTCAGAAATCTCATCCTTTAATGTAGATTTGTTGATTTTATAAATATAGCAATTTTTATTTTTTTTATCATCGTTTTTTTTTGTTTGTAATATTTTAATTGTTTGTTGAAGCATATCATATATAAAATGTTTTTTAGGCTCAGTTTGGAACATTATCAGATTATTTCGCAGCTGTTCATAAAGAAAAGAAACTTTCTGAATTCCCTGTCCTTTCTGGGGATTTTTTCACTTACGCTGATAGAGACGATCACTACTGGAGTGGGTACTATACTTCTAGACCTTTCTATAAACGGATGGACAGGATACTGCTCTCCTATATTCGGTAAGTGCATCCTTTATGTAGTAGGTGGAGGTACTTTATTAACAAAATATTTCAAGGACTTATGATATTTAGTAGTAGTGGTAGTAGAAAGATTTATTTAGCACATTTAGCTACATAAACATAATAATTGTAAACAACAGTAAATCCAAGCCATATGATGTATGATGTAAATGCTGGGCAAGCTATAATTGTAGATTTAACAAGTGATTCCTCAATTTTACTTTAAATTTTGTCAATGTTTTCTGGTCTTTTATCTCTGTTTATAATTTATTATATTCAATCAACCCTTGATGGAATAAAGATTTGTAGCATATGTTATACTTTTTGGTCATTAAATGGAACTCATCTTTATTTCTGGTATTATGTAAATGATTATCGGCATTTGATGATGTTAAATTAGTTAGACTTGATGGAAATATATATTTTTTTACTTTATAAATGAATATCATTAAAAGATATTTGATTAAAAAATTTACATTGAGCCATTTTAATTTGCTAAGCATTTGTCTAATTGGAGTATATTTATCTTTATTCAGTATTATTTTCATGCACTTGTTTTCTAAAATTTGTAGTCTTTCAAAAATAGAATTATTTGCTAAATATAGAATAGCCGAACAGTACAAGACATTTGGAAGAATGATGGTATTATAGGTAATTTTTCTGCTATATGAACTCAGACATCCACTTTACTACTGATCTTATTTATAACTTTTTCATAACGAATATCAAAAATTAATCGAGAGTCAATTAAAACCCCCAGGTATTTCTATGAATTCAATATCTTCACCATCAACATTCAGTTCATTGTTTTTTTTTTCGATTAACATAGCTTTCGTTTTACTTGTATTTTATTTGAGTCCTTTAGATGCTAACCATTTTGAGACCAGTTTCAAGTCTTCATTTATATAAGAGATACCAGTCTGAATATTTTTAGTACTTATATAAATCATAGTGTCATCGGCGAAAATCTGAATTTTGCATTTCTTGACTATGGTACATAAATCATTTATGTATTAAAAAAAGGAAGTGGTCCCAGGATACAGTCTTGTGGAACACCCAACGTATTTTCAATTTTTGATGAAATAGTGTCATTCACTTTTGTAACTTGCATTCTTTTAGACAAAGAATTTCTAAACCAATCTAAAACACTTACTTCAATTTACCTAACAAAATATCTCTATCAATCGTTTCAAATGCCCTCTTCAAATCCAAAAATACTGCTGTGACAACTTCTTCTGAGTCTATGGCTCTTCTCCAATTGTCAGTTACCAACTGGAAAGCCGTTTCTGTGGAATATTTTTTGCGAAAGCCAGCTTGCGCCTCCACTAAATTTTTTTTCTTAAACTTCATTAATTGGTCCGCACTATGGACTCCAATAATTTTGCAATGTCTGGTAACACATTGACTGGTCTCATATCGCTGCATCTTTTAGAAATTTTTATTTTGGGAGCTGGTGTTATTGTAGAGCATTTCATATTTTCAGGAAAAGAACTGCTTCTCAGTGAATAATTGATCCAATTTAATACAGGATATCACAAAATTTCTGAACAGTTTTTCAGCATGTTTTTAGTAGTGATTTCGGCACTGTTATTGTTGGATTTTAAACTGTTTACTTTTTTTCTCAGATAATTCAATGATTCAATGATTTAGAAATTGCTTATGCTTAACATACCTTAATGACTGTTTCCATATCTAATGTCAGTGTATAGTTACATGATTACATTGTTTTAGAGCTGCTGAAACTATACATACTTTGGGATACCTTGGTAAAAGCTCTGGATATTCGTGGATAATTGACAAGAGTACAGGCTTAGAAAAAATGATAGAGAATGCAAGACAGGCATTGTCTTTATTCCAACATCATGATGGTATAACAGGAACCGCTAAGGACCATGTTGTCATTGATTATGGGAAAAAGTAAGTTATTATTCAGCATATAGCGGAATTACCTATAAATAACGTGCAAACATCAGCCTTAGTGACTATGAGAAATAAGAAATATATTATTGATTTGCGATTGTCTTACCTATTACTGCGTGAATACTCTCAAAGAGCTGGGTAACCGAAACGAGGTAACATTGCTGTGGGCACAAAGGAAATCAGAAGGCGGATTAGCTAGTCCGACAGGGTGCGACCATTCGTCTTATAGGTCCAGAGCCTTTCTGTGGCATATCGAGAACACGCATCAAATAAATTGGACCAAGAAAAAGTCCCTAGATGGTGGAACAGCCAGTCAGGACAAAGGCAGGCAGAGTTCATTAAAGAACGAAAACTTGCCTTTACAGAGAGAACTTACTAGCATTTAAGAGCAAGGCCATAAGGGCCATAGTGGATTTCCTAACAGGACATTGTCGACTAAATCGATAACCCGAGTGCATCTCTTGTGTCATTGCGAAGGCCTGGGAAGGCTTCAGTTTCAGGTATTAGGAATCACAATTCCAATAGCAGTAAGCTACATACAAAGCCCTGTGTCAAGACTAAGTTGTCTCATCGAATGATCAAGGATGGACACATTGCTTTAGACTTTAGACCGTGTTTATAGGCGGTCACAACAACACTTTTCTATAATCTGTACCCATTACTTAAGCGATTGTGACCCAAGCTATAAAGAACAATCTGAAATCGATAGTTCCCCTGCCTACAGTGAGAAGTTTGGGTAGAAAATCATTATTGTTCCAGTAGGTAAATTCTTGAACATGAGAATATAGAACAACTATCCTTGATATAAAAGCTTCTAATCGGCTTACCCTCTCGTAGTCTAATCAAACGAAACTGTTCACAGGATCGAAAAAACTCTTTGTATAAGATTTTTAGGTATTTATCAGACGTACAAAATGAGACCACGCGTAAAAAGGTCTGACTAATAGCAAAAAGTTATGGCCGAAAACCGAGCAAACGCAGGTTTTGGTAATTGTTGGTAATGCGACGATGTTTTTCAGAAGATGCTTAAAATTCTTCAAATTCGTAGGATTCCTACTTGCCTACTTCTAAATAACCACAACAACATTGGATTAGATTGGTCAAGTAGTTTTTGAGAATTTCCAATTGTTTATCCCAAATCACCTGTTTTCCGGCCATCACTACTAGTTTATTGAGCAATATGCAGGGTTAGTTCAAAGGGCATTTTATAGCAAAATACACTAGCTTACCTTGCCGATATGAATCGCAAACCATTCCGGAAGATAAATGGTATTTTTATGCAAAAAATGATGGGTTATGTTTTTTCTTCTAAACAAATTCATACATTTCGTATTTGTCAGTAATTCGCAACAAAAGATGGTAGACACATCCCCTTTGTTTTAAAATATGTATAGTAACGTATGTTTTTCGAATATCGTAGCGCATTTGTTCAATTACTCACAAATACGAAATGTTTGAATTGATTTAGAAGACAAAAACGTAACCTTTGTTTTTCCCATAAAAATAAGATTTATCTTTCGGAATGGTTTGTGATCAGGAAGGAAAACACGTGTATTTTGCTATTAAATGCTCTTTGAATGAACGCTGTATATTGCTCAATAAACTAGTAGTAATGGCCGGAAAACAGGTGTTTCAGGATAAACAATTAGAAATTTTGAAAAAACTACCTGACCAATATACTCCAACTTTGTTGTTGTTATTTAGAAGTATGAATCCTACGGATTTGAAGAATTTCAAGTAGTTGTGTAAAATTATCGTCGCATTACCAACAGGTGAAAAAACCTGCATTTTGCCTCCTTTTGCTATTAGTCGGATCTTTTTACGTGTCGTCTCATAAGGCAGCGGTGGCCGCAGTAGTAGACTCTTCGGTCTCCTGATCAGTCGCCGTGCGCTGTGCGGGTTCGAATCCCGTCCCAAGAGAAATTTTTCTCTTGGCTATGGATGTTGTGATTGTCCGTAGGTGGTAGACGGTCTCTGACTGTCGAACGCAGAGGTACCACCCGGCGGATGTCGTAGGCGGGGCCAGAATGTGTGCATTTTGCATGCACACGTGTTCTCTCGCCAGAGTCCGTGTGGCGTCCCCCTTTCCCCTGTATCACCCTATAGCCCCACGGTACCCCATGGGTGTTTAGGCCTTAGGCCTTCGTGGTAGTTGAACAACTTGCACCAATAAAACCAGACCTTACAATTATTTCGGGGAAATTTGCTAATATGATTAGACTATTGATAAATATTTAAATAGTAGGGGAAAAGTGGGGAAGTCTCGCTATCGTCCATAACTCTGATCTCTAAAGATGAAATTAATGTGATGAAACATTTAATTACACAAAAAAAAACAAGAACATATTACTTTGACGATAATGGTTGCACACACAAGCTTATCTAATAAACGTCAAAAGTAGTGTTAAAGCCTTGAAAGCTAATAGAATTACAGGCTTGGGGGTCTCTCCCCCTCCTCCCTGTATGTAAAAGTAAAGCTGTTTGAAAAAAATCAACCGGTATCGGATGGAATCACAATAATATTGAATTTATTGAATTTTCAAAATAAATATCTGATATTTTGTCAATTTGTTGGTGGAGCTTTATGCTGTACCCGAAAAACGTGCGGCAATATTTCTCGTCTTAATTACGAGCAAACCATCAAACTCAAAGAACTTTTTACGATGGCATTACACTTTTAGTGATATTTGAGCCCCAGGGTGTCCACATGCCTTCACATCTAAAAAAATGAGAATAAGTATTTTGGAACGAAAAATTAGTAGAAAATGAGTATTTTGGAAGGAAAATGAATAAAATGAATGTTGTGTGTGTGTGAGAGAGAGAGGGAAAGACAGGTGGCGATACACATCTATTTATTGAAACACCTGAGCGTCTTGAGAGGACTTACTGGATTGTGAAACATCCCAAAATACTGTGAAAAATGAGCATTTCAGGAAAAACACAAGTAAAAATGAGTAGTCGAAAAAATACTGATTAAAATGAGTCCGTGGATACCCTGCTGAGCCCCTTCCAGAACGTTTTTCTGTATAGGTACGCCAATTATCTATTTACAGGATGCTGTCAGCGATCAATTCGTGTCACCGCGTGATCCAACTGTGTGCACATGTGTTGTTGCGAGGTCCTGGAGCCACAGAAGCGGACTCTAACTCAGCTTACTATAGTGTCGACGACGTGAGACATTCACACGGTGACCTACCCGAAAGGCATCAGATCACCATCGGGGTCCCCGAGGTGCCTAGCAAGAAGGTGGTGCTCTATAATTCGTTAACGTTTCACAGGAAAGAGGCTGTTACGTTTCATGTCTCTACGCCTTACGTTGAGGTTAGTACGATATAAAAAGGTTGGCGAAAAATTAACGTCAGTGAATCAAGAATTAACTTTTTATTTGAGCGGTAATTAAAATAAATTTGTTCAAAAAATATGCTATATCTCTTCCATAACTTTCCGCAGGATTTTGGCCGTTATGATTGCGATTCCCTTATGAACATTGTCTTAAAAATATGCAATATTTTTTGGATTACTAAAGTACACGTTCTTTCAAGTCTCTCTTCCCCAAACGGAGAAACCAGGCGCGTTTAGATCCGATGCATACTGAAGCCAGCATACATTGCTAGATAGTGTAATCCCTAAGATTTTCTTTAATAGAAAGACGATTTTAAACGTCAGAAATGGGAACTGAACTTATAAACTCCAACGTGAACCTTCAATAATTGTACATGTCAATACTAAGCATTATCTTCCAGCACAACGAAGTTCCTATACGAACATTTGAAACGTGATAGGTTATCCTTAGTATTGAGTGTTTCGAAGTCTTAAGTTGAAGTAGTGACTATATTGTATGCTGAGGTAAAACAACAGACCCCTGGTATTAAGGATAAAAATTAGGCGATTATGATTCTGCTTCTTGGTGTATCACTTCATATCAATTGCCTCAAACCGCCTCTACAAGATCTTAAAATTTTTATGGGTAAACTTTGAGAAACAGTCATGTTTATGAATAACTAAATCATATATAATGTTAATTTTGCGCCACCACATGCAACTGCAAGTTTTACATTTCAGGTTTTAGATTTTCATGGCAAAAGAATAGTTTGTCAGGTTTCACCATACTTTGAATACGGTTCTTCAATGTCCCAAACAAAATATTTATTAACTTTCGTTGCTGATGTTCCTGCATTTGGTCTAGTAGAATATACGATTACTGCTGTGTATGAATACGAGTTACCCAAGTGAGTATTAATGATGATATGTTATATATATATAATGTAGTTATTTTTAAACACTGCGTTTTGGGAAAAAACTCAGGAGACACTTGATTAAAACCTGTTCGATATTTTTGTAGTCAAATACGCACCTTTTTGACTAATAAGTAAGCAAGCAATATCATAGTAACAAAACAAAGTTTTTCAGGGAGACGGTTTTCTCAAAAGTCAACATCTACAACCACTACGCGGATGTGAGGGCTCCAAAGGGTTTCAAACCAGAAGTTTCTGTAACTGCAAGTGAATTCACTATTCAAAACAATAGGCTTACAGCGTCTTTTAATAAATTGGGATTGCTCAAAGCTATCAAAGCCGCTGGAACCTCTTATCCTGTACATCTGGATTTTGCAAAGTAAGGAACCTGATTATAAAAATGAAAGTCTTCATTTTAAAATGCTGGTTTTATAGATATGGCGCTAGAATGCAGCAATACTCTGAAAGAAGTGGCGCTTATTTGTTCTTGCCTGACGGAGATGCAGTTACATTGCAGATAGAAAATACTATAGTAAATGTTATTCAGGGACCAGTGATGTCTTCAGTATTAGTGCAGTTGCCTTACGTACAACATTCAGTTACGCTTTACAACAGCACAGGTAAAACGTGAAAAATAATAACTGAAAATTTAGGAAGGAAATACGATATATTTATGAGCTCATTGATTTCATGTCATTTATTTTTTAGGCGGTGATAGCTTAGGTATAGAAATTCACAATACTGTCGACATTGCTAAGACGCATAATTTTGAGTTGGTGATGAGATTGCTCACAAAAATCAGTAACGGTGATGAATTCTTTACTGATCTAAATGGTTATGGGGTATGTATCGAAAACGTCGCTCATAAATATTTTGTTGTTTAGCTGACAATGAACGGATTGTCACTGAGTTGGTATACGACAAATCTCTAAAACCAATTTTGCAGCCCATACACAAGCATTTGTTTTTCGAGATATAGGAAGCTCGAGTCAAAGAAAAGGTATACCAGAGACAGAGGACAGAGACAGATGGACAAGGCGAGAGAGAGAGATAAGACAGGTTAAACAAATAATTCCCATGTTTGTCTCGCCAATCAATCACATGTGTTTAAAATTCCTCTTTATTGTAGTATACGTTTCGGTCACAACGGTGACCTTCTTCAGAACAAAAAATGTCGTGAAGTAGGTTGACCCTGCACTACCCACGCAACGCTGTTAAAAGTTAGCTAAAAGATTATGTTCATCGAAAACTCGACACATCTGAGAAAACAGGTCCATACACGGCAGACCCCCGGGAGCGGCAGCCGCGGCTGACTGAACATATTTCTCAAAGTTTCAAGGGCTTATGTACGGATAAGCCCACATATTTATGTTTGAAATATGTCTAAAGCCGCGTACAGACCGAAAATCCCACGTCTAGCAAACGAATGCAAGTACATGTGACGTTGGCGTTTATTGTTGGAGGGTATTGGAATGCGCTCGTCTACCCCTAAATTTAGTTTCGAGTTGGATCGCGTTGGGTTAAGTTCGGTGCTAATGTCGAGCGACGAGTCTCCTCTCATCGAATACAGACAAACGAGTAAATACTAGAAGCGCAACAAATCCTGATCAGACCAAATCAAACCTCCTTTTGATGTACTATGAAGGAGTGAACGCAATCGAACGCCAACGCTGACCTTGGAAACCATTGGCTTATGTTAGGTCGCGCCGTACATACCAATTCGAACACCTCCAAATCTGTAACCACATGTGCCTTGGCTTGCGTTGGAATCTCGGTCTGTACGCGGCTTAATAGGTGCGTAGAATTACCAAGGTTGTGAGCGATTAAATGTACTAATATAAAAAAATGAGATAAACCCTTCCCACCCCAAGTTATTTTACCTTTTTTTTTTAAATGATCCTCTGAAACCCCATCTGAAACGTCAAAAAACGAAGTTTTCATTTTTCATTTTTGACCTTTTTCTTTGCCGTCAAAAACTAAAAAGTTTTGAATCCCTGGCATAGAAGTATAATTGTGTAAAAATTTCATCGAAATCGGAGCGGTACCTTTCCAGTTATTAGCGGGACTGACAGACAGGCCGACGGAAATGAGTAAGATATTTTTTTTGCGCACATTGTTAATAACTACTTAAAAAGGGTCTATTTCCCAGCAGCTTGGAGAAGAGCACTTGTATCAGAACGTAACAAAGTCAGCCAGCAGAACTAAATGATCTCAGACCACTTAGTCTATTATCCATAATTTCAAAAATATTGGAAAGAATAGTAAACTTACAATTGTATTCATATCTTGATAAGTATAGCATTCTTCCAGATATGCAATCTGGTTTGAGGATAAATTATGGAACAACCTCTGCTCTACTTAACATGCAGGATAATATCTTACGAGAGTTGGATAAAAAATAGCAGTTACTCTTATGTCCATAGGCTACTCAAAGGCTTTTGACAGTTAGTCTAATCATATTAGCAAATTTTTCCAAAATAGTTACAGTTAAGTTCGCTTTTTTTGTGCAAGTTGTTCAAGTGGGTATTTAAAACATGGACGCATGAAATGGGTACACCAATTTTTGTGGGAAAACTTTTTTTCACAACAAAGAATGAGAAAACGTGTTTTTTTTTGGGATTCAATCGAAAGTGTTGACAGGAACGAAAAACTTTTCATATAAGATTTTTAGGCATTTTTGAGACCTACAAAATGATACTACACGTGAAAACATCCGACTATTAGCAAAAATGTTATGGCCGAAAAACGAGACAAAATGCAGGTCTTGGCACTTGTTGGTAATGCAACAATAATTTCACTCAACTACTTGAAATTCTTCAAATTCATAGGATTCATACTTCTAAATAACAGTAACAAAATTGGAGTAAATTGGTAAAGTAGTTTTTTGAGAATTTATAACTGCTTATCCCAAAACACCTGTGTTCCGGCCATCACTACAAGTTTATTGAGCAATATACAGAGTTCGTTCAAAGAGCATTTAATTGCAAAATACACGTGTTTACCTTGGCGATATGAATCACAAATCATTTCGAAGGATAAATGTTATTTTTATGCGAAAAACAAAGGTTACGGTTTTTTTCTAAAAAATTTAAACATTTCGTATTTGCGAGTAATTGAAAAAATGCGCTACGATATTCGAAAAACATACGTTACTATACACATTTAAAACAAAGCGGATGTTTATATCATATTTTGTTGCGAATTACTCACAAATACGAAATGTTTCAATTTGTTTAGAAGGGAAAACATAACCCATCCTTTTTTGCACAAAAATAACATATATCTTCTGGAATGGTTTGTGATTCATATCGGCAAGGTAAACTAGTGTATTTTGCTATAAAATGGCCTTACAACTAACCCTGTATATTGCTCAATAAACTAGTACTGATAGGATAAACAATTAGACATTCTCAAAAACTACTTGAGCAATCTACTTCAATTGAGTTGTGGTTATTTAGGAGTACGAGTCCTAAGAATTTGAACAATTTCAAGTATCTATGAGAAAACATCGTTGCATTACCAACAAGTGCCAAAACCTGCAGTTTGCCTTGGTTTTTGACCGTAACTTTTTTGCTATTAGTCGGATCTTTTTACGTGTGGTCTCATTTTGTAGGTCTCATAAATACCTAAAATTCTTATATGAAGAGTTTTTTCGTTCCTGCCAACACTTTCGAATGAATTCCAAAAATCCCGTTTTCTCATTCTTTGTTGCGGAATAAAAAGTTTTCCCACAAAACATGGTGTAGCCATTTTATGCGTCTATGTTTTGAATACTCCCTTGAACAACTTGCTGCAATAAAACTAGACTTTACAATTATTTCGCAAACCAGGGGTATTTTCATCTAATATGATTAGACTAATTATTAATTACATTATTATTATTACAAAAACTTATTTACATAGGTCTTGATACATTATCCGTAATTTTTTTCAGAAGTTATCTCCACCATAGAACTCAATGTGTATAAGTGAACCAAAATATGTCATCTACGCATAAACTGTTGCGAACATCGAAGCCTCGTTACCTTAGAGAAAACATTTCTTTAATAAGCATATAAAAGGCATACTAATGTCTAAGAAATAAAAATATGAATATACTACAACATCGTTTAACCCTGTTTAAACGTAGTTTTACATATATATAGATCGACCAGCCAAAGATTGCTAGGGACGAAAGGGGGAAATGCGATGAAAAAACCTTACCATTAGACGATTTTATATGGAGTCATAGGCGGAGATCGGAGAGACTTGAATTATTAATTGAATTTATATTTTATTACAACTGGTAGTATTAATATTTTTTTGCGATTCATAATGACGTGATACCAAACATACATTATAAGAAATAAATATACACAAACACTGAATATTGAGAACAAAATAAATATATTTTTTAGGCAACAAGTAATATTCCTATGTACGCATTATGATTGAACAGCAAAACAAATTATGCATTCTTCTAAAATAGAATACAACAAGTCAAAAATATCTGACTGAATAGAAAAATATAGGAAAACAAAAAGTAATTTCTTGATGAAATAACCCATAAACAACACATAGAATTAGACTTTCTACTGAGATACTAAAAGCCACAAACCAATAGTATAATAAATGAATATCTAAAAATTCTAAAAGGTAGCCAATCTAGTATAGTTTCAATCCTGATTAGAGTCATGATCACTGTCTGAGGAACTGTCATTGCTATCACTTTCACCTCCTATGTTGATTATTATTTCTTCCTGTATTTCTTGAATGAGACTGTCTTTTTCCCAATATTCATCTTCAATTTTTATAACATGTCCAATAACCTTTTGCCAGTCACTGGCACTTACTGAAGCGATGGCCTTATTAGAAATTTCATCTAGTTTTTTTATAGTAAATTCGCCGCTTGTATTATGGCTTCTAATGAAAAATTTTACTTGTGCCCAAATCATCTCTATGGGATTAAACTGACACATATAGGGTGGCGTTCGAAGTGGGGTGTGTCCGAAACTTCTTATTAAATTATCTATCTTATAATTTTTCTCATCAGATGGTGGCCTATGTAGACAAGCTATTTCATAAAGCTCCATTTTTTTAGCATTAGGATCATGCTCTATACCTTTTTTGCTCAACCACGTGATGATGTCTCTTTTTAGAGAAGATCTAGTTGGAGGCTTGTCTTCCAAAGCTGAATGGTAAGGTGCATTATCCATTATTATAATACTATTAGGAGGAATGTTAGGAAATAGTTTTTCAGTAAGCCACTTCGTGAAATTTTCTTGGTTCATTTGACCGTGATAATCACCAGTGGCACAGCCAGCCTTGAAAATGAGACAGGCTCCAGGAACAAAACCATCTTGCGAACCCGCATGAACAATTATAAGTCGTCCTGGAAATGAATAAATAGCCTCATTTTAGTGTTATTTTAAGTTTGCCAACACCTTTTTGAATCACTATGTATAAAAAACATATTTTTGAGAAAAAAATACTTGCAAGGGATTATGTATTCAATTAGACAAATTAAATGAGCACTTATTAAGAATATTCCAAAATTGAGAAAAATGTATAATAAGCAAAATCGAGGTGAAAGAAACTTTATTACCTGTAGAACTTATATTGCTCAGGACACCCATAATTTCTTCGCTTTGCCAGCATTTCTTGAAAGTGAGGTCATTATCAACCCAAGTTTCGTCCAAATAAATAATATGCCTTCCTTCTTCCCGGAACTTTTTAATAGACCTAAGATACTTGTATCGCCAATGTAAAATACTGGGTCTTTCCATTAGTAATTTCCTTTTGTTGTGGCATTTACGCCAGTAAAATCCTTTTGCTTTTAAAAGCAGCCTCAACGATTCTTTACCAAATGGAAATTCCATTTCTTCCTTCAGTTTGATTAGAAGTTTACTACAAGTAGGTACCACTTTAAAATCACAGTAAAATTTTTCTATCATTCTCCGAATAATGGAAAAATCGACTCCATCAATTTTTTGGATCACAGAAGGGCGTGATCTCTTTTTTCCGGGAGAAGCTAAAGGCTGTGTGGAGGTTGCATTTTGCCTGTCTTTATCTTCTTTTCTAATTTTACTTATAGTTCGTTCACTAACACCCGTATAATATGCCGCCCTTGCATTTCTAGCTACCAGTGGATAAACGAAAGTATTGTTAGCCGCTTCTGCATCGCAAGCACGTATCACGTTTGCTATTATTTCCCTTGCCTGGCTGTGAATAACTTTCCCATGCTTGAATTCCATTATCACCACTAAACAGTAAATTATATTTTCAAAGTATTTGCCAACTGCCTACGCCTATGGGAGTAGGTTTATAAATGACCGTGCCATCGGCACGTTATTCTAGTTTCAGATAAGATAAGAGTTTTGGACCAATCAGCGACCGGATGTTTACCTGCGGCCTGGGTTTTCCAGCTACATTGCCAAATTCAGCGGAACAATTCTATATCTTAAATATGTTAATATGTATGGACCGCATTTTATGTAGAACATCTGACAACTTCGCAATTTTTTGTCCGCATTCTTTCGGCTTGCAATCTTTCGCTGGTCCAACATTAATGTTGCCATATATTATGGAATTCTTGGGGCGTATAAAAAATATTCGCTTTCCGTGTTCCGTTGGGTAAAGTTAAACCTCTGTTAATTTCATAAACTGTTTGATCATGGAAGTTACATACATATCTTCATAAATATCATTGCAGCTCTGTACCTTGTTTTTAATAAATAGTGGTTTTCGATTTCGATGGAATTCTTGGGGCGTATAAAAAATATTCGCTTTCCGTGTTCCGTTGGGTAAAGTTAAACCTCTGTTAATTTCATAAACTGTTTGATCATGGAAGTTACATACATATCTTCATAAATATCATTGCAGCTCTGTACCTTGTTTTTAATAAATAGTGGTTTTCGATTTCGAAATGTTTAGCCATTACAATATTTCCCAGCCAGTAGGCGTGGAAAGTAAAAGTGTCATGTACTGAAGAAGGTCACCATTGTGACTGAAACGCAAACTGCAATAAAGAGGAATTTTAAGCACATGTGGTTATATTGGCCAAAACATGAGGGATTATCGACATGAATACCACAGATAAGTTTATTAGCCTAAACCAATTTAGAGGGTCAAAGTGACGTTTAATGACGTGTTGTTATTTGGCGAGAGATACATGTGGTGTTGGTGGTGTTGCCAGAGAGAGGAGTATTTTTGGATGAATTTGTAATCCATCATTTGGAGCGAAAGATTAAGCAATTTTTGTTCAAATTTGCTCTTGTTTAACATCACTTTCAAATATATTCTACACAGTGTCTTTTCTTATATAATAATCGGCATTGGGTTAGTATGCTACCCTTGTGTGGGGATGCTTCAATTTTTCGGTGATTTTGGATCAGTGCTCACACTAATGTTCCATAATCCATTCCATCTCGGAGGAAAATATGCCAGATGAGTTGAGTAAATAGTGTATGTACAGTTTTATTTTCCATTGAATCTAGTGACAGGAGAGCATGAATTATATGGCAGTAATTAATGGTCGTGTATGAGGTGCAAATGCAGTCCGATTTTCTCTTTCAAGTTACAGCATAACTTTACCCTATATACAGCTTATCTGATTTCTCATTCTTACTCTCTAATTGTCTTCGAGGGATCTATGAATTGTAAAATCTGACAATATTCCTCAATTAATTAAAAAAAAAACTTTGTCTGTATATAGTCGTTTTTCAGATATTGCGTAGGAAGCGTTTTTCCAAACTTCCCCTACAAGCCAACTATTATCCAATGCCAACAATGGCGTTCATAGAAGACTCTGAAACCAGACTGACAGTATTGACAGGTAGTCCCTTGGGCTGCAGTTCCCTCTCCTCAGGCCAATTGGAGATCATGATGGATCGGAGACTCAATCAGGACGATAACCTAGGCTTGGGACAAGGGGTACTTGACAATAGGCCTACGAGGCATGTGTTCAGGATCCTTCTTGAGAAGAGACAGCAACAGCAGTGTCGGGTAATCAATGATCAATGTCTATTTTTTGTTCATTAAGGCCGTCTGTCACGATTCACGATACGAAATTTTGTGCTAAATTTAGTACGATACATTTCGTACAAAATTAAGGATAGAGTCAGACAGCATTAAGTACAGAATTTTGTATGAACAAGTTGAGTGCTAAATTTTTTAGAACCTGTTCTAAATAATATCGTGTTAAAAGTGCATTTGGAGCAGTAGAGTGGCTGATAAAAACGCTTCGTGACAAGGAATTACATGGTTTGTGTTAAGTCCTTGATACTTCCTTGATGTTTTGTGATGATTGGATGAGATGATAATTGGTTAACAAAAGCAAGCCTAACCTCAAGCACTTTCATCAGGTGTTGTGATCAGTTGTTCGCGATTGTTTATATACTGTAAGAAGCAGGGCCTATAAAATCAGAAACGCCAAATAAGGTGCATTGGATAAAATCAGCATTTGGAGCACACCCATTCCCCGGTCCTTCTCCCTGATCCATTTTCGACGCCAAATTCTTTTACGGTTTCATGAGGTGGGCAGCAACAGCGTAGATCGCTGGTCCCGCAGTCGCATAAATCTATGCGAATTACGAGACCGCTCCATTTTCTATACATTTAAAGTGTGGTTAGTATGAGTTTAACGTGATAAATGGCAGTTCGAAGTTGCCGATTACAGTTTTTTTTACCGACACGAAATTTATTACAAAAATTTCACATTTCTCACATAATTTAGTAACAAATTATGAACAACATTTTGTATCGTGACAGACGGCCTTTAGTCTCCAATACTGGATGTCCGGATTTGTGTGTAAGTTCGACGTGTGAGAAAACTTGAGAGTCACTAGTTAGATCGTGGTGTGATGGATGATTTTGGTGAAAGGCCAAAATCCTCTAAGTGACGAGCTTTGCATCTTTTTGATTAGATCACAGAGTTATGGGAGCGTTTAGCCAACGTGTCTAGCGGTGCAGCGCCTTTATGCTGAATAGCAGAAGCCATGGGATAACTTTGTTAGATTGACAGCAGTTTTCACTTGGCTGTCAGATTTGATAGTGTGTTGCATTGAGTCTATATACCAGGAGAAACTACGACAAAGCTGCCCGTGCTGTAAAAAGGACCCCGACACTTGACGCGTGGGGTAATAGTGGTGCTTTGACAGTGTTGCCATGTTGGAAGATTTTCACCCAAATTTGAGGGATTTTTGACCTGGGAATTTTTTGGGGACATTATTTGGACAAATATCATAGATTACCGCAGGACCTCTGAATATTACCGCAACTTTAAAACTTCGATCGTTTAAGTACTTGGAGATTTTGAAAATCGATTCAGTCACGGAGGAACTACGGACGAGAAAATAAAAATCGCTGGAATATACGTAGTCGTGCCATAAGTTCTGTCCCATGATAATCTCATGATAAAAATGAAACAAGATAAGATATATTTATATGAAAGATATTATTTATTCGACAACATTTTTAGAATTCATAATCAAACAGTTTTATTCAAAATGTCCCCCCTTGGCCTTCACACACTGCTTCAATCTCGCGGGCCACTCATCTATCACTGCACGCACAGCTTCCAAAGGAATAGCTGCCGCTGATCGGATCAAATCCGCTTTCAGGGACTCGATATTACGGTGGGCTTTGGAGCAGGCCAACTGCTCTAGCAGGTCCCACAACTTGTAGTCTAAAGGATTGAGGTCCGGACTCCCTGAGGGCCAATCTTCCGCAGCAATGAACTCTGGCACATTGCTTTCCAGCCAGCGCTGCGTACTCTTAGCCTTGTGAGCGGGGGCGGAATCCTGCTGGTAGACCCAGTGTTGGTTGGCAAACAATGTACCACTTAAAGGCTTGACGATAGGATCCAGTATGTCGCTCTGATAGTTTGCCGCTTTTGTTTTCACGCCCTGTTTACAGAAATGGAGCTGAGTGACCCCTTCGTAGGACACCCCCCACCAAACCATGACTGACGCAGGGTGGTGGCCTCTCTCAACTCTCGGAATGATCTCCGAAGCTTCCTGTGAACTCCTTGCATACACTTTGTCATTTTGTCGGTTGAATTTTTCTTCTATGGTGAAGATTTTCTCATCCGTGAACAAAATCTTTCGGAATCCCCCAGCTGCGTACCTCTCCAAGAGCTTCTTGGATCTTGTCGCCCTGATGTGTCGCAAGGTGGCCGTAAGTCGCTGGCCCGTACGTCTCCGGTAGGCCCCTAGCCCTAGGTCTTGTTTAATGATGCGCGACATCGTCCGGACAGGAATCTTCATTTCCCTGGATAGGATCTTCTGCTTCCGGAGTGGATTCCTTTGAATCCTGGCTTTTACGGCTTTGATGGCTGCTGGAGTCCTTACTTGACGAGGTCTTCCGCTTCTTGGCCTGTCATCAACAGAGGACGTCTCATTGTACCGCTGAATGGTCCTAGACACAAATTTACGCGATATTTGAAGGCCGCGTAAGAGTTCAAAAATCTGACTAGCACTGTGATTACACTTATGTAAAGCTATCACTGCAATACGGTTCTCTGCCTTGCCCCACTCCATCGTTATGCTTCGAGAGATCAATACAATCTGAGGTATATGTAATTACCCGAAAAGCGCTTAATCAACTGACACCACAATGTAAACAATCGGACAAGTATTAACAGGTCTACACTTGTTTGAAAACGAGGGACAGAACTTATGGCATGACTATGTAGTTTTACGTTTTCGAGATTCCAGCTCATTTTCAGATATTATTTGGAGGGGTTGAAAATTGTACGTGGAAAGCTGTATTCGGCAAATGGTTGTAAATTGTTCCATATTAGGTGTCAGTGAAAGACCTATTATTAAGAAGCTGCTGATCTCAGTGATATTATGCACTTGTTAAAAAAATTAAAAAATATTCAACGATGTAATACAAACTATGGATATCTATAATAAGAACTTTAACATTCAGATCTGTAGTGGGACACATTATACCGGTTGTTTCAAATTCGACCCTCAGCATTGGAATACATAATATGTCATACATACTATGCCAAACCATAGTAATTTAAAAAAAATATTCTAGGCAGGCATTGAAATTTTCAGACAGTTATTTGTTTCATATACCAGATTTATTGCCAAAACGAGGAATCCAGGTCTCGTACCAAAATGAGTGTGAGAGATTTCGAATGTTCCCCTCAAAAACCAATTCTGAAAATTCAAACAAATAATATAAACAATACTACGGGGTGCCATTTTAAAATTGTAATGATGCGATCTCGGCATGGCTACATGACAATTCAATCTATTGTCGCAACACACTGTATAGGTATGAAGAGAAGAAAAAATAAATGAACTGTCGCCTGGAAGACACATAAATAAACAAAAATATGTCATTGTCATTGCACTTGAAAAAGGCCACCGTCGTGACCGAAACATCGTACAATAAGCATAAATTAAAACATATATGTGGTTTGATCCCGGACAGACATTGGAGTCCTAAATAATATTTAATGAAAGCAAATCAGGGAAATGGGGGAAAATGGCGGGAACAGGGTATACCATACTTGACTTGGGGCCAAGTTGAAGGTAGAGTCGCGAGATTTCCGAAAGTAGCGGGCTTCGTAGGATATACATTTATACAGGGTCCGACACAAAGGTCGCACGCTTTTAAAAAAACAAAAACGGTAATTTTTACTCAAAAACAAATTTATTTACGGATTCGGGTTCACAATGAAATAGCATTTGTTACAATTAAGTATGGAAAATCACACATCAGTCATGTGGTGACCGTTTTTCACGATACATTGTTGGAAGCGTTCTTGAAAGTTCGCGTAGACTCTCTCCAACATCGTTCTCTCGCCCCATCCTCTTGGAACCACACACGTCGGAATGGAACACGTCGACGTTGTAATTCAAGTGAAAAGAAGTTGGTGATCATTTCGATATAGCGCTCCAAGTTCACGGTAACAGCATTGCCATTACCGTCCTCGAAGAAGTAAGGGCCGATGATGCAAGTTTACGATACAGCGCACCAAACCATTACTTTTGGGGTATGCAGCGGTCTTTCATGTAACTGTTGCGGATTTTCATTAGCCCAAAAACGGCAATTCTGATGATTAACCATCAAATTAAGATGAAAGTAAGCTTAATCACTCATGAATAAAATGTGGTTCTCATGTTGCTCGATAAGTGCTTCCATCTCATTTGCGAAGTTCATTCGTTGTGCGTGATCTCCGGGCTGTAACTGTTACACAATGGCCAATTTGTAGAGGTGAAAATGGAGTTCCATATGCAAAATACGCTTTACTGGACGAACACTGATGCGAAGTTCAGCAGCATGTTGCCGAGCAGATAGAGCCGGACTGCGAAGGAGGGCTTGTCGAACGCGTTCCACATTTTCATGGGTTCGAACCGTTCGTAGTGCTCCTGGTGGTCTTTTGTTGATCAGTACACCACGCGTGCGAAGTGATTGAACCCAACGGAGGAAGGTGTTTCGAGTCCGATGAATATTGAAGTGGCGACGAAAGTTACGCTGTACAGCCGTGATAGACTCATTATGTCGGACAAAACTGTCGTATACGGAAACGCGGTGCTCAACCGTGCACTGCTCCTACTGGTAAAAATGGTAGGAACTCCTAAGTCGGTCGGTACTCTCCTCCAAATAGGCGGAAAGAACTAGCCATTTCAAAAACATCCATGCTTTGTGCCGGACCCTGTACTTTGCACGATTTATGATCTACAAGTGAGTTTTGTTTATAAACGTTATAAACGCTGTTTACGACCCCCCTCCCCCCACCCTCGTAGGTGGTTTTATCGCGCTTCGAACGTCAGCACGCTGAACATAACTAAAAACACGTATTTACTAAACAAACTAATTTATTACTTCTGACACACTTATTTATGACATCAGGGGCGGTTCGGCACTCGCGTTGACTGCTCTCCGCTGACTAAATAAACCTCGCGACTCAATACTCCCTTTTCTGCCATGTGCTACCTTTTCCGGACATGGTACTTCTGGTGGTCGCTGATAGATTGATGCTGCTGATTCTCAATGGCGCTCGTAATAGCACCTGGGCGCTTACTGCCGCCAACAGTTGAGATGTCACACTGCACTTCACTAATGCGATGCCATCCAATATTGCCAGATCTAGTTTCATGACTTTCAGAGTAAGGAGTCAGTGCCTCAGATAAATACAGCATAGCTAAACGTGTAAATTAGTGCTGTTAAGGAGCAATATATTAGTTTGCTTTGCGAATACGTGTCATTGTTGCAATACATATAATAACCTTGATCTTTTGACTATATTTTGCTGATAACTACATTTCAGACGACAGCAGCAAACCACCCTTCTGCCTTTCCAACCCTCTCTGCACATGTGACGTTGCAATCCCTTCTCAACCCCCTTATTCGGCTGCTGCGGGTGGACGACGAAGACGACACATCGAGTGCTTTCTATACGGGGGCAGCAAGCCCAATAGGTATATATTGAAAATATCTACTATGTTGATACAAAAATAAATATAATATAATGCATGTTATTTTGAAGATACTCTGAGGCATTGTGTTATAAGAACACTAGTTATGGAGTATGTTATTTTAAATTAAATGCGCAAGGATTGTTCTTTGCAGATATAAAGTAAGTTATTCCATTGGCTACTAGTGTGAAGCATGCAAAATGATGTTGAAGCAATAATAGTATATCTAATGTCACGTAAAAATAAAACTTTTCCATTTATGGGAAGTTCTATCCAGGTCTAAGGGCGAAAACACAGTGGAAGCTGGTTTGCTGCTTACCGTCAACCAGCGTCGATCGGTACCGAATTTCGGCGCTGGTCATGGACACAGTGCTGAGGAGAAAAAAGCAAATAAAGCCGGTCTGTTGTCAGTTCCAGCGCAGTCTTCGCGTCAACATGGGGTCTAGCTCATAAGATGAATTTATTGCATTGGACAGCTCTGTAACTAAAATAATCACTACAAAGAAAGTTGGTATTCACCCCATAAATCGTAAGAGGGTACATTATGGTCAATATCATCATTTGTTCAAGGCGTTGCAAGATGACCCGGCCGCTTTTTTCAGTAAACCAGAGTCTTCAGGATATAGACTAGTCCTTTATCCACATCAACCTTCTCTGACAACCGGCGATACAGAAGTAAATATCGTTCCGGCAAAACCTGTAACGCCTACTGCTTGAGTCTGCCTTTATTGTGTTATTGCAAACTCAAGAGCATGATATTATTATAGAAGCTTATAGGCGCCGATCGGCTCTGGTTGCCGGTAAGCAGGAAACCGGCTTCCACTGTGTTTTCGCCCCTATGCCATAACGCACTCCTGTCTTTATATTCTTGTCATACACAGAGATGATGCTAATTTTTTTTCAAAAGACCGATTATTGAATTTTAATTGTTACAGGTGTAGACATTTCCATGCCCTCTCTAAGGACGGGTGTCTACGTCAAGGGAACGGAATATGTGGGATTCACCTTGCATCGGCAGATGTTGGAACTCTGTTACGCACGAAAGGATGTTTTGAAAGAATTTCCGTTGAGCAGAGGGGCGGTGTGTAACTGTTTTCTATAGATATATGTATACTAAATGACAAAATTCAACACCCACTAGGAGTGCTGTAGTCGTGAGCATGCTTTTACAAGTTTTGGGTCTACTGATAAATAGAAAGTGATTGAAATTTTAACCCGAAATGTCGCAAAATAGCCGAGATATCCCACCTTAATGTTAATAGTGTGTTGAAGCTCCTCTGTTCGCTACACAATCGTCGCGGCATTGATTGGATTAGGTGATTGATGTCTTTTTGGTGTATTGTATCCATGGCCATCTGAATTTGATTTATTTTGTAGAGCCTCCAATGTTTGCGACGGTGCAGTGAATTTTGCAACCTTCTTCCCATCATGTCCCATACATGTTCGATGGGGGAAAGGTCTGGAGATCGAGGTGGCCACTATGCTTCTACAAAAGTCTAAAATATCACGTGCGACCTGAGGTTGTCAATTGTCCTGCTGAAAAAGTGGATCTTGCAAAGTTTCCAAAGAGTGAGGCAGATGTGGTTGTAAAACTTCGTGGATATATCGCGGGCAGGCATGCTACCTCGAATGAACACTAATCGTGACCTGCTGCCGTAAACAATGGCACCTCATACCACAACACCCACAGTGAATATGCCGTACGAGGGAATACTGGACTTACACCACGTCTCCTCCTTACTCTTGCACTCTTGCACGGCCATTATGTGTACCCAAACAGAATCTGGACTCATCGCTGAACACAACTAAGTTCCATTCCTTATTCCATTCAAGTCTCTCCCTACTACATACCAATCGTTGCCGACGATGTTGTGGGATCAGAGATAGTAAAATATGGGGACGGTATGAAAACAATCCAAAAGACCTGATTCGGCGATAAACTGTCCTCATTGTTATTGCCCTTCCGACAGCATTAAACCACTGGTTCGCAACTGCCCTATTGTCTGTCTTTGACGTCCAGTACCTCTAACTCGTCGATTTCAGCCTTCTTGGAACCACGCTTGACAACATCCCATTACAGTAGCTTCGTTTCGATTCTCTAAAAGAAAATCAGGCTTCACGTAACTCGATTATCAGACTTCTCTCAAACTCGGAAAGTTGAGTGAAAGTAGTGCGTCGCCTGCGAGCTCTAGGCATGATAATGCAATGAAACAAATGGAACCAACACAGACAAATCACTGAATATTAAGTAAACATGTTCAATATTGTTTGGATCCGGACAAAAAAAGCCTTTACAAAAAAAAGTACTGCTCGGAATGCATTCAACATTTTATCAGCGTATGATAGCAAATATGTTTAAAAGTTTTTATCAAAATTCAATAAATTATCCTGGGTGTTGCGTTTTACATGTCACTTAGTATATTTGAATACACATAATCAAACAGTAGCTTTGCAAAGTGGAGCCACTCATTAAGATACATACCTTTTTTTTCATGGAAACAAAAAATCTTAGCCTTTTGCAATTTTAGCAGATTCTTCGAGGTTCCTATATTTTAATTGATTTTGATAATCATTTTATAGGTGAACATCGGTTCTGTGATACCAATAGAGCCAGGGAAAAAGCTTCGCAGGACTTCACTATCATTTATGCTAGTAAAAAATGAAGTGGATTATAGAGGCAACTTATCATTATGTCCAATGGATATGCAGACGTTCATTTTTTGAAACGAGCAGAAGCTATAAAAAGTATTAAAAATATTCAAATATTTCAACTGTCGTTTGTCAAATGTGATGACTGAGCATTCATTAGAAGGAGCATTTGGCTTGTTTATGCACGGATTGAAAAAAGTACAGCTATTTTTGCGTAGTTGGCATCTACAAGCCGTGTGTGGATCTAATGTTTGTTACAATTTCAACCAAAGATACCTTTTTCAGTGTCACAGTGGACCGTATTTTCCAGATGTATTAACTATAACAAAACATAGTGTTATCACTTATATAGCACAGCTGAAGCGTCATAGGCAGTGTAAACGGCAACGCTAGCTAGCGGCGAAACATGTGACTGGATTTCCTGTCTCTCTAGATGGGCAGCTCCGAACCAGTGTTGCCATTTTCACTTGTTTACAATCCAGACAATGCTTGACTTTCATAGTATCAGTGTTCAGCCGGGTTTTATTTGAAATATTTTAATAAAAATTTTATTGCAATCTCCTTTATTTAAGGAATGTAGTGACCTACGAGGCGATGCGTATACCCAGAATACGCATCTACCTTCAAAAGCATCTTGATAAAAACAGCTCGGTCGATAACTCCGTTATTACGCATGGTATCAAAAAAAATTGAGTACAAAAATTGTAGCCAAACATACATTTCTTTAAATGAAATACCCTACACTTTATTGCAGATTATGGTAGGTCTTACAAATGAAGCAATTTGATGTAACATATCATAAGGTTTTGTTCTGAAATTGTTGACATATTGCACAATCTGCCGAAAACAACACATTCACCTTTGACAACACGCACCCCCACAACTGACATAGTTAAAGTACTATATTTTTCATCAGTGATCTAGTATCTCTTTTAATAAGATATTTAACTAAGCCTCTAGCAACAGAACAACCCCAATATGAGGTTATTTGATTGATCCAAAGTGGCTGGAAAACTCTGCAAAAAACACCACTTTTCTGAGGAAGAAAAAAAATAGCAACAATTCGAAAATTGCAGAAAAGGTTGAGCATTTTTTAATGATTTTTTTTTCTGGATGTTAAGCACCTCGAAGAATTCAACTCAAAACCTGAAAATGTAAGTAGTTAGGGAGAAAATATGGGATAAAATTTTTCTGAAGAAAAATTCAGCAATAGCAGTTCAGGAGGTGCAAGTTGTCAAAGTTGGGTGTTTTTTTTTTGTTCTATAGATAGTCCAATATCTCAACAATTTGAAAACAAAACCCTAGTGTAGTATGTTATTTCCCATTGTTTCGTTTGAAAGGGCGTGTTCCAATCTGCAATCAAATATAGGGCTTTCCATTCAAAAACCTTTCTTTTGAAAGGACCACGCAGTTGGCTATAAGTTACCGACTAGCCCACACTAAAACTCACCCTGTAAATTTAAAGTAAAAAATGTTGCTTCAAGCTGCTACTGGTTGACATCAACATACAAATTAGATTAAAGCCTTCGAAGTTTTGCTGAATATAACTGATAAGGTGATTATGTCAGAATTGAAAAAGATGTCATAGCGTTTCATATCTTCGTTGTTAAAAGCGGGTGTAACTTATTGTAAAATAATATCCACAGCAAACGAAAATAAAATAAAACTGGTATTATAATGTACGCTTTTAAGATAAACTGCATACAGTTTTTTGTACATAGGTATAGTTTAGCTAGTACCAATTTTGTCAGGGGTAGATAATTTCACACTCAAATAAAATAAATCAATGTAACATCATTTTATTGTTTTTATTTGTGATTTTTTTATTTTTCAATCCAAAAATATACCATTTTTCCGAGTATACATTACTAAACTGATTTGCAGAACTGACTATCCATAAAAAATTTTTGATTCTTTCTAATTTAATGATGCTATCAAATCATAACAGTATCGACACATTTCCTAGAATTTAATCCTTATGGTTCAGTGATTGAAATGACAAGCCTAGATGATCTTTTCGTCTCAGATACCTTCTTGTTTTGCCAAAACTTTTTCCTTGATCAATGTGATGACCTCAGGGTCTAATATAGCATCCATTGTATCAGTTAGTGTTCCATTGCATACATGAGGCAGCTCTATAATTTCACTCCCAGAAAATCTACTATTTTGATTAAGTAAAAACATATAGAATTCTTCATTAGATATTCTAGGAATATTTGTTACATTATCAAATATTTGTGATAATTCATCATCATTTCTGTAGAATATTTTAGTTTCACTTGTAGTACTATCAGTTTTCCATGTTTTTTTACTTATCCCCAAACATATCTTCCTGGTTTCATCTAGTATATTTAAAGATTTACTTGCTGTACTATATGATAATTCCTGAAAAGAAAAAATATGCTACAATTCAGAATTAATGTCTAATCATTTTTGATGTGAGAGGACACCTCTGCTTTATGAAGTTGTCAATTCTATCAGATTTAGCTCTGCAATAAGTTGCTTGAAGTGTATTCCGGCAAAACCGGGTAAGACACACACAAGACGCATCAAAATAAATATAACCTGGACATGATGAAATGGCCAAAAAACAAAATAAAACTGCTTTACGTTTGCCTCCTTACCATTGTGAGCTCAATCCGATTGAGCTCATTTGGGCAGACAAAAAAATATCTTGCAGCAGAAAATAAAAGTTTTAAATTTTCTGACCTTAAAAATATTTTTCATGATGCTATACAAAGAATAACAGCGAATAAGTGGGGAAAATGTATTCAGCATGCAAAAGAAAAGGTCGAACCTAAAATGTGGGAATTAGACGGTATCATTGATACGCACGTTACCCCTTTAATCATAAATCTTGATGACAGTGGGCTTCAGATCTAGAATGATTTTCATTTTCAAATATATGTATTTCCGGCTTTAGAGATAAAATGTCTGTGCAATAAGTTATTGTACGAGTATAATATTTAGTATATATTATTATGTATTCAAATCCTTTTTCTTTCTACCCCACCTATCTATTCATTTTTTAGTCTGATATTTAAATTAACTGTTTGCACACTAACGTCCCTGTTCAAGCGGTAGTAAGGTATATGCATATGGAATTATTTTTTTAATGTATGAAGACATACTTTAAACGCCTGCTTTAAAAATGCGCCCTACGACACATTTCGAGTATAATTTCTTGATAAAACACTTCTACTAAAACAACAATAGACAGTTGTATTTCTTTTTTATGGTCATGTTAAAATGTACGAATTCCAAACTTTACGTTTGGACCCTATACACCCCTGCAATAATTTTGCATACTTTTTGATCGTGTCGTTAAACCACAAATCATTTATTCTTAGTACCGCCCTGTAACGTGCTCGGCGTTCTGGAGCGCGATCACGTGGAGTATACGTGAATATGTTTAGGTTTAGTCTCTTTCTTCGATGGAGACATAATAGTCTCTTTCTTCGATACATACATTATACTACCATTTTTTTTCTTTTGCAAAAGTAAAGTAGAAAGTTTCTTTTTTACCCGTTTTTGAGTTTTGTGAAATGGAATTTAGCAATGATGAGTACACCGATATTATTTATTATTTTTATGTACTGGGTCTGTAATGGAAATGCTTTGGCGGCTTCTCCGGAGTATCAACATAGATTTCCTAACAGACGCTAACCTACCCCAAAAGCTTTTACGCGTTCATTTCTAAGATTTCGGCAATATGAAATTGCCAAACTTCCCGGAGTTACACGCCATGATATATTCGGCATACTGTTCAAGATGAATTGGAAGTGATTAATTTGGTGTTGGGTGATCTTAGTAAAACTACTAGGCGGATTGCAGCCCAGTTAACATGTTCCCAAAGTCTTGCGTGGAGAATTTTAAATCGGGAAGTTTTACATCCTTACCATCGGCAAAATGTGCAATGTCTGCAGCCTGGCGACAAAGAGCAACAGCGAAATTGTTGTGAGTGGTTACTGCAAATGCATAATCAAAATGATTTCATTTCGTGGTCAGATGAATCGCCTCTTACGAGGAGTGGAACCTTCAATTCTCATAATGAACATACTCGTATTTGGTCATTAGAAAATCTCTGTTCTGTAAGAATCCACACGTTTCAACACAGATTTTCTAGAAATGCCAGACATTTGCATTTTCAATGGCCAACTGTTTATGCAAATATTGCCACAACGTTTAAATGCAAACTCATACTCAGCTTTTCTAGAAAATTACATTGAAAATGTGTTAGATGATGTTCCGCTGGTAACGAGAGTACTAATGTAGTATCAGCACGATGGTGCCCGACCGCATGTTCGTCGTGACATAGCCGCATGGTTAAATAATTATTTTAGACAACGATGGATTCGCAGAAACGGACCCGTACATTAGCCTGCGAGGTATCCTGACTTAAACCCCCTGAATTTATTTAAATAACTAGTGTATGCTGAACAAATTAATACTGTTGATCAGTTACAAGAAAGAATAGATAATGCGTTTCATCAAATTCAAGCCACAACAAATTTTGCGGAAATGCGTTTTTCATTACTAAAAAGATGCCGCACTTGTATCCGTGAGAACGGTGGTCTTTTTGAACATTTATTGAAATAAAGCTTTGATTACCTAATTTGTTTTTTTCATTCTTACGAAATCAGTGCACTCTGGGAAAAAACATAAGAGTAATTATTTGTAGGAAATTGAAGGTAAAATCCGAAAAATTGCGCGTTCCGAAAAAAAACAGTTGTGTACTATTTTTATTTAAAAAAATAATGCAACTAATCCCCTGTATCTCCGCCACTGGTGCTCCTTAATTTTAAGTAAAGACTTTTGAATGTGGACAATACTTAGGTAAATCCACATACCAAATTTTAGTTCATTGCAATTAAAGGTTTTGAAGATATTAAAAAAAAAATATTTTTATTTACAAACTTCAACATCCCATATCTGTATAATGAATCCCTCGAGGAAAAAATGTTACATAGAAGGCCCCCCTCAAAATGATTTCCTGTGTATGATGTTTCATGTTTGGTCACAATTTGTGAATTACCCTGTATTTATTAACTTACATCTTCCATATTTGGATTCATCACAACTTTTCTTGTTGTTTCATCAAAAATATCACTATCAATCAATAACTTCACCAAAAACTGAACTATAGATTCTTCCAATCTTTCACTGTTGTCTTCTTCCTACAAACAAAATGAAAATTAATTACACCTTTGATACATATTTTCCCATATAAATACCTATAACATCCTGTACACTGTGGTAGAGGCCATTCATGGCAAACAAAACACATTTCATATAGGTACGTATTCATTTTCAAATACATTTGTGTGCATATTACAGCAAACGTTTATTTTATACAAGTGCAAAAAATATAAATTTTAATATAAAAAAATAAAACTTACCATTGGAATCCAAGTGTTAATGCTGATAGCAGTCTCAAGGTTCTCTACATAGTGCCACCACTTGTGTGGAACAAATAGTACATCTCCAGGACCTAAAATAACCTTATGGCAATTGCCCACATTCTTGAATTTTTCAACTGTTGGGCTGAAAAAATTCAGTTTTGAAAATATACTAGATTCCTCATAAGGTATTCTGGTAGGGTACAGGTTTACATCTGGAGGAAACAGTAACCAGAGCTTCCTATAAGAAAAATTAATCATTTACAAATCAAGTGAAATTATTAATATTAGAATTTGTCTCTGATTTAATTGCAAAAATTTCCATAAAAAGACAAGAAAAATACCTTCCATATATTTGATGTACTAAATTGAAGCCATACGTGTCTTGATGACAAGGGGTGTGGGCACCTTTAGATCCTATCCAAATGGTGGAATCTTCCAGTTGTATCTCTGGAAATCCCAAGGATGTCCAATCAATGCTCTGAAGTTTTAATTGATCAAATTATGGATTACCTAAACCAAATAATTTATGGAATATTTTGATGCATTTTTGTAGCCAGACATGGACTAAAATCAAATCACCTAGCTCAAGCCTATAAAGGGAAACTGGATTGTTATATATGGGCCTAGAATTATAACTGAAGTACCTTTTTTACATTTCATAATCTTGTGAAAGGCCTGCAAGTATTGGATCCCTTATGCCTGTATTTTCTTAGGGAAAGTTCAGAACCAACAAGATTCATTAAAATAATGGATATACAGTTTAGACTTACATCTCTTATTTCTTTGACATTTATTAAATATTCCTGGAGATGTTTATAGTCAAAATACAACCATTTGTCTTCATCATTTAAATGCTTCATGAAATATATAATGTCTCCTTGAATTAATTCTGTAGTATGTGGATCTTGAGCTCTTTTTAAGTCGCCGCGTCTAAAGGTCATTTTCTCCTCTTTCAATGCATCTGTCCAGTCCTGAAGAGACCACTGCATAATTGGCCAGTTTAACATGTTTTTGAACAGCAATGGTTTGGCAGAGTTCAAAATCAATTGTTTTATTGTTGCAGATTCTATCTGCGACATATCTATTGGAATAAGCAAATTACTAATCCCCGATTAAAATCCTTATTGCGATTCATATCAGTGTTATGTTTTTCTTATGTTGAACAACACTAGTACACGAAAATATGCATCATAAATCAAATTCAAGCGGATAACCAAATGGAAATGGTATTTACCATTTTGGGTTGGTATTTACCGATCCGTTCAAGCGAGTGTAGTTATCAGTTTGGTTATAAGATCCGTGACGTCACGAATCAGCTGTTATATGTCATAGTTATCACCGCAAAATTGTGGTATTTACCCAACTCAAGAGTAGTTTTATATTTCTGATTATTATTTGAAATGTGACAAGTTAGAATTTTGCTGGGTATTGGATATTGATATTGTACTTCATCTTCATTTTAGAGAAAATTGATACAGGCTGACTTCAGTTTTACCATAAAGTGGAACACCTTATTAGTTACACTCATTACGGTTGTTGGGGACACGTTAAATGTAATTCCTATGCTTAAAAAAGTATCCTGTGTAGCCATATACCACAGTAATATTAAAATATGGCCATATAAACTCACTAGATGGTATGCTGAATCAATAAATTTTTTCTTTGACATGCGGAAAAATTTGGAGAATTGAATGTTATCATAGCTACAGAGCCATGGTTCCATCATTAAAAAAAAATCTGAAAAAAACATTTCTCCCATGAATATTATGAAAGGTTTCTTATTTAAACTTTCCATATACAGTTGTAGACGACAAAGCACCGATTATTAAGTGATAATAAAAATAATCAGAGATTATATACGCGCTTTTCTAAAATAAACAACTTGCAACAAAACTGCGGTTAAAACCAACGCGTTCAAGCGATTCGTGTAACTGACGTCATCAACCCGTGTGTCATCTTGAACCATATTATAACCGCGGCACATAAAACAGAAATTTTGGTTATTCGCTTGGATTTGATTATTATTTTAGAAAGAAATCAAATATCAAAACAAATAACTTGACAACATGAATCAAATTCAAGCGGATAACCAAATGGAAATGGTATTTACCATTTTGGGTTGGTACTCACCGATCCGTTCAAGCGAGTGTGGTTATCAGTTTGGTTATAAGATCCGCGAAGTCATGAAACACCTGTTATAAGTCATAGTTATCACCGCAAAATTGTGGTATTTACCCAACTCAGGAGTAGTTTTATATTTCTGATTATTATTTGAAATGTGACAAGTTAGGATGTTGCCGGGTATTGGATATTGTTATTGTCCTTCAGCTTCATTTTTGGGAAACTTGATACAGACTGACTTCAGTTTTAGCATAAGAAAGCACATTATTATTTATAATCATTACTGTTGTTGGGGACACTATAAATCTAGTTCCTACGCTTAACAAAGTATCCTGTATACAGTTTTGCTAATTTCTTTTTTCATCATTTCTGCTGAATCAATAAATGTTTTCTTTGACATGCGGAAAACTTTAGAGAATTGAAAGTTATCATAGCTACAAAGCCATGGTTCCATCATTCAAAAAAAATCTGAAAAAACATTTCTCCCATGAATATTATTAATCAAATCCAAGCGAATAACCAAAATTTCTGTGTTATGTACCGCGGTTATAATATGGTTAAAGATGACACACGGGTTGATGACGTCAGTTACTCGAATCGCTTGAACGCGCTGGTTTTAACCGCGGTTTTGTTGCAAGTTGTTTATTTTAGAAAAGCGCGTATATAATTTCTGAATATTTTTATTATACTTAATAATCGGTGCTTTTTCGTCTACAAAAGTGTATGGAAAGATTAAAAAAGAAACCTTTCATAATATTAATGTTTTTTTTTGAGGCAAAACCTTTTTAATGATGGAACCATGGCTTTGTAACTATGATAACTTTCAATTCTCTAAACTTTTCCGCATCTCAAAGAAAACATTTATTGATTTAGCAGAAATGATACGATAAAAGATATTAGCAAAACCGTATACAGGTGGACATTATCCAGTGAGTTTATATGGCCATATTTTAATATTCTTGTGGTATGTTGCTACACAGGATACTTTGTTAAGCATAGGAACTAGATTTAAAGTGTCCCGAACAACAGTAATGAGTATAACTAATAAGGTGCTCTACTTTATGCTACAAAGGGAAGTCAGCCTGTATCAAGTTTTCCAAAAATGAAGCTGAAGTACAACAAAAATATCCAATACCCGGCAAAATTCTAACTTGTCACATTTCAAATAATAACCAGAAATATAAAACTAATCTGGACTTGGGTAAATACCACAATTTTGCGGTGATAACTATGAAATATAACAGCTGATTCGTGACGTCACGGATCTTATAACCAAACTGATAACCACACACCAACTCGCTTGAACGGATCGGTAAATACCAATCCAAAATGGTAAATACCATTTTCATTTGGTTATTCGCTTGAATTTGATTATTATGAAAGGTTTCTTATTTACACTTTCCATACACAGTTGTAGACCAAAAAGCACCGATTATTAAGTGATAATAAAAATAATCAGAGATTATATACGCATTTTTCTATAATAAACAACTTGCAACAAAACCGCGGTTAAAACCAACGCGTTCAAGCGATTCGTGTAAATGACGTCATCAACCCGTGTGTCATCTTGAACCATATTATAACCGCGGCACATAACACAGAAACTTTGGTTATACGCTTGGATTTGATTAAGATTTGATTCATGTGGTTAACACCTGTCACCTTGACATTTGAGTACTATTTGTTTTGTGGGGCGACAGCTGACGGATTAGTAATTAGCATATATTTTGTGTTTTCAATGGCCTTTAAGGTCTGAGTCGAATATTTTTACAGATTTCAGTGTTGTTGTGGTATCAGGTGTTTGGATTCACTATTCCAGCCCCAGCACAGAATGTCTTGCAATCAGTGTGGTATCAAATATAACTTCTTCCACAAAGAGGTAAGGCTACAGATACATAAGACATTACTTATCCTTCACACATAATGAAACATTTTCAGATGGGCTGTTCAAGTTGCAAACGGTCATTTTGCGGAAAATGTCTCAATCAGAAGCTTAGAATATCGCCCAAAGGCCATAAAGAACCTGTATGCAAAGGCTGTTATTTGAAACTACAGGCAGGGTCCAGTGACGAGGCACCTCAACCGATTATACCACCAGATACTTTCTTCAAGTAGGTGATCAACCAGGCGCTGGTCTAGAATAATATTCTACTTGTGGATACATAAAAAACATTCCTTTAATCATAAAAGTTTGCATTGTGATGTGATGTAACCATTTGGTCACAAGTATTGTATTGTAACTCCTCAAACTTATCCTGTGGTTTCATGTTCATAGGACTCCATTGCCTGGACCAAAATCTCATATACAGGGTGACTTCGAAGTTGAGTCATTTATTTTAACAGTGAGTAGATCTGATCAAAAGAAATGTTTTTTTCCTTTACCATTTTTCTGGTAAAATTAAAGTAACAAAGTTATAGCCCTTTGGAAGTTTGAGTACCGCCCTGTCTCAATGTGCTCGTGTTTGGCGACAACGGATATAATCCGCCGTATCGGTTCATCGCATCGGAAACAAAAAAGCGAAAGAATTTGGAACGAATTATTTCATTCATTTGTATACAGTCAGTGTCAGTGAATAGTTGTATCTGTTGCGTGGCTCAAACGAAATAAAAAATGGCACATGGTTATGCGGATCGGTTTCCCAATCGAGTGCAACCAACCCCTCGTGCCTTTGTTAATGTAGTACAACGGGCTCGTGAATCAGGTGACTTAAGACGATCAAATACAGGTCCGCACTGAAATACTTGTCGGGAGGATACTTTATAAAACAAGGTAAACATTTTTTTTTAATTTTTTTTTTTATTTTTACACACATATTTTGGTTTATCTTCCTTCTACAATCATTATCTGAAAATTAATGACTCAACTTCAAAGTCACCCTGTATGTGTAGATTTCAGAATATTGAATGAGTTATTGACCACCACTGTGTTCGTTTACAAGTACAATTGAGATCTGTGACAAAATATTTTGCTTTCTATCTTCCAACTGCCATTTCATCTCTTTTTCCTTTTTCACATTCTTATACAGTGTGTTACTACATTAGTCTGAATAGCCCTGAGCATGCTGAGATTGCAAGAACCATGATTGCAATTTTAAGATTTACCACTCAAAACCAGCTAAGCTGAGGACCACATGAGGTAGACATTCCCACTCCCAAAAGGGTGCCTAGCCCCCAAACTGACAAGCGATGTATGAGGCTATCTGTTGTTTTTTAATGTACCAGCCACATTGTCCACAGATTTATCTTAGGCAATTATCAACTACAAATGCTGCATATGAATTGTTTATGGATCTGAAATACTTTGACATCTAAAGGGAACCATATTGTTTGCCTTGTGAGGAAATAATATTAGACACAATATTGTCCTTGAGATGGCAAAGAAAAACATCTGTGCATTCAACAGATAACCTCATGCTTGCCTTGTCACTTTGAGGGGTTGGAGATTCCTTTGGGAGTGGGAATAAATACCTAAAATGCTCCTAAGCATTGTTGGTTTTGTGCAGTGCCAACCAGAAATTGCATTGATGGCTATGCACAATCTCAGCCTTTTATAGACCCATTCAAACTATTGTAGTAACACACTGTATAGGAATGTGAAAAAGGAAAAAAGAAATAAATTGTCACCTGGAAGACGGAAAACAAAATACTCATATACAGGGTGTCCGCAAAGTTGGGGTTTTGCTTTACACGACGTGTAGATCTTGAAAACATAAGCAATTTTTCTTAGTACCATATACACCAATGTCTTAAGGGAACCGAGATAAAGGGCTCTGCAACATCAAAAATATCTGAATACCGTCCTGTAGCCGCGACCCGCCGCGATATCCCAGACTGGTACTGGCTACTAGCTGAACCTGACGACAGAACTGGGTCGGGGGTCGGGGTCAGTGTGTCAGGTCAGTATGCAACCTTCAACCGACGGTAAAGGGTCACGCGTATAGAGGTAACGAACCCGTATAATCGATTGCGTTTCAAAAAAAGAAAATAAATAATAATAATGGCACACTCATACACCAATAAGGAACTCGTTGATATGTTGTTAATTTATGGCGAATGTCTTCAAAATGCTACAGAATCGTCGCGAGTGTATGCAGATCGTTTCCCTAGACGACATCATCCAAGGCCCCGCAGATTTGTGTACCTGGTCCAGAGAGTCAGGGATACGGGCCATTTGGAGGAATTTCGAGGTGGGCACAGTGGGAGGCCTAGACAATCACGAATGGTGCAAGTTGAGGAAGAACTACTGAATCGCGTAGACGAGAATCCCTCAACAAACACTAGAGACGTGGCTAGAGAAGTGCAAGTATCAAAAACTAAAGTGCGGCAAACGCTGCGTGAAGAGGGGCTGTATCCGTTTCACGTCCAACGTGTACAAGCGCTTCAACCTGACGATTTTCCAGCAAGAGTGCGGTTTTGTGAGTGGTTGTTGCATCAACATGACAATAATCCGGACTTTTTGAAGTGCATATTGGTGACAGACGAATTTACGTTCACGCGTAATGGGGTGAATAACTTTCGCAACACTCATGTTTGGTCAGTAGAAAATCCGCACGCTGTCCGTCGGGTACATTTTCAACAAACATTTTCGGTGAATGTTTGGGCTGGCATGGTGAACGGTATGCTCATTGGACCATTTATTCTCCCAAATCGATTGGACGGGATGCAATACCTAGACTTTTTACGCAACATTTTGCCTTACTTGTTAGAAGATGTGCCATTAAGTGTAAGACAATCAATGTGGTTTCTGCACGATGGTGCACCGCCCCATTTTAGACGCGAAGTGCGTCAGTTTTTGGATGAATTATTTCCGAATAGGTGGATCGGACGTAATGGACCCGTAGCGTGGCCTCCGCGATCTCCAGACTTAACACCATGTGATTTTTTTCTTTGGGGAGAAATGAAACGCTTAGTGTACAAAACTGAAGTGCATACGGTTGACGAACTTCGTCTCAGAATTGAACAAGCTGGTGCTTTCATTCGGGGGAGGGACTCCATTCTCAAAGCCTGCACCGTTGCTTGGCTACATCGTGCACGCACCTGTGTTTTTGAATCAAACGGCGATAACTTCGAACAATACCTATGAAGTACGTTTACCTAAAAACTGAAAACGCGGCAACGCCGTCTTATTTGTCTGGTCTGCACCACCGCCGGCGTCTGCTCGGTAGCGCATGAGCTGATTTCATTTTCTGTTGGAGCGGTATGATTTCAGGCAGAGACGTACTTAGCCCTTCTCGTCAACTGGAGAGTGAGTACTTTTTCCTTTATTTTTTTTTACTTGGTCGCCCTCGTTTCACTACACATTACCTTTGTTATTTCAAGGGTAGTTGTTTCTGAAAAGGAAAACCCCAACTTTGCGGACACCCTGTATTGTCACAGATGTCAATTGTACCTGAAAAAGACCACAGTTATGGTCAAAACACTTTACAATAAAGTGAAATCTAAACAAATATGTTGTTTTGATTAGGCCAGACAATGGAGTCCTATAAATACCATATTATTATCTAAAAAGATATGATTTTAGGAGATGGGAGAATTTGGAAAACCCAACAGCCAAACCACCTATAACAGTGTATAAGCAAGATCGAACAAACCAGAATCAGTCATATTTTGGCCTTTCAAAGGCAGATATAGAGTTAATGAAGAGGCTGGAAAAATTAAAAGATAATGGTGATCAGTCAAAAAGTCTCCCTACAGATGCAGAGATTAGAGCTAGGCTGTCGCAGCTCAAAGGAGATAATCATTATACTGAAGAACCTGTTAAAGGCAAGGTGGTAGGTATTATGTCAGTATTTGAACTGTCTGGCTTGTATTAAAACAATTCAAATTAAAACTCTATAGTACTGTCTACAATTTCTACTTTTTTGAGTGATGGTGGATATATACTAAGTGACATATAAATCCGAACACCCAGTTTAAATGGTTTTATTTTAATAAAATTTTGTATAAGTACTTAATGAAGCATAATAAGTAAATGATAAAAATTTCAAAATGATTGCACTGCTTTAAAGCCCTTTGACCTTTAATAATGTGTGGATGCACCCTGATGTGCTACGCATTCTCCAACGCGCCTAGGCATGCTTCTGATCAGGTGGTCAATGTCCTCCTGTGGTATCTCATTCCAGGCAACCACCAACTCCTCTCGAAGTGCTTCTAGAGTCTGAGGAGGACGTTGCAAATTGAGCAATCTCCTACCAATCATATCCCACACGTGCTCAATTGAGGATAAGTCGGGAGATCTTGGTGGCCATGGTAACAGTGTGACATCATTATGTTGAAAGAAGTCTATTGTGACTCTTGCAACATGTGGTCGGGCATTATCTTGTTGGAAAGTTGGATCTGCCAGGGTGTCAAGATATGGTAAAAGATGGGGTTCTAGAACTTCGTGGATATAACGCTGCGCGTTCATGTTGCCTCTGATGAAGATTAAAGGTGACCTGGAACCATAAGCTATAGCACCCCAAACCATAACTCCAACAGTGTGATGAAAATGTCTTTCAACAAAAAACTGTGGATTCCTCCTTTCACCACGTCGCCTTCTAACCCTAGCACGACCATCGTGCATGCCTAAACAAAATCGAGACTCGTCACTAAAGACAATACTGTTCCATTCCTGATCCCAGAGTGACCGTTGTCTGCACCACTCAAGGCAATTACGTCGGTATTCTCGAGTTAAAGGGAGGACCCAGTGTGGCCGGTATGAAAACAAGCCAAAACTTCTCATTCGTCGGTAAACACTTCGCATGCCAATAGGTCTTCCGTGTTCTGCAAACCATTCATTTGCAATGGACCTGGTAGTGGAGAAACGGTCCCTTAAGGCCAATAATCTTAGGCGGCGATCTTCACGGTCTGTTGTTCTACGGCGGCGTCCAGTGCCCCTTGCTCTTTGCATACGGCCTTCTCGAAGCCATGCCTGACAACACCTAACCACAGTGTCTACACTTCTTTGCACTCTAACTGCAATTGCCCGAAAAGAAAGTCCAGCTTCCCGAAGTCCCACTATACGGCCCCTATCAAACTCACTAAGTTGACGAAATCGTACAGGTCTCCGTACTCTAGGCATCGTAACCGATCGTAAAGGATGTCAAGAACCAAAATCCGCCAACGTTGATTCTTTACTGCGGCTGAAATATTCATTTTTAGAGCGTTAGTGAATTAAAAAAAAGCAGTATAAAAACCGGAATGTTCAACTGATAAAGCTGAAAATTTTTTCACTTGTTATTTACAGCAAGATAAATACATTCACCAACTTTTATTAAAATAAAACCATTTAAACTGGGTGTTCGGATTTATATGTCACTTAGTATAATTACATGTTACTTTGATGTTAACAGAATTATTCCTGTAAAATCCAAAAGTAAATAAATTCATTTGCACACACATTTACAAAATGTGCACTGAATATGGACATGATTCATTTAAGAATGTAAAAGTATCATTGCATTTTCTACTGGTATGCATGTTGCTCATTTCACTTTTTTTCTTGTTAAAAGGGCATTTTAGTGTATTTCCACTGGGAAAATTATTTTTAATATTTTGCGCTAGGTCATGAAAAACATTTAAGAAGAAGATGCCCAGTTCTATGATGTTTTTGGACTTTCACAGCCATTGTGCCATAAGATTGCAGGTATTAAAGCATAACTGTCACAAGGGTTCCTAGTGTCTTATTTATTTAAAATCTACACTATACTTCTACACTCTCCTCAAAGTTAGTGAATTGGTACAGCAAATGGAAAAAAATAATTATAAATAACATGTACAGCAATCTAATGAAATGTCAGGGAATTCATAAATAACCACCCTACACTGTTTTTGTTCCCACACAATTGCATCAGTGTATGCCAGAGGAAAATGCAATTACAAAACTTTTGATAATTGCAAGTCAATTTGGTTTTGTTTTCCAGTTATACCCTACAGACAGTCGCAGTGACCCTGAAAAAGTAGACAGTCTCCTGGAACAGTTTGTGAAGGAAAAGGAGATCGAAATCACCAAGGACCCCACTTTAGAAGGTATTGAAGCTCGGTTGGCTACATTAAGGGATCAAGGAGTGAGACCGAACGAAGGACCCTATGTCAGGGAACTTCATGATGGTGGGTCTGACGAAGAGAGCGGGAATGAGGAACGTGAAGTTGATAAACTCACTAGAAAGGTAGTATAAATTGAAGTTGCCCATATTGTATTGCTTACCATTCAGAATGACAACATTTTATTCAGTTTAAGTTTTACCTAGAGTAGGGCTGAACCACACGTTCACGTCGAAAGCCGTTTCCACTGTTGATACAATCGCTGAAAGACTTCAATTGTGAGGCTCTTCATTTGTCGGGTCGTTTCTGGGTTGATGGCTTTCACTCCCCCCAATACTGCCTTTTAAGCACCATTTTGCATTTTAGGAACAGCAAGAAGCCGCAAGTGGGTGAATCGGGTGAATAAGGAAGGTGTTCTGTCACGGTGATTGAGCTTCGGGCCAAAAACTCACGCACAACGAGAGACGTGTGAGCAGGCGCGTTGTCGTGAAAGATTCACCTTGTGCCAAATCCGGTCGAACTGGGGCCACACGAGCTCTGAGACGACGCAACTTCAATGTAGAAATGTCAGGTCACTGGGAGGGACAAATTCCTGGTGAACAATGCTCCGAGAATCGAAGAAAACAATCAACATTGTTTTCACATTGGACCTTGATTTTATCGACTTTTTTGTTTCCGGTTCCCCTGCTTGCTTCCACTCCATGCTTTGAGATGTTAGCTCCACATCGAATTCGTAGAACCAAGACAGCGATGAACCGGTTGAGAAAGTTCCCCCTTTCCTATGCTTCCAACCAATCCTCAGCTTTCTGTTCTGGAGTCAAGAGCTTCGACACGATTTTCGCGCACAATTTTTTCATTTCAAGTTTTTATGTCAGAATTTCGTGGACGATTGTTTTGGGGATTTACAGTTCCTCAGCTATCATTCTAACTGTCAATCGACGGTCTTTAAGAACACAGCCACGAATTCGTTCAACATTTCCCTCAGGATGTGGAAGGATGCTTTCAACAAGCACACGTAAATCCTACTGACTCGCAGAGCGCTCCGGCTCGAACTGAGCATAGATGGGATTCATAGAGAGTGGGAACCACTGGGCCACCCCTGCACAACGCCTTGACCCGACGCCCCGAATTTTTTATACGTATTCTCCGGACAAACCTCGTATGTAATTCTATGTGGCGCCTCTACAACCGATAGTGTATTGGGAAACAGTAATGCCGTCTTTAGGAGGTAGAAATGTAGTTTTTTCAAAAACCATTGTCCAGTAACTTGATTTTTTGTAGGTTTTTCACAAACCTTATTTCTACTCATAATTTACCGATTTTGAAGATTGTTGAGCTCCTTATGTCATTATGAGTTGTTAGGAACTTTGCACCTGATTTAGCTTAAACTAAATGGACTGTAATTATAAAGTATCTACAAGATATTTTTTCATTTAGATAATGGACGAGGTAGCGATGGACGATCGAAACCACCTGAAAAGCAAATCGAAATGGAAAAAAGACGAACGAGACGAAACCAGTGATGAAGACCCAGAAATGACAGATGATGATGATGAAGACAGCACCACCAAACCTTGCCGGGATTGCCCTGAGTTGCCTTGGTGCGTACTTTGCAATAACGATGCAACATATCGATGCACCGATTGCACCGGCGACCTTTATTGTGACGAATGCAATAGGGAAGTGCATCGAAATTGGGGCGAGAATGATCACAAGGTGGTGCCGTATAGGAGGAAGTAGAGCAAATATTTGCTGTGATACAAAGTCTTTCTTTGATATAGTTGTTAAAAATGAGTGCATTTAAGGAACAACAGCAATGACAATGTCAAAGTGATTCAAATAGTCGTTGACATGAAGCGCTTCTACTTTGTCGTTTCTTGATAAGTCCAATGTCACCAACAAATTTTGAGCAGATCATGTGTTTCAAGAGCTATAATTTAACCCTGATATGAGTTTTTCCTGGCTCGTATGGTATATAGCACTGAATGGGGTGCTTGTCTACTGGGATCTTGTTTTATTATTTATTACACCCCAAGTTTTGGGAGACTTAGTAGGCAGTAGGATCACAAAGCAGTCCCTTGAAAGAAATTCATTATGGTATTTTTTTATCGATAACAATGGCAAGGTTACTTTTTTGGATTTTTTTAATTGTCAAAGCAGACTGTATTTTGCAAACGATTTCAAGAGGCTATCAATTTTCATTACTTGAATGTCTTTTAATCGTCAAAAAATATCTGTATTGTTGATGTTATGTTTCCACGTGTCCACTAAATAATTAATAGTACAAACGATTCGTGCAGCCAGGCGTTACAGTCCGCGTTATGCACATTAAAATATATATCTACGCGTATTTTGCTCACAAAGAACGGATGTCAACTTTTGGATAATTAATTTAATATTGTCAAATTAGCCAGTATCATTTAGTAGCTCTTTATGTATTTATGTCGGAGGAACTTGTTATTTATATCTATAATAAAAATAATCTTATTTGTAATTATTCCAAATATAATGTTCTATAGCATTCGTGTTTTCATCTGAAAATGTACATCAAATTGGGTGCCTGGAGTGGTTATACAGTTAACTCGTAATCTCGTGGGCTGTGGCCTTGAATGCGCAGAATGCAGAAGCAAGACGCTAGAAACTCTACTACATTAGTTAAAAATATATATATATATATATATATATATATATATATAGGTTTTTCTATATATTCTGCTCTTGGACATCGAACGGGTAACATCAGCATAACAAAGGCGTTCTTATATTTTTTCCAGGGGTATTATTTCTAATTATCTTAAAAACTACAACACAGTCTTTTTCAAGACTACCAGTAGATCTGGCAGGCAAAATGAAAGTTACTATAAATTTGCAAATGAAACATTGCATTAAAAATTATTTTTCAAAAATAGGGAACAAAATAACAAGAAAGTTGTTCATGGCCAAGGACGACAAATTATATTCAATGTGTTTGAATATATGAAGCGAGGAAAAGCAACAGGAGAATTAATCATACCTCTAAGCCGTTTATTTGAGAGAGTAGCTGAAGATACAGGTGTATCCATAAATACTGTGAAGCGTGTTGTCAAAGAAAATCACTCTAAACCACCGAGTACAAAATTTAGTTTTCGAAAAACCATGAATGAATCTAGTCCAAAGGCGTCAGTGGATCAATTTGATGAAGAAATGATTAGAAATGTTATATACAAGTTCGTGCATATCTATAAAAAACTTAAAAATAAAATGAGTAGTGGTGATGATGGCATTCCAGCTAGTATTTTAAAATATTGCATAGTAGTAATTCTGGAACCTTTGATTCACATAATAAACTACTCACTTAAGTACAGTATTTTCCCTGAAAAACTTAAATTAGCTATAATTATACCTATATATAAAAAAGGAGATCCTTGTCTTGCAAAGCTTTTTGAGTTAGTGATGTATTCAAGAATTATGAATCATATGTTATGTAACAACTTAATTGCAGAGTTACAACATGGGTTTGTAAAAGGGAAATCCATCAAGACGGCGATCTATTCTTTCAGCCACATCATGGAATGCCTTGAAAATAATATGATATCGCTGGGTCTGTTTTTTGATCTCTCCAAAGCTTATGATTATGTGGATCATTCTCTACTATTGAATACGGGATAAGGGAAAGTGCTTGCAACTGGATTAAGAGTTTTCATTACAAAGCATGAAATATCAGCCGTTTCATCACAGTTAACGGTAGAAAGAGGTATTCCACAAGGTAGCGTCTTAGGACCTCTCCTCTTTTTGATTTTTGTGAACGATCTGAGAGCTAGTATTACAAGCCTAAATAAAGTATGCACGATCCAATACGCTGACACTAGTGTACTAGTCGCTGGCCGAGATTTCAACCATTTAGCTGATAGTACTTTGAGCCTCTGCAAGAAAGCGTTTTTGGTTTGCTCGTAATGGATTATCTCTGAATACCTCAAAAACAAATGCGATTGTTTTTAAGTTAAGAAAAAAAATCGTAGCTACAAACATCACCTTAGCAGAAAGAATAGAAGTCCCTCTGACAGACTGTGGAAAATTCTTGGGAGTTCATATTGACCAAGCACTTTCCTGGGCTAAACATATAGAACATCTAGAAAAAAGGTTAAACAATGCATGGTATAGTATTAGAGTACTAAGCAAGTACCTAGACTTCAAGACTCTAAAAATGGTATATTACGCGAATTTTGAATCCATTGTACGTTTTGGAATATTTTTTTTCGGACATAGTAGCCATACCAATAGAATCTTTCTAGTGCAAAAGCGAGTGCTGAGGTGCATCCTAAAAATTTCCTCTAGAGAGACTTGCAGAGGAAAATTTAAGAGTAATAAAATTTTAACTGTAGCCGCAATATATATTCAAGAGATTCTAATTTTTACATTTAAAAATATTAACAATTTTATCGGCAACCCACGAAGTGACTATAACACAAGAAATAGTGTACCTGTGAATCTTCTGTATCCAGTCCATCATCTCACGGTTACCGAAAAAAATGTCCATTACAGCTGTACTAAAATATATATTAAGTTACCACAAGAAATTAAAAGGTTGGCAGATATAAAAGAATATAAAAAGAGTATTTATCAATTGTTAATGCACTTAGAAACATATGACCTTCAAGAATATTTTGAAATGTAATATCTCTATGTTATATGTTTTGCCTCTTTGTTTTTTCTGTCTTGATGACACTGTGACGTATATTTCACCTAACAGTGTGTAATAAATTGTAATCATGCACTGTTATTTTGAAATAAAGATTTATTATTATTATAAAAGGAGACCTACAATGAAGGCGGTGTACGATGGTGTAACTCTTAATGGAAAGCTCACGTCATTCAGGAAAATAGTACGCCAATTGGGTTTCCGTTGGAAAAGAACAGAAGATAACAGGAAAGTACTGATTGAGAAGCCAGAGATCAAAGAGAAACGGACAGAATACTTGAGAAGACTCAAAGAGTATAAGGATCTAGGTGTGTGGTTATATTTCAAACGACTTAAGAATACAAAATTTATGATGTTTTTCAGCATAAGAGAATTTGTTTTTATCTCTTAACCATAGAAACACTTTTGTATGCGTAAACATCGTTTACAATGACGAAACATACATACATAGCTCATACACAGTACGGAAAGCATAGGATGATGGAACAGATAATTGCTTAAAAGCACCACTTGTAAAAGGCAAACGTTTAATAATTGTACATTGTGGGAGTAGAAAAGTGTTTTCCCAATGCAGACAGATATTCAAATCAGGATTAAAAACAGGCGATTTATGAATCATGAAAATTATAAGAAATGCATGCAAGAAAAACTAATACCAAATTCTGTATTAATTAATTGACAAAGCATTCTACCATAATGTTCCGATCAACCGTAATCCAACGTCTGCTTGTGAAAAAGCAGATATGCAGAAATGGCTCACTGAAAAGAATATACCTTTGGATAGTAATATCACAAAACCTGAACTTTATTGTACCATACAAACATAAACCATTAAACAATATTTATGCAGCAGATAGGATAATAGATGAAAATGGTCATGATGTTCTGCGCTTGCCTCTCTACCATCCAGAATTAAACGCTATAGAGAAAATCTTGAGCATTGTCCAAAATGAGGTTGCTGCCTGTGATACCACCTTTAAAATGGACGATGTTTTTACATTAGCGAAACAAGCATTAGACCGCGTGACTTCAGAAACATGGAGAAACGTTTGCGACCATGTATCAAGAGTGGAGGAAGAATACGTAAGTCGGGAATATATAATGGATAACGTCCAGGAATTGATTATAAAAATAGGCCATGACAGCGATGAATCGGACCTGCAGCTTTCATAAGATAGTAGTAGTGAAGATGACGATTTAGGATGCCAACCACTTAGCAGTGGGACTTCTATCTCAGTCCAAGTAAAACGAATGTTAAGGTGTTAGTCCACTTAAATAGCCAAAACTGCCGCAAAAGTGATAACATAGCCACAAATTTATTTCCGCTGGCGTAATGGTGTAATAAAGGCTTGCGAATATTGCTGTATGAATTTGGTTTTCCGGAAACCAGCCGTTTTTTGTAAAACAGCGAAAAACCAAAAAAACCTCTTTTTCGCTGAAACGGCTTAGGATATCTGGGATTTTTCTAATTTTTGGGCCATCAAAAAAGGTCTGCAATTTTTTTGCTAAAATGTGTAGTTTTCGCGCTGATAGTTTGATGGCGAGGGGCTCGCGGGGTAAGGGCGCGCGTATGGTATATCTGAAGTCACTTGAAATAGCATAAAAACCTTTGGTCGGCGCGTCCTTTGTAATTTCATGACGTATCATAGGCGTGCGGTGATTTATTTAGAACGATAATAATAATATTTTTATATCACAATAAATGGATTTTACTATCTTCTTATTTTTTTGATTTGGGATAAAAAATACTTATATTGGGAGTTTAATTTATGTTGACTGAAAGTTAAGAAATGGAAAAATTACAGAATTCCAACGTTTGACATAGGCAAATATTTACATAGCAGGTAGGTATATGTATATAAAGACTTACATTATAGGTATTTATATATCATCCTCGCCTTCGGAGCTGTCGCTAGAGTCATCTTGTAGAGGAATTAAAACGGGATTTACAGGAGGCAAAACACAATATTCATTTTCTTTTTCAACAATATGCCTAGAACACTGCTTCCATAGGTCTGTGGCAGCAATATGAGATACTGCATCTCTTATTGTGGCCAATAGCGATTCACTTAATTGAGGGGTCTGATTATGTTTTCTTACTTGTTTTTTTAAAGCAGCCCAGACTAACTCAATCGGGTTAAAAATGCAGTAATAGGGAGGTAGACGTAATACTTCATGGCCATTTTGCTGAAGCAGATTGTCAACAACTCTTTTTCAAATTTTTGTCTTTTAATAAGATCCAATAATATGGCTTTGGTTGATTTTTGTGGTATTTCCATTCCCTTATCCTTCATAAAATCAATAATGTCTTGTTTTTTGGTGCCTGTATTCGGAATTTTGTTTTTCTGTCGGGAATGGTATGGCGCATTGTCCATAATAATCACTGAATTTGGGGAAATGTTTGCTATTAACTGCTGCTCTATCCACTTTTCAAATAAGTCGGAGGTCATGTCCTCATGATAGTCGGCACATGATTCTTTGATATTTTTGGCAGATAACAGCAAGGCATTAGGTATAAATCCATTTTCACTGCCAGCATGGAGAATAATGATTCGTTTTCCACGGTTGCATGGTGCATTTAAAATGCACTTGTTGCTGTCGTCAACCCAGCCGTACTGCACAACATCATGGGTATCATACCACGTTTCATCCAGGTAAATCAGATTTCTTTTCTGCTCTCTATAGATTTTAACTTTGTGCAAAAATTCTTGGCGTAATTCAACGATTCGAGACGACTCCATAATCACCATTCTTTTATCTAATTTTTTGTATTGAAAACCACACAGTTTTACAATAAAGTGCAGTGAGTCTAAGCATTTGTAATTATAAAAATCTTCAGGATAATCTTTTAATTTATCCCGTATCATTTCCAACGTGGGCACCAAATTTTCTTGATAAAATCCGTATATTATACGACGAATATCTTCCTGAAAACCCACGTCTATTCTTTTTAATTTTTGCCCTATGCGCTTTCTGTGGAAGGAATGGTTGACTACATCTCCCCTTTTTATAATCCGATAAATGGTAGACCGACTGATTTTTGTCAGGATACATATTCTGTTTAAAATTTGATTTTGCGAGGAATCTGGATTTTCGTTTTTCAAACAATTATACATATTTAGGATTACTCTTTGGGTCTGTTCCTCTAAATCTTTATGAAAGAATTCTGCCTGCACAGGTTCATCAACCATCTCCTCGTGGCTTGGAGCATTTTCCCAAGGTCTCCAAAGAGCCATATTTAGGACACACAAGAACAATCAACACAACAATTAAATCAACAAGTAAACTGAGTATTCAAAAGTCAAAAACACACAAACTAATAAAATCTATGAAAAAACACGGACAGACTAAAGAAAACACGTTTATTCACCGCTACACGGCACTGGCTAAACTGTTTCAATTTTCAGTAGCCACCTGCACTTTTTCGGAGCTCTGAAATACACGCTTTCTCATTGGCTATGTCCACGCATAGGCGTGCTTTACTCCACATGGACCGGTGAAACTGCCTTTGATCTTATACGGGGGATATTTGCTGCGAAATTTGGCGATTTTTGCAGCAACAGAGCGTGTTAAATATAGATATATAAAACGCACCCGGTATTTCACAGTGTTTCAAGTGACTTCAGATAAACTATACCTCCATACCACGCCGCCGTACCGTCCACCAGGGTTGCCAGGTTTTCAGTCACGTTGTTCGCAAAGTTTATTAGTATATCGGCAAAAATGGATTACAAATTAAGTGGCGTCAGGAATGCTAAAAATCGCCAATTTGCTGGATACTGGGCGCCACTAAACTAGCCAATCGTCAAGCTATCCATTTTAGTCGCCATTTGAAGACGTCAAATCGCCACGCCTGGCAACCCTGCCGTCCACGCGTTGACGATACAGACGATCTCTTACTACCTGGTTATTCGCGAAACTTTTTAGGGCGTACGCCAAACTATAAGTTAATCATACTTCCAATTTTTGACTATTCGAATTAGAACCGCAACTGCTGAAAGAAGCTTTTCGAAATCGAAAATGATTGAATTATCTTAGGACTTCTTGAGACAACTGCGACCATCAGACCTTGTACTGTCTTCAGAGGCAGATAATCTCTGAATATTAGAATCATCTTCCTCTATGGATGATGGAAAATATTTCCGGCCAAAGTTAACATTTACACTGTCACAAGAACTGAAATTTTCCAACGCTTTGTTTCTTTTGCAAAAAATCTCAAATTTTGCCCCCTGGGATTAGCCATAATTGAGTGAGGGCCCCCGACAAGTTTTGATATGGCGACCTACGCTACTGCTTGGTTTAATAAAGAGATGTACACAATTATAAAAGAATTTATTTAGAAATATTTTAAGCTGACAAATAATATAATAATACAATTAAGCATAGTAGTTAAGGTTCGCTTTCTTCTTGGCCTGTACTTCCATAATGGCGTCCATGTAGTCTTCGTGTGTTACTGCCGTCGCGTTTCGACGCAGAGCAATCATACCTAAAAAAATGTATAACTCATATATACGTACAGTTACAGGCAAGTTAATCATTATCGTACAAACAGCCCAACTTAACAAATCTATGGATTCATCACCACCTTCGAAATTGGTACTTTCTCAGATGAGGAAAATGTACATCAAGTTGGGTGCCTGCAGTGGTTATACATATGGTTAGTGTTTGACATACATATAATACCACAAAGCTGTAAATCAGCATCATTATGTGTATTCAGTCTAGATAATATATTCGCATCTGATGAGAAAAATATTGCGAGTAGGATTTTTTGCTTATCTTATTTAAAGGACCGCTTGTAGCGAATCTGCATGTTGCCAAGCGTCAATTTTTCAATCCAATTTTTTTTCACTCGGGCCAAAGTATTTTACGTTTTGTGGAATATTCTGAACAAAAAAATGCTTTAGAACTTTTCTCTAAAATTGATAGTTTTCGAGATGCAAGCGATACACTTGCTGGTACTAAAAAATTAATCGGGTCAGCGGTGAAACAGCTGCAGTGTTTGCACCTCCTTGTGATGTCTTATAATGGTACCATTCTTTCAAATTGCGATACTCACCAGCCTCTACGCAGACAGCTTTACACTGTGCCCCATTAAAATCGTCTGTTGACCGTGCTAACTCTTCGAAGTTGACATCTGGATTGACAGTCATTTTCCTAGAATGGATTTGCATAATGCGGGCACGTGCCTCTTCGTTGGGGTGCGGGAACTCGATCTTACGGTCCAATCTAGAATGGAATTAAGATTTCGACTCTGCTTTGTCATTCTGATATCCCATGAAAAAATGTTTGGTTTACTTATAGCGTTTTTCCCTGTATATTCATTATTCCAGTATTTATAATCATTTGAGTGCTGAATTGCACTAGTGCATACAACTGGAAGATGCTATTAGATATTGGAACCATTTGGACAACCTATTTGAATATAGCTAATTTTTTGCTATGCCCTACGATGACCCATAAAGATGTATCAAATTAAAATTCAACCATATTAGGTACTCCTGTACATACCTGCCAGATCTCAATAGCGCTGGATCCAATATGTCAACTCTGTTTGTGGCGGCGATAACTTTGATATCTGCAGTGGAACTAAAACCATCGAGTTGATTCAGCAACTCCAACATCGTACGTTGCACTTCCCTGTCGCCAGCTGGAAAACTCATATAGCTTAGCTACTCATACATTCACTTCCAGATCAAATTCAAATTCAAACTACCAATAGATTTTAGCACTGCTAACTTACTCAGTCAGTTAAATTTCAAAGGTTGAGTTTAACATTAAAAAAGTGGGCTTTTAAATGTATCAAATGTATGAAATGGCAATATAGCTTTATTGACAATGCATTCCAGATATTCACATTATGTTTCATGTCACTTTGAATTTACAATGTTGCCGTTTCGCGTATTCCCCACATGTGGAAATAACTAAGTTATATTCACCTTTCTCTGAATCGAATCTTTTGGTTCCAATGGCGTCCAATTCGTCGATGAATATGATAGCGGGGGCCTTTTCTTTGGCCAGCGCAAAAGCGTCCCTAACAAGTTTAGCGCCATCACCGATGAACATCTGCACCAATTGGGGTCCAGCCAACTTCAAGAACGTAGATTTTGTTTGCGCCGCGCACGCTCTCGCCAACAGGGTTTTGCCGGTGCCAGGTGGGCCATACAGCAATACACCTATCAGTACAACACATTGTTTAGATATACTATATGCAAGATTTCAAACCAAAAACAAATAATCCGAGAAAATTTAAAAGATTTGTAATCAAGAAACCGGTTGTAACTGCTAAAAATTTTGAACGGCAAATAATCCAGTCAAAATTAAAAATTAGCTTTGCAAGAATTCCCACAAAGCTGAAAATTGGTACAGCCATTGAATAGAGCATTATGAATAATGTATCAAAACTCATAATCCTTCATGTGTTGTCATATTTGTATAAAAGGAAAAGAGATACCACAAAAATACCTTATACAAGAATTGTAGAGAATACAATCATCTATAAAAGTTGTTCAAGTACTTTTATTGATCGAGTCTCAGTTTTTGACATTTCGTGATCTGCGGACTACTCTCGGATACTCTGCCGCTCTTATCTATTTATTTAAACTCTTACAAACACATTTAAATGTAGTTACATGTAGGAGTGCTTATCTAGAGAGAATCAGAGAATAAACAAAAACTTACAACTAAAAGACTAACTATAAAAATTATGAGGCATATATTGTGTGCACGCCATCTACCGTTCAATATGAATATGTTTGTGGAATTATTGATGTGTGTGACTTATACTAAAATACATACCACTTATACAGGATGTGTCAAAAAAAGTGTCAGTGATTCTTTTAAAAGCAACCAAAGGTATGTATATAAAACAATCGAAAGCGAAATGCTTGTAAACTCAAAAAAGAAGGTAACAGTATTGATCTGCACCATTCACACACGCCCTGATCTAGTCAGGGTGTGTTCAAAAACGAATGAAAGGGAAGTCGTGATATCTTAAAAAATCGTACCAATTGAAAATTTCTTCAGGCCTTCAATATGCTATTGCAATTAATGTATCAAAGGTCACCGGACTATTGGAGCGCACACTTTTCTATTGGAGGTTACATATTTCTCTGAAACGGTACGGTACGAGTAAAAATAGCCTGTACCAAAATTATAGAGGATGAAATTATCTATAAAACGTGTATGATAAAGCAATGCTTCAGCTTCAATATTTTCATTGTTGTTATGAATTTTTGCACACATTTTATTATCAATAACAAGTTCTGATGATCTGGGCACAACACAATTGAATATTAATGATATGACCACTACTGTTTTTATTCAAACAATGATTGAAAGAAACGTTAGCAGTGTTTACAAGATATGTCTAAACATTTCATCTTCTATATATTTGTAGTTATAGAAAAAATTGATTTTCTTAACGATTGGGATGATATGTTACAAAAAATATTCATAACATAAATAAGCCCCATAAATAACAAGTTCTACGGAAACAGTACGGCAGGGGTATTACGCATATTGAAAAGTGAGATTATGTCGGTCTTTTTACATTATATAGGTTATTCTGCACTTGTAGTGTATTCGTTCCGTAGCTGTACGGGTAGCTTAAACGTCATGATGTTTCTGCTATAAATGTTTGGCTCTGATGTGATGTAACATCTGCTTCAGAGGTGGCATTATTGGAGATCTAAGTCATAAGTTGTATACTGTAGCTGGAAGGAAACGACAGGGCATAGTGATTTGTGTGCTAATAATCTGTGTTGATAATAATTCCATTGGATTCTTGTCTGAAATACACTTATGTACTTGAAATGAATGCAAAGCTAAAAATTAGTTGAACATCCGCTTTTTCTTATTCTACTTGAAAATCACATATACAAATTTGCTGAATTCCAAAAAGAGATTGATAAGAGAAGCAAATCCCTGGTTTGTGAAGTATATTAAAACTAACAGGTGAGAAAATATGGTACGTACAGGAATATTTATGAAACGAAAAAGTTATTACATTAATTTTTATTTCCAGTAATTTAAATTTTATAGAAATTTATTTTACGATGTTAAGTAGAAAATAAAAATCATCGCCTAGATATAAGGCAGTGTGAAAATGTTTTGTATGCGATGAGCCATTCCTATTTTTTCTGTGATGTGGCTTCATTACACACAACGTGGGTTGCGAGCTGATTTCCCGTAATGATTACAAAGCTTTTAAAAACGCAAAACAAAAACGGGGAAAATCCTAATGTATAACTTTGAACATATAACATCTCTTCAGAAAGGACAACACAAGCAATCCGTCTGGCACAGATAATCGACATATTTCATTGGCAGCATAATTCAGTAATAATTTTCTCACATAGGAAATATCACTGATTTTATACACATGAAGACCTATACACACAATCATCCTTATGTGATCTTGCTACTCAATTACACATCTCAGAGTATATTCTACAGACAATCTCGGCATTCCGCAAACTAACAAAGCATGTTGGGAAACTGACTTGCAGCATGGTCATTGAGCGTGTCGTGTGGTCGAGTCATTTCCTCCATAGATGGACGCTTTTTATGACGTTCACACCGCTCATAGCGAGCAAACGCGGAATGTACTATTTTCACACTAGGAACTATCTAGGCAGCAAGTCTAAATTGGTCGTTTTTTACGTTTTATAGGTTTTTATCTAATAGCCCTGCCTGTTCTACAAATCTCATATAACTGGTTTGTATAATGACGAGCTAAAAAAAATATGGTACAATATTTTCATTACATTTGGTCTTACATGCGGAAGTACGTCTGCGTTAAATGTATCAATAGGAACTTTGATGTATTATTTACAGCAGTTGCATATTAAACGATCATAAAACATGCCGCGTATGCGCCGTAGCAGTAGCTTAGATCATATAAATCAAAGAACGCATACACAGCAACTCACAAAAAAAGTTTTATAGAGAATAATTGCATTCTCTACAATTTTGACACAAGCTGCATTTTTGGTTACTCGCACCGTTCCAGAGAAATATAAAAAATGGTAATTTTGCAATAACATATTGAGGATGGTACAGATCAATACTATTTCCTTCTTTATAGAGTTTTCAAGCATTTCGCGTTCAATTGTTTTGTATACTCGTGGAATGAATTTTTAAACAAATTACTGATACATTTTTTTACACAATCTGTATAAGTGGTATGAATTTTAGTATAAGTTGCATACATCAATGCTTCCACATATATGTTCATATTGAACGGTTGATGGCATGCACATAATATATGTCGCATAAGAGTATGCGAGAGTCTACAGATCACTAAATCTCATAAACAGTGACAGTACTTGAAAAACTTTTCTAGATAATTGTATTCTCTACAATTCTCGTAGAACGTATTTTTGTGGTATCTCTTTCCCTTTTAGACAAATATGATAGAAAAGACATATTTTTGACATTTCAACCCAAATAAAGTAGGGTTCTGCTCCAAGGATATATATGAGGAGTTTTGTTATATTATTCATAATGATGTATTTAAGGTGTACCAATTTCCACCCTTGTGGGAATTTTTGCAAACTTGCAAAATTTTTTGCTGTATTTTGTCTGGGATAAAAAAAGAAAGTGACTTACTTGTTTCCCTTTAGTTTGTAATAACAATCTCCACCTTCTGAAGGACAATGCTCAACAAATATCAATAATTTCAGGAACTTGTAACAGATTATTTGATGGAATTTGAATATCAGCTTGTGATTGGTCAAAAAGACAGTCAAACTGACAATTTTTGCGAATTACAATTTTAAGTACATAATAGTTTTCAATCTTACCTTTGGGTGGGTGAATGCCAAGGTTAACAAACTTATCCTTATGTGTCATTGGGAGTACCACAGCCTCAATCAGTTCCTGAATCTGTTTATCTAGACCACCAATATCGGAATATTGTTCTGTTGGTCTCTCATCTACCTACAGAAAAATATATTTTTATCACACTTTTCTTCCAGTTACCTGATTTAGGTTGTAAACTATTAAACTTTTTGGAGAGCACCATCAAACTACAAAAACTGGAAAATAGAGAAAAGAAGATAATTCGACAGAAAAACTAAATTTTGTAAAAAGTTGGCTCCATAAATTTCTGGAAAGCAAATTTCTCACTTAACCTTCTACCTATAAAATAACTTACCTCCATAGCTTTGACCCTAGCATCATACTCTGCAGGCAAAGTTTCTAAGATAAGGTAGGAGTCTTTGTTAACACCAACAAGATCACCAGGCTTCAATTTCTCTTCATCTACCAATCCAATAACTGGTAGAAAGTATGTCTGCCTTGTAGATGTCTTCACTACTGCACATTTGCCTTTGCGTTGAGAATCTAAATCTACCACTGCACCATCTTCTTCCTCTTCTTGAGGGTCCACATCAAGAAGTTCGATAACATTTGATACCAAGTATGGTAGGGTTTTATTTACCTGATGAAATTACGCCTTTTGAATTTGTAGTTATAGGATTTTTGAAATAGGACTTAAGTTAAAATGGTAGTAGATGCGTCTACATTGTTATTAACCCTAGAATCGTACCCTGGGGTACAAATGAAAACAATAATTGAAATTATTTGTACCTATTTTGGTATTAGATGTTTTTTTCTGCGCGCTGGAGTATTTACGGGGGCCGTACGTCGAACATATGGTGAGGGTGGACAAAATTGATGAACCTTCTCATAGGAAATAATATGCTGAAGAAAGAAGTTCCTATAAATAAGGGTCTGGAAATGTACCCATAAAATGTTATGCCAATATAAAATTGGGGGAGGGGCATATTGGGGAGGTGGAGTCTATCAAATATCTGGGTATAACAATTCATAGATATGTCAAATGAGACAAGCATGTTGCACAACTTGCTAACTTATTCCTAGATTCTAGTCTAAGGCATATTTTAAGCAAAAAAAATTTGATAGTGGTCTATAAAGCTCTAGTAGAATCTTTGATAAGATATGGAATTCCTATCTGGGGTGGTCTGTACAATAACTCTCTTAAACAATTAAATGTGGTTCAAGGATTATATTTTCAAAGTTATATTTAGAAAAAATAAATTATAGTTTACAGCCCTCTTATATTCGGAAGAAGTTCCAAATGTTAGAACTTTGTATATCTATTCTGTGTGCCTGTTTGTTTATACCAAGCCATCCTCTATTGAAACAGTCAATCAAACTCATTGCACTAGAAATAACTTCAGCAGACATCTTATTATACCAAATAGTAACACCAATGTTAAACTGTGATTTTTCAGTTACCTAGCCCCTAAGTTCTATAACCTATTAATATTAGAAAAATCCATAGCAGAAATATTTTTTAAAAAAGTTAGTTATATTTTAGAATTTGAATTTGTTTCTGGTTCTGCTGTAATTATATTTTATATTTCAAGTACTTTTGTTCAGCAAGTATTACTGACTTTAGTTACCTTTAAGTCTTAGATTGTATTCTTCTTCTATAATATTTCCTGCACATAAAGATATTTATGTCTAGGTGTGGAATAAACATAATGTGTAAACTTGGAAATTACTGATGATGAGGATATAGGAAAACTATTTATTGTTAGCTATTCAAGTACATAGTCGTGCCATAAGTTCTGTCCCATGATAATCTCATGATAAAAATGAAACAAGATAAGATATATTTATATGAAAGATATTATTTATTCGACAACATTTTTAGAATTCATAATCAAACAGTTTTATTCAAAATGTCCCCCCTTGGCCTTCACACACTGCTTCAATCTCGCGGGCCACTCATCTATCACTGCACGCACAGCTTCCAAAGGAATAGCTGCCGCTGATCGGATCAAATCCGCTTTCAGGGACTCGATATTACGGTGGGCTTTGGAGCAGGCCAACTGCTCTAGCAGGTCCCACAACTTGTAGTCTAAAGGATTGAGGTCCGGACTCCCTGAGGGCCAATCTTCCGCAGCAATGAACTCTGGCACATTGCTTTCCAGCCAGCGCTGCGTACTCTTAGCCTTGTGAGCGGGGGCGGAATCCTGCTGGTAGACCCAGTGTTGGTTGGCAAACAATGTACCACTTAAAGGCTTGACGATAGGATCCAGTATGTCGCTCTGATAGTTTGCCGCTTTTGTTTTCACGCCCTGTTTACAGAAATGGAGCTGAGTGACCCCTTCGTAGGACACCCCCCACCAAACCATGACTGACGCAGGGTGGTGGCCTCTCTCAACTCTCGGAATGATCTCCGAAGCTTCCTGTGAACTCCTTGCATACACTTTGTCATTTTGTCGGTTGAATTTTTCTTCTATCTTGAAGATTTTCTCATCCGTGAACAAAATCTTTCGGAATCCCCCAGCTGCGTACCTCTCCAAGAGCTTCTTGGATCTTGTCGCCCTGATGTATCGCAAGGTGGCCGTAAGTCGCTGGCCCGTACGTCTCCGGTAAGCCCCTAGCCCTAGGTCTTGTTTAATGATGCGCGACATCGTCCGGACAGGAATCTTCATTTCCCTGGATAGGATCTTCTGCTTCCGGAGTGGATTCCTTTGAATCCTGGCTTTTACGGCTTTGATGGCTGCTGGAGTCCTTACTTGACGAGGTCTTCCGCTTCTTGGCCTGTCATCAACAGAGGACGTCTCATTGTACCGCTGAATGGTCCTAGACACAAATTTACGCGATATTTGAAGGCCGCGTAAGAGTTCAAAAATCTGACTAGCACTGTGATTACACTTATGTAAAGCTATCACTGCAATACGGTTCTCTGCCTTGCCCCACTCCATCAAAGCGCTTAATCAACTGACACCACAATGTAAACAATCGGACAAGTATTAACAGGTCTACACTTGTTTGAAAACGAGGGACAGAACTTATGGCATGACTATGTATATAAATAAATAAATAAATGCAATTAATATACTGACTGTTGAACTTAAAAATGATATATTTTAAAAAACCTGTATATTCGATCATTGACAATGGTTATTTTCTGCCTAATGAGATGTGAATGCAACAAAACATAATATGATATAAGTCGCAAAATGTAAAGACTGACATCTTTTTGATTTTCTTGACTTGAAAAAAATTACACAATTATACCTGTATAGTCCAATTAAATTGTTGTCTGAGGTTTTATTTAAGACTACTAAAAGGTAAACAGCTCTATAAAATATATTTCGATTTTTGTCCATACAACAAACCTCCATAGGATACCTCAGTCAGACTGTTTCTTATTGGTGTGCAGTATACCCTAGGGTACTGTTAATTAAAATGCTATTAATGGTATGATCAAGGGTTGAGAGCATACACAGGATCATGACACCCCAGATTGATGCCTTAGACGCCAAAATCATAAATAATTTCTCTTCTCTTTCTCCAAGCCAAAATGCAGAATTGACTTACAATTTTGCTCCTGCAGTATTCACAAGGTAATCAGCGCAAACAAAATGTTTGCAGTTCCACACCATTTAATATGAATTGTCTCTCTTGAGAAAGTGTTCTTGGCCTATTACTTTTGTAGAAAAATTAGTTTTAATATTAGAGACATAATTGGTGTAATAAACATTAATCTGCTTTGAAAATATAGTGAATTTAAGTTTTGCTTTGTTAAGTATAGAAATTATTAACAAATTTTTGTTTTATAGCATCTAAGGAATGTTCCTGTGAAATATTGGATACTTATTAAGATACACCCTGTATAGCTTTTTGAGACTACCATCCATTGCCTGGGGATTGTTTTTTAATAACAATAATAAGTGTCTTTATGAGTATCTCCTAATGAGGCGAAGTTTAGCCACACAGCTACTTTAGCACTCAACATCAAAACAAAGTGGAGAAGAACAAGAAAAAATGTATGTAAACAGTAATGGGTATAAGATATGTAAAAATTTTAAAACAATTATTTTAAAATTTGGATTTGTAAGTCACTTTGAAGCTAGATAACATTTCAACCACTTTAACTCTGATTTTAGATGGTACATGATCAAACTATCTGTGATATGAACCAGAGACAGCTATTTTGGATTTTTTGTAATTGCTATTTAGTACTGTAGGCAAGACATGGATAATGAGATTAATGAACATTATACATCTTTGATAAAACAAGCCCAGCTTTTTAGCCTAGGAAACTAAACGTATCAAAGTATCATTCACCTGGGTCAAATTATCATTCACTGAAATAATTATAAGGACAAAAGAGAAAGACTACTAGGTTTGCTCTTCAGGGAGCAAGAGTACAAAAATTTTCAATAACGTAAATCTATATAACTATAAGGGGCTTGTCTTCATCTATGAGATAAGTACTTTTTTAGACTGTCATATCGTAAACCAAAAGAAATGTTGCTGAACTGAACCTTGATTTTCTCCGTATTTTCTTTGATCTTCTCATTTTGAGCTTGCAGTTCATGATTGATTCTCATCACTTCGCTTTTCATGATCTTGATCTCATTGTCTAGGAGTCGAGTACGGCTAATTATTTCATCGGTGGACATGCGGAGCACCTCTTCTCCCAGAGACTCTTCTCCATCATCCCAGATAGATTTATCTTCCAGCGTAGACATTTAGATAGATATCTTTTATACTTAGAAATCCGGAAAATAATATATTTTGTTTTATACAGATACAACCTCAACCAATTTTTGCTTGTCATGAATAATTTGAAAATTATGACATGTGTCGTAACCCGTTGTCAACCACGACTGTCAATCTCAAAATAAATAGTGATGGGTAGTCCACATCCTCAAAGGTATCCGGTTCAATGAATCTGGATCAGTTGAACGATTGGAGTAGAAATCAAATCCGAAAGGGGTTAGGCTAGCTTCATCCGCCTTCAACAATGGTATAATATAGTGCAATGATACACTTGGATACAGGAAACGATTTGGAATGAATTCCAAAAAATAGGTTCAATATCAATTTATTTATAAAATAAAATATTGTTATATACACCACAGCCAATATCTATACAGATTGAACTGATAAAAAGATACTTTTACAACCTAATGAACAGTATAGAGGAAAATACAGTCAAAAAGATTTACAAAACATTTTCCGATTATATCTAGTTTGAAGAGCAATTCCTGAAGATTGCACACGTCGTTACTTCTGTGAAAATACAAATTCATGGGTCCGAGACTGATAGTAACAACACTACCAACATTTTGGACTGCAAATAAAAAAAATATTGGTTGAACTGAGTATGCTTGCTATCCGTCTACATAATCATGACGAACCATAGACAGTGCTGTTTCATGCTCTTTAGTAACTCATCAGTCTAGGTCTAATCTTGGACACACATAAACGGAACAGGAATGCATACAACAGTCTATTGAAAAACTCACAATATTGTGCGCAAGTAATTGAGAAACCTGACCATAGCCACCTACTAATGGTTTGCCAAAGCTGATCTATGTTTCCATGTATTTATGCATAAATATAGATTATACACACAAATTATGGCTTCTTCTACTTATTTTATTCATACTTTAAACCAGTCAATTCTAAAATAGAATGAATCACATTATACTGAGAAAGAATTATATATTATGGTAACAAAAATGAATCAATATAGTATTTTAGCAGTCCTAGCCCAATAATGTACAACCCAGGTCGTGACACTATAGGTAGAATAATATGCATGTGTAGAATTTCCATTTTCAATTGAAAAAGAAAGAAACATGCTGATCATGGCCATGGGCGCCCGCAGGAATTTTTCTCAGGGGAGGCGATCCCCTGGTCCCTCCCCGCGGACGCTCATGGGCCTTATACAGGAAATGGAACTCTTATATAAGTTTAGCGCAGCAAGGGTAACGGCACTGCACAATGATAGGATTTAATATTTCCCTATTTCTTTAGATGTATACAACCGTCAGAATACGGTTCAGTTGGTCCGTTGTAGAGTTTTTATGCAAGATTTAGAAGGCATGGTTGAGCGATTCTACACTCTATTCTTATTCGATTTCCCATTGTTTAAGGAGCCTTCCATTTAGTCGCTTTAATTAAGAACAGAAATAATATAGATAAACACGTAGAATGACGTCATACATAGTGACTCAAGCTGATTTTTACATTCGTCTTTTTACCTATACTTATGTGACAAAAATTCTGTGAGCAGTCGATATCTCCAGCTTTGAACGAAAGTTCGTCATTTTTAAATGGTATGGCTAATCAACACAGTTTCGTAGTTTTGAATCTTGATATCACTTGAACACAGGTTCAAACTTTCAGATTCGACGGCCGACAACTAATGATCATAGATTAATAAATGCAAGATCGTTGGAAACATTTTATCCATCAACTACCTCCCAACCAACTTTTCTTCCACATCCACTTTACCCGCCTCCAAAACCTTTCGAACACTCTCGACCAATGGAAACTCTCCTTGCTTACACGCCCCCTTCCAGTCATCACTGTTTAGAGAGTACACCATAGCGCCTCCGAATCCGTTGTCTCTGATGTACTCCGCCTTGTAAGTGAGACTTTGTTGATTGTCAAACGAGATCCATTCGTAATACTTCGATGCGTAGGAACTCTTCGTATCCATGTCGAACACCGGAGTCACTCGGTTAGTGTTCAAGAATTGGCATACGACGGGATAATCTACAAAGCCCAGTGCGCCCAGTTTGCCATAGCCGGATGCTGGAGCGTACAACCCATTGTTTTTTGGATTCATTAATCTGAAGATGAAGAAAAAATGCATTGACTTGCGCTCGTATCCCATAAACCCTATTTCACGAGTATCCATCACGTTTTGACGTCTACAGCTGATCAGCAAAAGTTTGTATTAGTCTCTAACGTTGGCAATAATGAGTCGGGTGTAAATCTAGTACAACTTACTTTTAGCATTTTGTTTTGTAAGTAAATTAACTTTCCTAAATGAAAGAGTTGTTAGCAAGTACAAAATAAATCGGTAGCGTACAAGAAACCAAAATGCGACCTTGACGGATATTTCACAATTATGCGTCCTTTGTCGATATGGGGAATTTTGAAATGTTATTAGATAATCAGCTGTCATCCTACCATAATGGATACTAGTGAGAAGGACAAAAGAAGGTTGCAACTCCATTATTGCCATAACCAACTATGGTGCTGGTGAATTTTAGGTCAAGTCCAGGGACATGCTTCCACTAGTTGGCCAGTAGTCAAGCTACAATACGAATTTTGCGTTTTGCTATGCGAGTTAAAATTGGTGCGGTTATAAACGAAGGGTACATGTCTTCTAACTGTTAAAATGAAACCGCATATATAGGATTGACTTTCTGCAATAGTTTCGACCACCTCAATGGTTTTTTTCAAAGTACTGTTGGGGTGGTTGGATACCATGAACACGTTTAAATAATGAAAACACCTCGACCGCCGCATTGAGTTCTCCATCATGTTGAATTCGACGCAACCATAACTTTTCACGAGTATCCGTTTTGGTAGAATAACAGCTGATTGTCTGGTATTATTTCAATATTTCCTATATCGAAAAATGACTCATCATTCTGACGGATCCGTCAACGCCAGGTAGACATAGCCGTATTTTGTTTTGATTTTTTCACGCTGCTTATTCATTTTATAGTTCATTTGCATACAAAATAAAAATGCTATAAGCAAGTTTTACTAGATTTACATCCGATTCATCATTGCGTTTAGAGACTATCTCTACCAGATAGGATGACCAAAATATCTGGCAAAGAGTCGGGATTTTGGGATTAGAGTCGGGACAAATGAATATATTACTATTAAAAAGTAATTTCGGCGGCGGGCGAATCGAATGGAATGAATCAAGTGAATTTGTCTTTTGTGATTATATGAAATTTGGTAACGCTAATAGATACCCAAATCGTATGTGCAATGAAGTGTGTCTGGCCAAATACTCAAACAAATATGAATTGGATGCACTGAATGGTTCTATAGAAATAGAGTACTTGAAAAACGAAGTCACAAGACATCACACAAACACGTAACTGCAAAAAAAATCAAAATGCAATATCACTCGTATATGTTCTTGACAGTGAAATGATGAGGGCACGTGAGCATGTCAATCAAAACTAGCGACAATTCAGTTGGCTGAAGATTTAATTTAATCACAAACAAAATATTCAGCTTGTCAACTCTCCTAGAAAACTGATTATTACCAAATTACGCGGTTTTAACTACCGTTTGTTACACGATATTGCAGTATCACCAGCGAATGGAATATAATATAATTTGCTTGTTTCATACATATTTTTACTAACCTAAAGCTGTGACCATATGTAGGCAATCCAATCACTATTTTCTTCCTGTCCATACCCATCATATTCCAATAATTTGCAGAGTAGTTGATATTTAACGTGGCTAGATAGTATCTCTCATTTTCTGATGCATACAATGGACTGTTATAACCAGTAAAAGGTGTTTCTTTGGTGAAATAATGGTAGTCATATGACATCAGGTTTACAAAGTCCACATATCTAAAAAAAATCTATTTTTTACAGAATAAACTAAATAAAAGAACTCTTCACACTCTTTCACAATGATCAGAAATCACAATTTCAAGGTTAATGTAGTGACTTACATAACATCACGAATGTTTGATTAAAGGTGTTATACTTACTCATTCATGTATGATACATCATATGAGTTTTGTACAATGAAGTCAGGTGCTGCTACAGCAACTGTTAGCAGAAAAGGGTGGTTAGGTTGGTGCTCTATACTTTTCCTGAACTCTGATAGCAGCTGTGTAAAGTGTACTTTTTGCATTTTATCATGTTCTTGGTCTTCATTTGGAAATTCCCAGTCTAAGTCAACTCCATCTATGTTATACTCCTTAACATACTCAATCACTGATCTGATAAAACTAAAATAAATATGTAAGTAATGTCAATGTCCAGGTCTTATTTGGTTCCAGTTCCACAGATCAACACTGATCTATCCGACAATCAATCGAAACTTTGTTCCATTTTATCAAATCAAGATCTCTAATATTGCAGACATAGTCACAAAGAACAGACAGATTAACTATATGAAAATGAATAGTTATACCAGTTAGCAGTGTCTATTGGAGCTTGAACCAAATATACCTCCTTTATAATTTGCAAACATACATATAATTATATTCCATATGAGCATATTTTCACTTTAATTTATTTACCTTTTCCTGTTTGCATGATTTAAAACCATCTTTGGAAACTCTCCATCATTTCCAGCACCTCCAACAGACACCAATATTTTGAGGTTTTTATTCAAACTCTTCAAATTGACCAATTTTTGCACCGTGTCAATCTGTGACTTTTCTAAATAAATTGAGTTGTTTGAAATACTAGCAAAGGCAACACTGATATGTGTACATAAAGATGCCTGTAGATTTTCCACTTGTAAGGAGTTCTTGCTACCTGGGAAATTATAGTAGCAAACAATTTTGAAGCTATGTGGGGACAAGTCTCTATGTAAGTTAGAGTGTGGTACTATGTTTGCTGTTGTATTTGGTGACATACTGTAGACTAAGGCACGATGAATGTTCACTTCTGGCACATCTGAAACATACGAAGTATGAATAAAAGTGAAACAACCATGGTCACAGGGAAAAGATTAAATATGGTAAAATAGACCATATCCAAGTATTGAAGAGAAAAATGTTGCATGAGTGTAATTATAGATCAAAAATATATATAATATATATCATAGGCTATAGTTGAGCATACCACCACATACCTTTTGCAAGTGCTTTTGGGTAGCTGATTCCTGGGAATATACCAAATACCAGCATATAAGTTGCACAAAATAATATCACAGGGCACATCAGAATTGTAAACAATACGACAATTCTCTTGTCGATGTACCATCTCGACCTAAAGCAGGTATTGTTTTTAGAATCAACTTCTGCTAACATGAACCAGTACAAATTCTTACCCATCTTCTGGAATGTGTTGGACAACCAATACCCGATAATTGGCATTGGGGTTGAACATTTTTCTGCTCAGAACTCTATATTTAGTTTATCATTGTTGGCCACTTTCTACGAGTTTATAGTAAAATTCTTGTCACATAATATTCCTTAGTGATGGGATCATTCGAATGAAAAATAATCGGTCATTCGATTATCAAAATCATTCGAGATATCTCGAATACTTCAACCAAATGATTCGAATGATAATTCACTCTTCAATCAAATGTGTGACCGCTCGAAACAAAATAAAACCGATGCTGCCGCTGCGCGTCTCGCACCAGATGTCTCGAGCGATCATTCGTGAATCATCTTTCGCATGCAGCAACGCGTGAGCAGTGAGCCCAGCCGTATCTATGAAATAATTGGCGGTCTGGCCCGAAAAGTGGTAGGCAGGGCCGGCGTTAGGAACATAGGTGTAACATAGAGTACATAGACTGTTAAGAATCAAAATATATAAATAAATGTGTAGTGTGAAAACAAAAAACTATTACTATGCATTATTGTCTAACATACGTGAGTTCTATGTTAAATGATTTCCGAGCGCACGAAAAAAAGTGGGAGGGGGGGCGGCAGAATTGGGCTTGCCCGTGACGTCAAAAGTCTTAGCGCCGGCCCTGGTGGTAGGTATATTTCGACAATTTCGACTGAAATAGGAAGAGCTACCAAAAAAATGCGCTTGAGAATTTATGTTGTCGCATCGTAATTTTATTATTATGTGTGGTAATATAATCGAATCACAAATCTAAATTTTCAAGCGCATTCTTTTGATAGCTCTTTCTATTTCGATCGAACTATTTTTTTTATTAGTTGGGAATAACAATATAGGGTGCCTTAGCAGATTTCTCTCAATAGTTTTTTTAACGTATATTATGTGCCAAGTGGCGAAAGTTTATTTCAATTTTATGCATATTAGTTTATCTGATTATTAATTATATTTATAACAGCAGTAATTTATATTGATTTGATAATTTCATATTCTATCTTGGTGTTAAAACTTAAAACCTCAAACTCAATACATGATTGGAATTGAGCATTCATTACCTATAACTTTATTCCTTGCAACAAAATATGTAATAATAATAATAATAAATCTGCTTGGAAATATGTAACATAATAACAGAAAAATAAAACTAATGTTAACAAAAAGTTTATTTAACTTTGGTTTAAAACTGGAAAAATAAACATTTATTCCTAAAACAAACTTATTGTTCTGAACAGTAAAATAAAACTTAATTACATTTCTTAAACTTTGATTTAAAACTGCAAACATAATATATTATTATATAGGTTAATTTCTAAAACAAAATATTAGAATAATAATAAAATAAAATAATAAAATTAAACTTCATGACATAACAAAATATTTGTACCATACAAACATAAACTCTGAATTAATAATACTAGTCTAAATTAGAACTATTTAAAAAAATTATTTGGTCTAAGTTTTTTGGAGATAGGCGATTTCGTCTTAAGTTGGTTAGTTGTCCACATTTCGAAAATATCCTCTCCGAGGGTACAGATGTACCAGGAACTGTTAAATATTTAAGTGCAAGCTCATAGAGCTCAGGCATACTTTGTTTGTGTGCTTTCCAAAATTCTAATGGATTTTCTTTTCGATTTACAAAAGGCAGTTCCAAGTATTGACGAATTATTAAGGTAGCAACAGTAGTAGGGGTAACTGTCGACTTCACTGTAGATAACCTTGTGTCAAAATTTAACCAAACTCCGAAATCATTGTCTTTGGATGGATTTTGATTACTTAAGTCATCTTCCTGTCTATTTTCCTCCAAGTCATTTATATTTAGTTCATTTTTCTTTCTTATCAGTTGGACCAGTTCTTCAAACACCCATTTCTGAGCATTAGAAGAATTCGTTTCGTTCCCGAATCCCAACTTTTTGAACCTTGGGTCCAAAAATGAACACTTCGCGACAGTCTTATTTACTTCAAGAATTCCAAGACGACGTGAAATAATATCTACTAAATCATTTTTTAAAAGAGTGCAGACCTCATTTTCAGTACTGAAACGTACTAGCGCATGCTGCAATCCTCTTATGAGTGGTATTATTGAAGACATTGTAGGGTACTTTTCGCCAGATAGGATTGTGGTGATAACCTCCACTGGCTTCAAAATAGGAATTAAATCTTTTATTATAGTCCATTCTTGAGCATCTAAAAATTCTGGAGCACTGGAAATACTGGTAATAGTAATACTCAAGGAATCTTTTATCACCAATAATCTTTCCAGCATTACTAGACAAGAATTCCATCTTGTAGGAACATCTTGCTTCACTTTAAGAACAGGAAGCCCCATCTGCTCTTGCACCGCTTTCAATTTATTAGAAGCATTGTTGCTGTGTTTAAAATGTCCAACAATACTCCTACATTTTTTTAGTATCGCGCTTAATAAGGGCTTTCCATTAAGTGCCTCATTTACACTCAAATTAAGAGTGTGGGCCACACATGGATGGTGATGTTTGTTCAGTATTTGCACTGCAGTTTTTATGTTTGCAGCATTATCTGAAACAATTGTAGACACCTTTTCAAATATGTCCCATTCTTGCAAAACTTCTTTTACGGATAATGCTAGATTTTCTCCTGTATGAGAATGTAGCATTTCCCTTGTAGCTAAAGCATTGGAATGCATTTTGTCACTATATATAAAATGGCAAGTAATAGTGATATATGATTTATTACTATCTGAACTCCAACAGTCCGTAGTGATTGCAATATTATTTGTTTCGCGCAACATATTTTTTAATTTTAATTTTTCTCTTTCGTATAATTGTGGGATAAGCATGCTTGAAAGCTTTTTCCTACTCGGCAAATTATATAATGGTTGAAGCCTTTTAGAATATTCAATAAAGCCTTCGTCTTCGACAATAGATAAAGGCTGATAGTCTTTTACTATCATTTTTACAAGGGCATTATCTATTTCAATTATGTCCACGTCAGTCAATTCATTGGTTTTAGCGCCAAATAATTTTAATTGCTTTCTTCGCTTTAGGGGTGGAGGATGGAATGTTGAGTCATTCGATGAACCCGTTCGATTTTCTCCTATTATTTCATCGGTTTTACTTGATGGACCAGCTTCATCTTCTTTGTGCTTGAATGAATTCACTTTTTGGTCATTATTGTCTAAATCCTTGTCGTTATTGGGTGGTTCATTTGCTAATAATTGAGTTGCATGCAATCGCTTCAAATGTTGATTCAAATTTGTAGTATTCCCAAAAAATTTTAGTTCTTTTTTGCAAATATTGCATTGCACAAAATTTGTGTTGGAAGATTTTTTAAAATATTCCCAAACGACGGATTTTTTAGCACCAGGTCTCATAATTCTATCAGGCATGGGCAAATTATAATAAATCGGTATTTAACGAATTTGATTTACGCTGTGGCTAGAGTCCCGGTACCGGTAACAAAATTATTCCCGGTAGAATTGTTGCAATTAAAACATAATAATAAAAAGTACAATTATTTTTTCACAGAAAAACTTACACTTAGATTTATTTTAAGGCACTGGATATTCGTCCGTACATGTGCGGTCGATGTGACGTTTTGTTTAAACGGCCGCACATTCGATATTCTTGCCTAAGTTCGATCAGGTGAATGGTTTATTGAAATGTTAGTACATATTGAAATATTATTAAAACCTCTAAAGAAAGCGCTAACCTAACCGGACGATTAATTTATTTTAAGCAGTGCAAATTAAAACATGTACGGCCGTTTAAACAAAACGTCACGTCGACCGCACATGTACGGACGAATATACACTACCTTATTTTAATTTACCCAAGCCTGATAAAGTTAGTATTAAACAAAACAGACAAGACGAACGTAAATCACCCGCAAAAGAAAAACACCACTGAGCGAAACACCACCCGTCACGTCACGAAGTTCGAAAACAACTAAAACAAAATCATTCATCAGTGTTGCCACAGCGTTGTGGCCAAATTACTTGCAAGTACCAGACAGTTTTACTTGCAATTCCTTGCAAATACCTGACAGTTTACTTGCAATTACTGGCAAAGTTCAATGTTTTTATTCGTTTAGTTATGACAGGTATTCGAATCTCCTTCAGGTCTAATTCTACCGATTCTACCGCTGAATGAATTTTTGGTGAACCTGTGCTATGACTTCTCATACCTCCAAACACAACCTCCAATTCCGAGTGACGAGTGTTCCGCAAAAATAGATGTATATCTACCGACTGATTGATTCACGATGAGTATTCATATTTCAGTCAGTACGGCCATTTTTACTCCTCAGTGCTCTGCTAAGACTCAAGACTGCTGCGGCTTGACAGTCACAGCGGCTTTATGGTCCCGAGAAAAATGACAGATAACAGAAGCACCTACTTAGTGATCATGCGTTCTATCCCGATTTGTTTTTTCACTTCAGCTGGCTCGGCTCCATGTTCTAGGTTGAATCCCGCACGCCGTATCATAGAATGTTATGCTAATATGGCAACTGTTACGAATGTTTTAATCCATAAAATATGAACATCGCATCAATTACTTGCAAATTCCTCCAGAGCACCCATTCCTTGCAAGTTTACTTGCAAAGCTCCTCATTCCTTGCAAATGCAAGTAATTACTGGCAAAGCGGCAACACTGCAATCGTTGTTCAAATCGCTCGCGGCGTCGCGGCAGCGAGAAACGAGAATCAGAAATCAGAACTGCTGACTGAACGATGTTTACAACATGTGAATGATCATTCGAGTGATATATCGATTCTTAAAATCATTCGAATACTAACTATCCGATTATTAGAATCATTCGATTCTGCCCATAGCTAATATTCCTAATCACCTGTATCAATGTTTATTTAACTTGACGTTTCCATTCGATGTGAAGTGACGGAGCGTTGGACGGAGTCGACCTCACACGGAACAGAAGCTTTAATCTGTTCTGTAAATAAAGGGGTAAAAGCGGGTAAGCTGGTAATGGGAGACGGAATAGTGAGTTCAGTGGGCTGTGGGCCTATGGGTTTGCTACCTAGCCACAGCTGTATTTTTGTCGCAGATGTCAACGTCAAAAGATCTTGATTTTCAATAGATTACAATTTAAAATAATTCTTTTTTGTATAATTAGTAATACGGGAAAGCGAATTTCAGCATGTCAAACCGTAAGTACCCATATAACAGAGGAACAGAGCTATTGATAATATTTCAGTTGGGAGGCTTCTCTAGATGTTCTTATAGCAAGACAGGTTTTTTCTTTGTATGTAAACAATACACTCAATGTTGGTGTTTATTATTTATTACAGAATCCAGTATGAACTCATATACGGTTCCTAAGAGAAAAGCTGATGAAATGTACTCTTCTGGGTATAGTGCTTACACAAATGCTGAACACCCAGTTCTAGCAAATTCATATTATAACTACTACCAGCCATCACAATGGTCAACTGTGTATCCACAACCTTATCAGAATTCTTATCAAAACATGCAAAACAGTACTGCTGCTCCTGCTGTAGATCCCATCACCCAGAATATATACAATGCTCTAAGTATGGTTAAGGAGAAACCAAAGAATCATCAGAAGAACGTCTGTGAGTATAATCGCATGCCTGAACTCAACCTTCACATGGTACATATAGCTGAAAATAAGCAGTGGAATCTTAACAAACATCATTGTCAGAACCTTTTTGAGATCTAAGGCACTATTCTCACCAAAACTGTCCAACGTGACTTCAACCTGATTTTGTCTTGTTTTGAGGCTGTGAGAAAAGTCATTACATATATACTTACTAGTAAGAATGAGGTATATTAATAGACTAAACTGGTGGACAGCTTCTTTGCAACATGGAAAATTTTACCTGAATCCAAATCTCAATATTTTCTGAATGGAAAGAGATATGAAGTTGTGGTATTTGGGAGGTTCTTGACCAACTCTTTGAAAACACATACAGGGTTCAACCGGCATATTTCTTTTATTTATCCACTTATACAGGGTAAGCAAAGGAAGTGAGATTCTCAATTTTTGATCTTGGAAATTTTTCTATGCATTTTTTTGATCTTTGGACTGTCCTAAAAAAAGTAATTTCTTGAGTTTTTTGAAAGTTGGCTATAACTCAAATTATCAAATTAAAAAGAAGTGTTACATTTATCCCTAAAAAAATGGACTTTTTTGAGTTTCTCTTGAGAATGAGAGTTTTTTCTCTCACTGTTGCATAAAGTAAAATTTCTTGTACCTGAGAAAAGATTGAAGCACTCATTGAACATTATTGCCTCCAGTGGAGTACAGTAAAAATTTGCTTCTTTGACATTATGTTATTTAAACCAAATGTATAAATTTTACTATGCAATTAAACAGCTTAATGAACAAATCAAGTTACTACTCTTCATATGAGGTATTTCAGTCGCTTAACACAAAGCATTTTTTGGTTTGGTAGGAAGCACTAATAACTTGAAAATTTATATTTTTCAAAATGCTATAATGCTAGCCAACACTTATATTTATCTATTATCAGGAATTTTTATCTTTCTTGTTAAGCATTGGTGTATGCGTCTCCATTGGAGATGTTTTCCAATAGGTAAGACTCTATTACATTATTAAACAATATTAATGAATTTATCAATTACCACTAACAATATGTAATATTTTAGAAAACAAAAATTTAAAAGACCAGGTAAATTAATTAAATTATTTATTTATGACAAAAACGAACTTTTTACAAAACAGCAACAGTTATTTTAGAGGCCAAACATAATCAATTATGTTTAGGTCTGGAGATTTTCTGTCTCTATCATCGATTAATACAAAATCTTGTGCAAAAGGTTCAACAATATTCTGTAAAATGTTGTCCCTATAAACTGATTAACTGTCCTGTTTGAAATAAAAAGTGCGGTTTTACCATTGTGCATAACCCCAGCCAAAACAGTAATGCCATCTCCACCAAACGCCTTGTGGAGTCATGTTTTCTATATCGTATCATTCCCCAGCTTCCCTCCAAACAAGGACCCTATCAGCAGAGTGGTATAGGTTGAAACATGGTCCATCAGAAAACATACAATTTTGCCACTGCTGATGCCAATTTACCTGCTCCTGTGCCCATTGGTACATGGCGACTTTATGATTGTTCAAGAGTCAGGTACACTTGGCGTGACGCCTTGCTCTGGAAGAAATGCTACTTTAAAAAAGTACTTAGCAATTTTTTTTATTTACATACCTTAACAAATTAGAATTTAAAGTTATTCTTACTGTATGATTGGATGCTGTTATTCCACTGTGCCGCCATAAGTTTCCATTCAAGGTTCTGGATGAAAGGTTCCTCCATCGCCTTACTTCCTGCAATAAATGTCTTTCGGCCCGACCTCGTATTCATCTTGGATTACCTCCTCTATGCAAGTAGGACGTTTCCTTGGTACCCTGATATCTACGCCTCAAACGGTATTGAGGACCGATCAACATTATAAATTAAAGCTACATCATTCACTAAACGACCTTGTCCCAATAATCTTATACAATTCTCTCGTTCTTTTTGAAAAAGACGATGCATTATTGAGAAAATACAATTATACTGTCAAGTCTACAATCACTGTTATTGTACTCTACTCGTCGTTGCTTCTCAAGGCGGTCCGGAGGACCTTAGCCCAGTGCCGGATGCTCCGCTGTTCGATTTTTGTCCGCCGGCGCGCATGACGTCACGCTGAGAGTGATTCTCATTTGAGTTGATATATATAACGTGCATATTTTCACGTACAGGGCAAACGCCTGGACGGATTTTTAAATATGAAGTGTCGTTATATTCGTCTTACCGGTGCGAGTGACACTGGCTACATTTAATTTTTATACAAAACAAAATGGTGGATTTTAATAAAAGTTTTCAACCTTGTAACTCCTATTTCATAGGCTACAGCTCAAACAGCTTGATAGATTTTAACTTATGAGGTCGTTGGCATAAGCTACATGAAGATTTTATACAAAACAAAATGGCGAATTTAAATAAAAGATTTCAGCTTTGTATTTCCTGTTGCACAGGTTATAGCTTAAACGGCTTTCTAGCTCTACAATAGAGCGTATCGTCACTTTACTGTAAAAACACGATAGCTCCATTTCTCTACATGACCTATATTTTAGTAAATTCTGTGGAGCAGGATTAAAATGCTCATGACGTAAATACTGCACTACATTTATCCTTCTTAACATGTATTGGACGCTGAAGCGTCGTTTTAGATCCTGTAGGAGCATTTTCGAGCAAACCCTAGCGCTTTTTTACATTGACTTTGTCTGTTCTTTGCTAAGGTTTGGGTCTTGAGGAAAACTGTGGAACTTCATGTCTTTGCAAGGATTACGTTTAGATTGGATGTCGGAATTACATCCCACAACAGCACACCGCATTTTTATCAATTTATCAACCACACAGGGTATATAAAGTATGTCACAACACCAAAAAATGACCAACAAATCGTACTATATAGTATTAACCACGATACACGTGCCTCGTAACCACGAGCCGACAACTGTCAAGGTGATGTCACGAAGCTCCGTCCACATGCGCAACATCCTATCTTTAGTGTATGTGTATCGAGACCTTAGACTTTAGGTCATAATCACTATAATGTCAGTGTCTGTCGTCAGTCTGTCAGGTCTGGTGGCCCAGAAACCAGACAGGTTGTAGGGGAAAGGGGAGAGGGAGAAAGAAAGTAAGGAAGTAGGAGCGAGAAGAGAAAGAAGAGGAATTGTTTTTTATAAATATTTGAGGTGTGATAGATCTAAGAACTGTTACATTGTACTATATAAATTTTTGACTTGTCCTGATTTTTGGGTATTTGGTTTTTTAAAACTATAATTTTTAAAGGTCTAAACATGAATTTAATTTTTTTCAGTGCGAGTCGCGGCGTGGAATTTTTGCGTTATCTCCTCGACTGCTTCACGCAACAAGGGTTGCTGTGCGATTCCGCTTGCTGGTAGCGCGGTTGTGTCATACCTATGATGTAATCCCTAAGGTAGGGGATGTCAAGATCTCTATGGATTGTATCGTTTGATACATACCATGGGACATTAGTTATTGTTCTGAGAGTTCTACTCACAGTCGCTGGGATGGGGGACGTCGTGAATGAAAATCGAGTATAAGAGTGGTCCTAAGACCGATCCCTACGGAACTCCGGTCCGAATGCGCCGTGTTGTAGAAAATACACTGTTAATTTTTATTCTGAATTTCCTTCCTTCTAGGAAGGATTTGAGTAGTTTTATTAGCCAAAAAGGGAAACCGTTTTGAATAAGTTTATAGAGGCCTTCGTGTCCCACATTGTCAAAGGCTTTCGCGAAATCCAGAAAAAGGATCCCCGTGTTCTTGTTGTGGGTGAATCCGCTGGTTATATGCTCCACCAGCCTAACTACCTGTAGCTCCCTACTATGCTAGGACCGAAAACCGAATTGAACGCCAGGAATCAGTTGGATATCTGACGAAAAGTTCTCAAGGTGACCATAAATCGCGTTTTCGGCGAGCTTAGGAGCGGACAGCTGGCTAATGGGGCGATAATCCTGCGGAAATACTTAACCTACCTTCTTTGGGATCATGATGACATCAGCGACCTTCCACGCATTGGGAAAGTATTGGAGCCTAAGCATTGCGTTGATTATTGTTACCAGGTATGTCACTGCCTTAGCAGCTTAAGCGCCGTGTTGGTAATCTGATCCTCTCCAGGTGCCTTGCACACCTTCAGATCATTTGTATGAACTTGAAGCTCACTGGTGATGCCTCTGACGGTGTGCTATGCAGAGCTTCTTACAATCTCTCGTTCCTCCTCGAGATCCTTATCGCGATCATAATTTGGCGAGAACTGTTTTTCCATGACATCAGCAAAAACTCCCGCTTTATCCTCAGTCCTGAAGATTACGCCTTATATATGTGGAAGTCATTGCCATTTTTGAGCGACTTCGCTACATTCCAAAGAGGAGTAGCGTTGTCAAGCATTCCTCCAGGGAAGTCGTTCCATTGCTCATTTCGGATTTCGTGAAGTACGTTTCTTACTTCGTCAACAAGATTCGTAGCTCTACGGATGTCATCAGGATGACAAGACCTTTTTGCCTGCTTGGTTGCAACTCTTTTGTCAGAAATTTTCTGACGTATGTCACAGGGAGGAAAGGTCTGCCCAGGGTCTGCCAGGCCGCTGCACAGGAAGTTCTGCTGCACGCTGTAGTGTTTGTTGGACAGATCTTGTCCACTCTGCTTGAGCGGCATCTATATCATTTTCGTCAACTATAATCGGGATATTAGGAAACTCGGCCAAGAGCGATTTGTACAGTTCCCAATCGACGCGTTTCCTAGTGCAGGCTTCCCTGTCCAAGTTATCCTCAGTGCCCGGATTTTAAAAAGGTTTCCTGCAGCAATACCACATCTATAGACTCGTCCAAAAGGGCATGGTGAAATCCTCGTTTCTTACCGACGTCTCTCAATCCACAACAGTTCCATAACATAATTTTGAGAAAAGCAGGCAGTCTATTATACTTAGCCATCTATAGGCTGCGGCAAGATCGCTTGCAACACCTGTGTTGCGCTTATCAGAGGAGTAATAATTTTTTGGAGTGACGAGCGTGGTCGCC